CGAATACCCTATTAAACATGAAATAACATATCTTGAACTTCAAGTTCCCCTACATGGAATCCCTTATATTCATCTCCATCAAGCAGCTGCTATTTTTATTGAGAAAGATGGAACTCTATCACTTTGCACAACACCATTTTACAATTTTGAATTGGGTATAGAAAGAATAGATTTAGAAGAGATGGGCTTAGATATGGATGATTGCTTGAAAATGAAACACAATGAAAGTGATTATATATCTGATGGTGAATAGTACACAAATTTTGTTCTTATATTTTATCTTATAGCTGAGAACTTCTGTAACCGACTTTGATCAAGTTGCACAGTAATGTGATCGATAAGCCAGCTGAAATCGAGTACTGGCCAAGGCTCTAGCCAACTCGACCCGTATAAGGTCAGTTCATGCTGGTGGGAAAAATCTCAATCTCTCAAGCTAATCTCAAGCTAAATCATGAATTTATTTATAAAAAAACAGGCCACACATCTGCTCGATTATTGGTATTCCTGTACATGTTAAAAACCTTACCTAAGACTGGATACAAATAAGTGATAGAAAACCTACCAAAAACTATCCCACTAAGTCTAAATATTTAATAATATAAACATACAAATAGCTCAAGCTATTTCAAGTCGAGCCATCGATAGAGCTCGAGCCAACTCGGCTCGTAGCCAATCTGAGCTCGTAAGGCTTGAGAGAAAAGCTCAAGTCGAATACCTGAGACAACTTGACTCGTCGACCACACTATTGCGCCGGTTAGTACTGTAGTTGGTGCATACTGGGGCGGGTTTTTTTTTTCAATTCATTAATTTTCTGGGGCGGGTGTTGTGCAACTGCAACTATTTCCGCCAAAAAATATTTTCTTAAATTTTATTTATTCAATCATTGATATGACGGTTCTAATAATATAAGCTTCCGTGCATTATCGATTAATTAAGGCATCCTGTCCGTTGGTCAAGACACTCTCCCATAACGAGCCTACCCCACAACGCGAGTACTTCGCAGCGGATCACTCGCCCAGTGCTTCACGATCGACCACTCGACTCTATAACAGTACCCCAGTTAAAAATTTTGTTACAAACTTAAGAGTGATATTCTACTTGTCAAGGGCGGTAGTGCCTGTTAGATATCACTCGTATTCTACGAGCTCCGAATATGCTCATGGCTCGACAAGTTCATAAAGTATCACTGGCCGGGCCATTCACAGGTAATCACTCGACTCCCCTCACCACGCCCTCTCCAAATTGTTCGGTGCAAGCATCGGAGCGGTGTATCAATTGTTAGTGGGTGTTCGTCTATGTCAAAGTGCGCTCGTGTTCTATGAACTCCGTATATGGTCATATGATGGCGGAGGTGATTCATCCGATATCACTCGAGACTGTACACCATGCCTATTGTTGAAGTTATTGGGTGTAGAGGTCCGGACGCTGTCTCACGTGCTAGGAAATGACCATTTCTGTCAGTGTGCGATCATGCTCTATGAACTCCGTATATAATCATAGCGCGACTACATCATAACATATCACCTGTCAAGTCTTTCACAAACAATCACTCGACTCTCTACACCGCACGACCGTTAAAGCTATTAGGTGCAAACCTCGGAGCAATATCTTACTTGTCACCGAATGGCCACGTGTGTTAGCGTGCGATCATACTCCATGAACTCCGTATGTGATCATGGCGCGAGTACTTCATAGCCTATCACTCGCTGGGGATTCATAAACAATTACTCGACTCTCTACATTACGCCCTCCGTTGAGATTACTGCGTGTAAACACCGGAGTAACGCTACACTTTCGGGATGGTCATGTCTGTCTGTGTGCGATTATGTTTTATGGCCGGAGTGCTGCATGAGATATCACTCGACTCTCTACCGCAAACCTCCTCCGGTGAGACTTCCATCCCCCCAAAACGGGAACCCTGTGCCCAGATGCGAGGCCTTTTGCCTACGGAATATGAATGATATAGGTCACGGTGTTTACATCCCCTCTCCAATATTACCTCTGAGGTGCCGCCCCTCACAACGACCGACAGACTTTCCGTTAACTCGGTGTGAAAGAGATGGAAGGATAGATAGAATTTATTCTCTCTTCCCAACCGCTACGGATGTTTGGGTTTACAATGCTGGGAACGTAATATCATCATAGCGTTTCTGCTTATAATCGCGTATGCTATGTGATATCGACTAACGGATATGGGTTCACATTCGGGAATAGAATCATTAGAATCATAGTATTTCATCACAGAGACGGCAAGACATTGGACATGTCTGTTTGCACTCGATACCGCTTTTACTCAGTATTACCCCTTGATGAAGATATGTACTTATACTCTTTTCGTAGGACAAGGTTGGAAATGAACAGGCACGCTAATTCAATTAAAGTTTGACTGAGCGGAAGACAACGCCTAGGTACCTAAAAAAGACTTGTCACTGAGAATAATTATGTTTCTATATGTTTTATTACCTTTCTAACAATACAAATCCCCACCACCCCGCGGCCCCCAAACGTCATGAATCCTACCCAACCTCTTATCCGCACGTGACCCTCATGAATCCCACCCAACTCCTTATCTCCGCCTCACCAGCACAGATGGCGACCTTCATTCCATCTTTGTCACCTCGCCCACCCGGAGATAGTCTTAGCAAACTCTGGGTTGAGGTGCACAGACAGATAACCCAGATCGTTTTTTTTTAATCCGGTCCTCCCCTGATCGATATACGGGGTTCGCATTCTGGGACGCATGGCCCAGGGGTAACTAACTTCTGATGCCGTTGATATTTTAGATTACAGTTTTTGGGTCCAATTTCCGGAGCAGCATCGGGGGATTATCACATACCATACAGCCCAGAACCTACGCGGTTTATTGCTCTCAGAACACGGGGAAGAGCCGAATGCCCTGCGGTGAAGCACTAATCGCGACAGATGGTGGTGTTCGCAATCGGGGATAGCGCATGGTCTCTAAGGAAATGTCAGCCTAGCCCACTTGGTGATGGTGGAAAGGGAATAGCCTATCACCTACAAAGGAAACAGTCCAAGCACGATTGCTTCTTTGAAATATTTGGATGAAGTTCGCATTCTGAGATGTACTGGTCTGAGAAGCATAACGGAAGATGCACTTCAGGCGGCGTCAGGGAAGAAAAAAGAACGGATACTGTCTCTCGAGTGAAGGAGTACCCCCTCCTAATGACTCCGATTCATATTCCAGAGATCGATGGAAATCGCATTCCGGGATGCCTGGAAGCTGATGTCACTCTGTACGGTGTGAGATAATTTCACATTCAAGCACACGCAGCTGGGGAGAAATACCGGAGAAGAGGAGAAGAAACGCTTCTTTTTCCGGTCTCCCTTATTGCGGGCTCCTTGATCCAGGTCTCGCCACAAGGAGAATATATTCAATCCCAAGGGTGGGTTCGGATTCTGGGAGGCCTAAAATAAAGCAGAGTGCAATGCATTTGTAAGTGAATCAGCAAAATAATATTAATCTTTATCACGCAAAGAACACATATACATACAGTATCACCCGGAACCAGGGATAAGGCTCCACTTTGGGGGGTGCAGAGAATATCAATCGCCTCCATCTCACCTCTATAGGTATCACTCTATACCCCCTATTACAGGCCGTTGTGATGTCTTCGGGGATGCTGTTCACTCAAACTCTGAGGTACATGAAACTCCGCCTCTATCATTCGCGACATCGATACAAAGACTACGGACTTCTTGTCCAGCGCTTTGAGTGTTCGCATTCTGGGTTACATGGTTCTATTTCACTGCCATCGATATGTTAGTATATCATGGAGTTACTTATGAAAATGGAAGACAACAAACATACTTATGTTTTGAAAAAGAGGAATGACAGAACTCCCTCTATCTTTTTCTTCTCTTCCCACCCACAGACCAGGACTCTCTCAAGTACCTTTTTCTTCCCTCACCATGTCATGCGTGTCTTTGGACCAGTCCGCATTCTGGGGAGCATGAAGCTCTACAAACAATCAACACTATATCTTCATGGGGGGATATAAAGCAATCACATACGACGATTTGGAGCCCGGAGGCCCACAGGGATAGAAGCTTCTTCAGATCCCAGGGCCCTCAAAGAGGTCTCTCCAACCAGAAGCATTGTCTAAATCGTAAAAGCTTTAAAGATTGTACACATGTTGAGTACGGAGGAGCTTTGAACATGTTAGATTAATTATATTTAACTAATGACGATTGGAAAACCCACAGCAACCAGACAGGATAGTGAGGAAACGTTCCCCACATGCCGTATCATGGTTGTTCCTTCTACTCGCTCCAGCTCACCTCTTGACCCCTGAAAAGGTGTGATCGCGTTCCGGGATGCAAGGAAGTCCTTGAAAAATGTCAGAAGCATTCAATTCCAGCAAAGCTTGATAAATATACAGAACTCAAGCAGGATACCCAGGAAGGTTTCCCTCTAGGTTAATGCTTCTATCACGGTTCCTTCTGCTCGTCCTAGCATATTTCTTAACTCCGGAAAGGTGTGTTCGCATTCTGGGATGCAAGGAAGACCTTCGAAAATGTCAGAAGCGTTCAATTTCAGCAACGATGGATAGACTTACAGAACCCAGGCAGAGTAACGAGGACACCTTCCCCGCAAGCTCCCAATTCTCGGCTACCATGGTTGGTACTTTTGCCCCCCTCAGGGCACCACTTCCGTATGTATTTGTTCGCATTCTGGGATGGATGGGTCTTATAAGGCAGTCAGAATAGTTAGAATTTATCAAGTAAAATCAGAAACATCAACATACCAGTGTACCAAGAAAACACACTCTCAGAATGGGGTTCTGATTTTACCCCTCCCGCCACGGTGCTCAGATCATTCAGTTCGGTGCCGGGTTCGCATTCTGGGACACATGGAAATTGGTGTTGCTGGCGAGCCTGAAAATCAGTTATTACAAACAACTTCACCAACTATCATTAGAGAGGAAACTCACCAATCGACGACCCCACCTCCACCCCCTCCCGGGGGCAGGGTCGATCTATCATGACGTTATCTGCCAGTTCACATCACGAAACAGATGGAAGAGGTCAAAGGATGGAAGGAACCCTACAATTCCATTAGCAACCAAATCATTTCCATCAAATCAGGATCAGAATAGAAACTTACACAGCAGCCCAGGATGTTTTATCGTCCTCTGGAAGCAGTACACCAACACTATGCAATCTAGCATACGATGGATGCTGCCCAGCCCACGGATTGAAGGTTTCACCTTCACCCTCTCACCGGATGGTTGGTTGTTGAGGATTCGAGTTGCCGGGTCCTCAGTATTCGGCGTGATAATTTGCCCCAGACCAGTCATAAATTTGTTTTTCGGCCTGGGATAAACTTGGGTCTTCTGCTTGGGGTATTTGGTGGATGAAGTTGATGGGAAGTAGATCTGAAGTAACGGGGATGGTTGTTTTGAATGATTGAGGTGGATGTGATGGAGTTGTTGTTTTTTCGGGAAGTGCTTGGTGGGAACCACGGCTTTATACTGGGAGATGGGAAGATAACAGTTGGCATTCGTCACATAACGGCGTTTACCTTTCGAGTAAGGGTTTGGGGTTTAGGGTGTTCATCCAGCTTGCTTCACTGTGCCGTTTATGCTCAAGGTTAAATGCATAGAACCTTCTCTGGAAGGCTCAGTCTTTCTCACTACCTATTTGAGAATTAAAAAATCTTCCCTATTTGAAATTTTAGATGTTAGAATAGGATCACTTCTGCAGTTGTTTCCAGAAGTTCCTGTTAACCCGGAATCCCTTGAACGCTACCAGATGTATATATGGCAGTCTGAGTAAGTGTACATCCTTGCATGTTTGTAGCAAGGATACAGTACAGGACAGATCACAGGACGCCTCATACTATCATCTCAAGACATCAATTTAGCAAACTTTTTTTGAGCTTCCACATCTTTTTCCATGATCTTCCACACCGGGGGGTCGGTTTTCATTCGAGGTGCGTACGGAGCAGAAACATTCAGTCGAAGACCAGGATACAGCTGCTCAGACAGCGGAGATATCACGAGGAGTCAGTCAACAATTCATGGCTTGCACCACGAAGAACACATTCCCAACTCTACACATTCACGGACCGAGTGATTACTGGTGATGGACCCGTACCCAGTGGTCTGGATGCTTAAGCCATCGGTATGATAAAAATTCTATCGTTTTTACTTTTCAAAATTAGGATAGATGTACACTAACGATTACTAGTTTCGGGTTCTCCTATATGTCCACAGCGGCCTGTATCGACACAATCCTGTCTTCAAATGGTGGGACTCTCGGAGGTGTACCGCATATACCTAAATATATCAACGTGACGGGGCTTTATTTATCCGAGAGGTAGTCCCTCTCGCCCGCCAGATTATTTTCTGCTAACATAGTTCAGAGATCCCCGTGTTCGTACTTCTCATGTAGCAGCTAATTACGCCTCAAGAAGTGAGGACGCAGGGATCGTGTTGTACGAGTGATATTCCATGAATCACCTCTCTCCCCCACGTATCCGGCGAAGGGTGGTAGGGTGTCTGTGACGGGATATCGGTGTTATCCGTGATGATCTTGCATCTTTCAACATCAAGGGGCCCAGTATATGCCCATATAACACGATCATGCGTGATAGTGCAGACTGCAGTTTTCTGCGGATAAAATACAACCATAAGAGGAGATTGCCTTGCATGGTTTTTAGATCCAAATAACCTTTGGTTTGATAAACACCTACCTTCGGTGCATTCTGCTTTCTTGAGTTCAACGACCTTAACGGGCGGGGAAGGCGGCGGAGCACGGTACGTCAGGCGAGTCCAGGGGTGGCTAGACCGCTTGGGAAGGGGCACCTGGAGGCACAAGAGGCGGGTGGTGATTTATACATTCGTGGAGGCAACCCTGGAATAGGTGGCGACTATCCTAATGACACCAAGGAGGGACACGTTTTAGTTAATTGCATGGTCGAGATTAAAGCCGGCCAAGAATGTCGCTTTGGGCATTTGACTACAGTCTATATGGATTCCACAGGGTATCCGGTGAGTACTCAGCGACATCTCACTTTCGGATAAGTACACACAGGGCGCAGGAGGTGTCCGCATCCCCCGCTGACGTCGACATCTTTCGGAAGTGTAGCTGCGTTCATGAGAGGACGCAAATCCAAGAAGTAAACATCCCCTGGAACATACGTACCGCAAACCAAGCAATCTGGCACTCACGCACCACCGGATCGGTAATAGTGGCCGCAACTAACCTTTGTCCCACACTAGAGTGGCCGAGACAGCTCCTGCTGGCGGCCAATTTCCCCCAGAAATTACTTGGCGGGTTTCTTCTCACCTTTCCTCTCCGTCCCTTCCCTCTCCACATCTTTGATTGTCCTCGTACAGCCTTATCCATCCCAACAACTATCGGGGCTTCAAACATCACCACCGCACACCCCCAAACCCGCACTCTATCATCGCAATGTTCTCGTTCTTGGTCGCGGGGGAACTAGGGGTCATCCTCCATCTCACCCGCCGCCTCCTCCGACGCCGCATGTCCATCGGCTCCTATCTCGAACACATGATGAGACCTTTCCTTCGTCTGGCTCACTCCTTTGTCCACTTCCTCTACAGCGTCTTCACCCTGTTGCAAATCATCGATATGAACAAGCGCCACCCTCCAGAGTCTGCCAGCCGCATCTCGTGTGTCAATGTTTACTCCCATACTGTCAGCCTGCCGCGCTGGCTAGAGAGTGGCAACTATAATCGTACTACCCTGTACACGGAGAACGTGGTGACCATTGTGGGTGTGAGGTGCGAGTATGAGATGCGTGCTGTGACACCCAGGAACTATGCATGGATGGGGGTAGTGACACTTGGGAGGGGGGGGAGGGCGCGTCGACATAGGCAGGGGCACCGCGCAAGGAGACGAGGCGGGGGCAGACGAGGTCAGTATTTTCGGTGACTCGGTTGTGACTTCGAGGGGCTTTAGTATCTGGCTGCTGACTGGTGTGTGCTAGGCGGAAGGTAGTGGATATATTTGGGCATCCGGAGCAGTGCCCAGCCGTGTTTGGCTGGGAGCTCGGAGGTACCTGGGCTTCAATCAAGATATGTGTTGTACTCATTTCGACAAAATCTTGCGTTCAAGTTCGATAGAATCAATAATATACATGCAGGTTGCGCATGAATTAAACTGTGTTATCTTTTCTACTGTCATACTTTTCGACTTTGCACCCTCTCATATGCTCCTCCACCCTGATCGAGGGAGGAGTATTTTTGAATTCTAATGAATCTCGTTTCTTGTTGTTCAACATTTGGTCTTTCTCTACCCCATATGCTTGTCAAACGTGAATGGGATAGATCACCTCAACGGTATTCTGTAGGTGAGCGAGGTGGGACTGTTGCTGACGTGATCCTATTCTGCTATTATATCACCCACCAACCTAACCATTCTAGAACTACACAGGAACCATCCCTCATCAGAGATTAAATATGTTGACACCTGGTGTTATCCAGTTTAGATCAAGGCGAAGATTCGGGGGACGTCCCACCAGAGCGTTTAAAATGAAGAACATATGTGTGAGTTTACCTGTTCCAGCCCCGCTCTACCGCCCCAAAAATACCGTATGTACGCCAATTGTACAAGTAAATACTATTAATACCTTATCCCCACATCAGACTTTCTACAATAGCTTTCCCACGATAGATGTGAGGTCAGAACGCATTGTCCTCCGGATGTCATTCAAGCACCGTTATTGATCTTACATGCCGGCGCAGACAATGCCCCCCTCTATGGCACTTTCAAGTAGCATTATCTATAACCTCCGCGCGGGTCGGTAGATCATCCCCGGCTTCGGAGAATACCATACATTGCCCGGCTCAAACTGTATGTAGACCTTCCTTGGGAGGCGACCTCCGCGGCTGACGATAACTTTTGGTACGCAAGGAATCGATCTACCATCCCCCCTTAGACCCCGTAGAGGTTCCTTGTCCCTTTTTACTACTGACGTACTCCGGGATGCCCGTCTGTGTCTGCGTGTGTGGACGGAATAGCCGGGTGTGGATGTAATTGCTGTTAGAGACGGCTTTGGGTCCGTGGAGCTTGTGCGTATCATGCCGAGGGCATTCGCGTGGGGGTTTGAGGTTGCACTTACACTGATTTGAATATCTAGAAGAAACATAAGATGCTCCGGGGGTGCTTTATGGAATTCGTTGGCTTGGCACTGGGCCATGCCTACGAAATTGGGAGAAACCGCTCGTGGCGGAAAGAAACCCAACTCTCTTGGTGCTATCTAATCCCTTCTCATTTTCTTCGAGGCTTTCTAAGTGCCAGGAAGTGGGAGTGTGTTTGTACAAGGTATGTGGCGGATTCTGACTCCGAAGCCGTGCCCGGCGCAAATGGCTGGAGGGAAATGAGGCTGATCCGAGTGAGTTACTATGACTTAAGAATCAACAGTACTTACTTTGGATGCAACGGTAGTCTATTATCTATGCTACGATAGTCGACTCTAGCTATAGTGATACTGGATATAGTGATACTGCCATTTCAGTTGAGATTGCGACATACCCTGCTACCGGAAACCGGAGGTGCCTGTCACTCTTTACTTGCTGGGTGACATATGATGTGAACTTATGGTACGAAGAACGGCTATTAAAAAAAAAAAAAAAAGAAAGTGTCCTGTATTTTTAACCTCTTCTTTTCCGCCGACCGACGGGAGGGTTATAGAATAACTATATAGCGGATCTGATGCTTCCCCTTGACTGTGGTCTAAATCGAACATTACCGATAGCTGGCCTCCCAACCCCAATGGAAATGACACCACTCTCGCTGTAAAGATAGCTGAGCGGTCCCGAGCATGTTCTTGTATCGAGTCGACTGTGAAACGTGTAAAACGCTAGTCTTGCCTCACAAATTATCACTCGGTTGCTGACATCCGGAGGTGATCAGTAAGATACAAGCTCTTCAGCTGCGGTCCGAAACCGACACAAAATATTTCAATATGTAATATATGTGGTATCTCTTGACGTTCTGTCCTAAACAAATTCAGCTAATAAGAACACTTCTCCGAAATATGGGAAACATATTTTGTTTTGGTTGAGCTTGGGCAATTTTCGCTTTCCCGGGATCAGTATCGTTAAGAACGGTAGGTTACACGAAATCAACCGTTGCTTTGAAATTGATCGGTATAATACTGTAGTCTCACAGCCACGAACATGTATTGTCCGACCAGAAAATATATTTAGTCACACCCCATCACTCGGGTGGTGAGTTGGTTAGTAAGATACGATCCCCGACCGGAAACGTCAGCCGCAATTGGGGAACGCCGGGAAAAGGGTTGAATCATGTCTCTATCGCTTTGATTCACCTAACGTTCTTTTCAATAATCTCATTATCTACATGTACCTACCAGAGATTCAGAAATTTGCGTTTTCGCTTGAATCGCAAAATGCCACAAAAACCACCGAAACACCCCCGCTCTCTGGAGATGGAGCTCGATAAAGGGATAATATAATATGGTCTACCCGGCAAAGCAAACAGACACAAGTCTCACCTATGACCGGAGGATATTATGTGGGGGTATCTATACTTCGTCTCACAAACCTTATGAACTATTTGCCACTTACAGTAACAGAAACGTATGTGGATAGCACAACCGGATTTATCTCAAGAAAAATACCGATAGATTCATACCATCCATTGTAGATTCCGGTAAGGAGAGGTTTGTACTACTGGGGGTTGTTTCATATTCACCGAGGTGTCCGTATAAGCGCAAGTAATGGAAAGGTGATCTTACTGTACTTCGTCATTCAGAGAGACGTAAAACGATGGGTTAAGTCCGACTATATAAATGCTGTGTGTCACCTTCCCTATACCACCGCCTTAGCATTCTGGATTGAATGAACATGATGTTCGTGTAGTTCGCATATCCCCGGATGTCACCTCTCCGGGGACATACCGGGAGTGCCAGGACTTAGCATCACATCCCGACTAAGAAAAGCAATAAGAAAGAGACATTGCTCTAGTAACTCTTAGTAAAAATCTAAGTCTGGAGTAGAATTGGATGGATCTCGGGGAAATACTGAGAGGTTCGTAGCGCCAATCGTGGGTTTCGGTAAGGAAGTGTATGTAACACTGGAGTGCGTAGCTTCATGTTTATTGAGTTGTCCGAGAAGCTGATTAACGTGACGGAACGGAGGTCTTACTGTCTTTTCGTCATTGAGAGCGACATAAAACGATGAATTAACTCCGAGTATATAAATGCTACGTGTCACTTCCCCTAACCACTGCATTCTCAGATTGTCCTAAATGCATATGCTGTTCGTATAGTTTTCATGCCCCTGTTTGTCACATTCCCGGCAGACATATCCAAGGTACCGGTTGCCAGCACATCCGGATGAAAGAGTACAATTAGGAAAAAAAAAGATTGCTCTGGTTGGGAATTGAACCCAAGTCTCCCTACGGTTTTATAATTTTTAATGTTTTTGGTGAGGGTATGCTGACCACTGCACTACCAGAGCATGTATGTATAAGACTTGTGGTGGTTTATGACCTGAACCTCTCTATATTTGGAAGCAAAATGAAGCAGGATTTATGGCGCCATCGTTAATTGAAAAATGAAGAAGTTTATAAACTCCGGCCTGCATTATAGAGGATAGAAACTGAGATCTGTCAGAGTCGGTAGAGTTTGCTTGGTGGCCATGGAGCTTGTCCACGGCATGAGGAAACACCTGTCGGCGGAGGGGGGCAAACTCAGCTTTATTATCTTGCTCAAGACAGACTCAGCGCGTAGACTACGTGCGCCTGCCTATAAACCTACCGCGCATGCACTGCAATTGAACAACGCGCTCATCCGCAGCGGGAGAGAAAGGCAGCTTGGTTGTAGCGCAATCCACCCTCCTGCTAGAACAACAGCCTTGGCTCACAAACCATCACTCGGGTAGTCACATGAACTGAGTTGATTACTAAGATTCGATTGCAACTGTCAATGACAAGGCCAACATAAACTCTCGGACGACTCCATCACTTAGTATGAGTTCCCAGTATCTTACATCAAAAATACCGTTGATCGGTGTGATCATCCCCCTTTGGATTTTGTACCCCCCTAGATTCCAAATTCAGTCGAGTCCCGGAGGTGTCTCCAGCTCCGGGGGTAAAGCGCGCGGGGCGAGATGTTGTTAGACAAGCAAGCCAGCTACGGGCAATGTTCCCAGACTTCCCCGGCCCCCGGGAGGCTTCCAGGGCTTGATTATGGGGTGAGATCCGGGTGACAGGGGGTCCCAAAACAGACGGACATCACCGTTAGGAACACTGCCTGAGTTGAGGTCTCTGGAGACGCTGGGTGGACACGTGTAGGGTGGGAGAAATCTTTTTCCACGACGTCAATACACAGTCTGAAATACTCCAATCAGTTATATACTATAGATACATCTCCAGAGTAGTACGAATACATTAAACCCGAGCAGGAAGAATCTAGATGGGGGTGGCCGGAGCTAGTTTCCGGGAAACGTAGTATTAATACGCCGGTTAACTTTCGTAAGTGTCGTTCATTACTTTCTCCCTTTGAAGTAGACCCCGCAACGGATGATTGGTTATTTTCGTCACCCCGGTAAATTGGCTTCGGTTGGATTGGGTGAACCTAAAATGATAGGTGGGTTGGTTGGGCGCAAACTATTTCCCGAGAATTAACCAAAAAAAAAACTAGTTCCATAGGAAGCCCTTGGGTTGAATGATAAGCCATGACCACATATAAAACCGAAAAGTTGAGATGATTTTGACGACGCAAAAAACCCTCTCCATTGATGACGGGGAAGGATTCTTTACCTATCGACAAACAATGGGTAACCCCGGTATGGCAGATTGGGTTGGGTTGGATATGAGTAGCCGATTCATAACGTGGGTTGGGCTGGGTGAGGCTTCAATCCAACCAGCTGGACTCACCCAATGCGGGGTCCGCCTTGAAGGAGAGGTATATGAAAGGTGGTCATACAGACACTCCGTCATTCCTAGGGTGGTTAAATAACAAATCGATTCTCTTTGTATATATGTTCTTTGCGGTAGAATAGAATATATAGCTGTTTTCCTAGCAGCAGTTCCTCCGCACTTTACGCCAAGGGTATGAGCTGATACGTTTTGTCACCAGGATGTCCGTTTGGAGGTATAGCTGAGGTTTAAATAGGGCCTGGGATCATAGATAAGCAGTGACAAAAAAGGTTGCTCTAGTTGGGAATTAAACCCAAGTCTCCCTGCGTTTTTATAATTTTTAATGTTTTTGGTGAGGGTGTGCTGACCACTACACTACCAGAGCATGTATATATAGAACCTGGGGTGGCTTATAACCTAAACTCCTGTTTTTTTTTTGGCGCAAAATGAAGGAGGATCTGGAGTGCCATCATAAAGTAAAAATGTGGCAGTTATGTACACAGAAACTCCGATATCATGAGATGTTGAAACTGTGATCTCTCAGTATCGGTGTATTTGGCTTGGCAGTTTGTGTCCACGGAATGGCAGATCTCTCAAGGCGGCAAAGGAATTCGGATCTCACATATTCTTGGCTCACAAGCGATCACTCGGTTGGTAACAGGAGCTGAATTGATTACTGAGACATTGTATATATAGATGAGCCGTTCCCAACTGCCAATTTCTTGGACGACCTCTTCATTTCATGTGCATTCCAAGTTTCCTTGCGTCATCGATGCTGTTCATCGGCGTTATCGTCCGCCTTGGATTTGAAAACTTTCCCTTTGCCTTGACTCCCGATAGATATCGCCACGTGTTCCGGGAATGGAGCGGGGCGAGACATCCTTAGACGAGGAAACTAGTTTCCGGCAGCATTCCGAACCGCCCCGTGCTCTTCAGGCGGCCTTAGGGCTCGATTGTGAGGTAGAAACGGGCGTAGATTGGGTAGGGATACGTCCATCTTGTCTAGAAACTTAGAGGAGAGCAAATGATGGGCTAGCCGGCCTGCAGAGCCCTATGAAACCTGGTGGCGGGTGACCTTTGGTGACTAACGTTGATGACCGATAAGCGGCGTATAGCACTTTTGACTGCCGGTGAGGGTGAGAGGCCGTAGGCCATAGACAATCGTAAACGACCGCAGATGACTAAATAAACCGCGGAATCCCAGTGTTTCCAACTGTACAGACCGGTCTAAAAGTAAGACAGAAGGGCACTGACTGCTAAATGCCGGATACGGCCAAGCCTTACCGACTGTGCTATCAATTATTTAAATTTAGAGTTTCAACCGGTTCAACTACCGAAACAGCGATTCCATCTCTTAGCACATAAAAGTTGGAAAGATAGGTGTTCTATCTCCTGGAGCAGGGGACTTGAGCTCCCAAATCTAGGTGTTCGAGCTCAGGAACAGGGGTGTTCGACCTGACGAACAGGGCTTGCATCGGCGGGGTATAACCGGTTTTGAAGATTCATAAACCGATTAACCGTCTATTTAAGTAGATCAGTACTCCACCAACTATTAACTTAAACGGTTCAGCACAACCTGTTTGAACTAAGTAACTGGGAAACCACCGGAAACTCTGATTGGTTGTCCTAATGGAACAATTCTTGGCTCACAGCCTATCACTCGGTCGATAACCTGGATTGAGCTGATTAGTAAGACATTCCCAACAGCAAAGAACCCCCGTACTTAAAGCACGGACAGCTCCGTTCTTTCATATAAGTTCCCAGCTCACTTACATCACAAAATACTGTTATTCAGAGTGATTCTCCGCCTTTGATTTGTGGATTGTCCTTTTACCTTGACTCCAAGACGAATTAGCCAGATATCTCCATCTCCGGGGATGAGGCGGGGCGAGATGTCCTTCGACGAGTAAGATAGCTTCCGAAGGTGTTCCCACTAGCGTTCCGCCCCCCCCCCCCCCTCGCCTCTAGCGACCTCCAAGGTTCGATTGTAGGCTAGGATCGGGCGGACGGCAGGTAATGGTCCGTGCTGTCCTCAACGTAGAGGACTATAGAGGAAGGGCGGACCCTGGAGGCTGTAAGGAACTGGAGCTGGGTACGTGTGGGCGGGTGACTGTTGATGACTACCGCTGACGATGTTCGACTGCCGTAGACTGCCGTTCACGGCCGGTAAAGCTAGGTGACCGCATATGACTGCATATGCCAGAATCAAACCAGAGACGACTAAAGTCAACATTTTCGATCATAATATATCCTTGGAAAGACCCCTTTTGTTCGTATTTCGTTAGATATATTGAACCTGCGCCAAAATATATACCTCAGCGGCAATGCCGGAGGCCCAGCGTTCATGACAGCCATCTTCCTCCCAGTGCAACAAAACGGACGGGCGTGGCCATTGGGAGCAGAGTCGGACTCTCCACATATAGTGGGCGGCCCGTCGAGCGTGAAAGAAGTCTATGAGACGGGGGTTTGAAGTTTCTTTCCGCAATGATACACAGTTCGATAGATTCTGATCAGTTATTTATTAGTGTATCTCCAGAGTACTAATGCATTAATCTTGAGTGAGCTTTTTATGCGATCACCAACACCAGCTTCCGGAGAAAGATAGTATCAATACACGGGTGTTGTGAGATGTCGTTTCTAGATTCTTCCTAGCAGCAGCTCCTCTGCAATTTGGTCCGGAGGTATGCGCTGCTACTTCTCGTATCTAGGATACCTGGTTAGGGGAGTATAACGGGAGGGTATATAGGACTGGGGTCATGGGTTAGCAGTAACAAAAAAAGATTGCTCTAGCTGGGAATTGAACCCAGGTCTCCCTTCGATTTTATAATTTTTAATGTTTTTGGTGAGGGTATGCTGACCACTGCACTACCAGAGCATATTTATATGGATGTTGAGGTAGTATATGACCTGAATGAGTTTTTAATTGCGCTTGGAATCGCGGAGGTGAAATCATTGCAGTTCGGGGATGGGGAAGGATGTCAACCTCCATGTTGCCGTTGATTGAGTCTCTGATTTATAAATATCGCGGTCGGGTTGATCTGTTCACCAGTTCCGCAAACATCCGTAATAAGTATGGGGGTTTTGTCCGAATCTAAAGTAGCATATGCACCCGCCATCTGGTAATCTATTTGGTATCTGGAACGTTGGATGCGACGATCTCCCGCGACGACCGCTGGACTATGTCGACCGCACTGGGAGCCCCTAGGAAAGCATGAAACCAGATGTAGCTATGCCATTGGTGGCCACGGAATGTTTTTTTCTGGGTGATGAAACATGTTCTGAGGGCGAGTGCGGGATCGCAGAGGGTGAAGAATTGATTGGAGTGCATTCTGGGACGAGTGTTAGCTCGGGTCGCTCACAAATCGGAGGTATAGATCTAGATGTCAGTACATGCAGGCCCTTTAGAGGACCGAAGAGAGCACTGCCATAAAGAAACGAAGAATTAAGCTAGCCAATGGAATCCTTACCAATGTTCTCGACAGAGGCTCTAGTATCTGAGTTAAATAAACCGTGAGGTCCAGGAAGAGGTCTGAGTTCTTGCGGCGTGCACCTTAACCTTCCCTTCCGGACCGTATTATCTTCAATCCTGCTCGACATCATGGGCAGATCGAGAGTCAAAGCTCTACTGGTCCAATATATAAAACCTCTCCCGGATTATGATTATATTAAAATCATCAATCTCTGCAGCTATTACTATAGAAAGAACCGTCAGCAGTGTATACTTGGGGGTCTGACCACCTAATGAAAATGGTAGAATTGGAAAGGATTACTTGGACATACCCAGCATTAAATATTTGGGGGAAGAGGGAGAACGCACGGATCCCTTTTGTGAAAGTGGTGAGAGGCTTTGTCCTGATATTTGTGAGCCTTTTCCACGAACACGGAAAGCTGCATGTAACGGCATCTTTACCATTCAGTTGGTAGATGAAAGGTATGGACCGATAATTGTAGTGAGCATAAAGAGGAGGGAAATAGGCCATAGGTGACGGGGCGGAAGGAAACCCTAGATCTCGTTATAACTCCATCAATACCTGATGCCCACCGGAAACTGGAATGAGCTCGACTACTGCTCGATTGGGGGGAGGCTTATCAGGAAAGGGTACATGGGTTCAGATAGCTGAAGTGAATAATGTGGTAAGAGATGTATGTAGGTTACATCAAACCCCCGTGCATACAAAATATTCATCATCAAACTTTAGTAAGCAATCTCATTGAAATCTTGTAACATAATTTATGTATAAATAACCGCTTCCATTTCTATCTACAAGGTTATCTTTACAGAGGTCATATCAAGCTGTAATTCCTCTTGTTATCCCAGGCTCTGTGACTTTTATGGCACTGGACTGCAGGTGTCTCAATTTTGAACTTCGAAAATAGATAAATGGAAGATCCCGGTATCCTTTGGAACGAGTGTCTGGTGTGTATGCGGCATTGCACGCTAAATCCCTGTTGAGGCTCAGCTAATATTGGACGAAGCCGTCATCATTTTAATTTGAGTGAAAGAATAATCCTATTGTTAGACTTGGTACCCTTGTTTCCTTCCCTTTTCTCAACCCTCCTTTCCTGTTCTCATATTCCTTCTCTTTGTTTCAGTAACATCGAACACCATTTGATTCCTCCCAAACCTCTTCTCATCAGGTCTATCTCCTATTAGGCCAGGTCCCTTGGAGGAACCTCATGTCCCTAACGCCCAAGCCTCAACATTCTTCTGGAGGAACCTCCGTCATCCCAAATCGATCTTTTGGGCCTGTGTTTGACCTCTAGTCTGTGTCGAATCAGCACCGGTACGATTCATCACGCATCTCTCGTGAGCTCCCCTACTCCTATAAATTTGATCAGTAAATACTCATCCATTCCATTATTAGATCCCACAGCCCCTACCATCATTATCAGCACTCATCGATTGCCTTTTCTTTCAAGAGAGGTATGTGTTCTATTTCGTCTTTTTCATTTCCGTTTCCTAATGCTTTTATTAACGAGTATTGATTCTCTCTCAAGTCATCAAAGATGCTATTCATTGCCACGGAGCATGGCCAGTTGAGTACACTCCCGGAGGTTGCAGCTTATCATGGGACCATGGTGACTCTTCAACGACTGACCTTCATTTGAAGTTCAGGACCTTTCCTCTTCAAGTTTGTCATCATCTCTGTGTATATTGTATCGATTTAATTCCATCTGCTAATTACCTGTCTTTGCCAGATATGGGTCCCAAGAGCCGTACGGTGTTAGGGAGGACAGCATAAGCTCTATTCCTCTACCCATGCTTCCCACCTCAATACGGTGGTAAAAAGAAATGTCTCGGAGGAGGGATACGTCCCAAAAACCTGCTACCACTGACTGGGCCACTACCAAAATCACACCAATCTAGCTTGGCAGGAGCCTCATCGTAGTAGAGGATCGGTGCTACCTCCATTACACCAACAACAAATCTGGGGACCAGCACAATCAAAAGCTGGTATGGCTCCTCTTAGACTCAGTTTGCATCTGCAGATATATCAGCCCTCTTCTAGATTTAGTTACTAACATGTCTCCTCAGAAGGCTGGGCTGCTGAGTGGGATAACATCATACTTGACAAAAAGGTAAGCGGACGAAAACACGTGCAAAAAAACACTCACGTTTCTCATTTCCAATCTATGCGTGACACTATCTAACCACTGGTTTCCAGAAGTGGTGTGGGGGCTGCCGAAGGAATATCGCCCTCGGGATCGTGCTTGCGGTGGCGTGAACCCCATTTATCGCCCATAGCCGGTGTTGGTGGAGAAAAGGCCACATCCATGCGTTACGCGTCTGTAGCGTGCTTAGCAGTCTGCTCCACAGCGCCATGATCAGCAGCGTACTGCTCAAGCTCCCCGAGCTGCCCCAATTGCACCTGCTGCAGCGCGTAACTGCCTCAGCAGGCTCGAGTCCTCGTTCGGATATGCGCACTGGCAGAAACTACCTTCTGGCAGATTCGAAGAAGCTTGAAGTTATGGATGTCGGAGGAAAGATGGAGCTGTCTTCGGACAACTTTACTTCTGCTCAGGAGTAGTTGGGAAACCAGAACAATCAACAAAATACTTCAGGACACTCGTCCTAAGCAAAATCTAGATAGTTGAGTTGTTCAATACCAATTATTTTGCTGTGTTCGTGCGTGGGCAGGTGTGGACGGTGTGTAGATAGATAGCGGTTCCTGGCTTGGGGCACGTGCACTTCCTTCTGTGCAAGAAAAAGAAAAAGAATATTAGCAGTATGACATTATATTGTGCAGTAATGGTTCGCATCTTATACAATTACTTTGTTCTTCAATTGCCAGTACTGCGAGGCTTCATCTCGGCATATTCGCAAGCCAGTTTTTCCTTATATAACATCTTGTCGTTATTGTGGGTTTGACTTTAGGCGCTGTGTTGTGACCCGATTCCGCGGTTACGTGGCTGAACCAGGCCAAGCGAATCTGTCTTGTTTTCTACACTATATAAAAGTAGGCTGCGGTACCGTAACCGAGCAAGCATCATCACTCCTCCGCCCTCGTACCTGAGCATCACTCATACCGAGACCTTGATCACGGACCGCCTGAAAGCGTCTGTTTGTCTTCTTCGTCTTGTTTGCAAGCGCTTCTAAAATGCTGGTATCTTTATTACTCGTGCTTGAATTATTCAACCAGATAGATCATACGTACATGATGATTGTAGCATTTCCCGGCCGGTGGTGATAGACACTTACAAGTAAATAGACTAATGAAACGCACGCAAAGAAACCCTCGTCAAGAAGCTAACAATCCTTTCCCACTATAACAGTAATCCAACCCTCTACCCGACTCTCCCCGACCCCCCTTCGTCTTATCAATCTCAAGTTACTCTGCTGATTAGGCACCTCACAGGAACCGCACCGGGTACAGCGCCATGAACCCAAACACCTGAACGATGCGATCATAGATGTCCTCAAGCGCAATTCTCGCAACATCACTCACCTCGATATCCGGCACCCCCGGCACCCCCCTCCCACACTCCATCGCCGTCGAACGAAACTCCGGCACCCTAAACTCCATCTCCACAAAGCCCAGTATCAAATTATACACGCGAATCATATCACCCCCAATCCCGTTCGCTGTCGATGGATAGAGAAATCCGCGTTTCTCCAGTACTTCTGGGAGGGTCTTTTCCTCGCAGGGCGGAAGGTTCTCCATCTCCTTTTCCGGCAGCTGCAGCCACCGCTGCTTCAGCTCCCGCACCTTCTCAAACTCGTCGGAGATTCGGACGAGGGACTGGATGAGGACACGTTTGTCGCGCGCGGTGTTGGTGTAGTGCTCGTCGAGGCGCTGCGTGATGTCTGCGACGTCGCGGCCGAGGTAGTGCAGGACGGTGGGGAGCTGGTCTGCCATGCAGGTGTCCACGAAGCAGTAGAGGTCGTGGGCGATTGTGAGGAGGTAAGGGTCTAGGGTTTTGTCGGTGGGGTGGAGGGTCAAGAAGACTCTGAGTGGGGGAGAGTCTGGGGGTGCTTTGGAGTGCTTGAAGAGTATAGTGACTTGCCGTGGAGGAGGAGGGGCATCGGCAGACATGGCTGGTTCTTGATTGTGTCGATCGGGTTTTGGGGCTATGGATGTGTGGTTTATCTGTGGGGCGGAGAGGCTTACGTTTAAAGATCAGAAGTGGCGAAGAAGGGTGATGGGTGGGCTTATATACCCCCAACATGGGCATATACGGACCCCAAAGTGAGGTATATGCTCTCCCGATTCTATCATCAGCATCAAATCCGAACAGTATTCAATATTTACAAAAGGCAAACATCCCCGCCACCGACTTTTGCTATAATAATCCCTTTGTGTGGTTCATCCAAGCTTTTTTAGTTTGTGCCAATGATTGCCTATTCTACTAAACTTTCTCAGGTTCCATGCGCTGTTGTTTCTATATTCTCCCAAACACTCTCCCGTTCTATGCGCAAAAATGTTTCGATTCTGTGTGCGGGCGGCAGTTACGTGCACACCCGGCAGATAATAGAGTTTGGAAGGAGGTGTAAAGTCTAAAACTTAGAATTACTGAAAGGTAAATCGTCATACTCCCTCAAACGCTTCCCTACAACTTTGACTTTGCTGTTCGGGCATTTCCGATCAATAGGCAACATTATTTGTACCACGTAAATCGGGATATATCATTATTGGGCTCCTCCGCGAATCCAATTCTTACGAAGCGGAGGCTGAGGATCAAAGTGTATGGCGCGTTCTACTGACAAAGAATACTTCTGTAACATCCACTACCCTATAATGCAAATTTCCTGCGGTAGTGAGCCCCTCATGATCAATATTTTACTCCCACGACTTGGATATAACTACCGACGGCGGAGCAGGTCTCGCACTGCCACTCGCAACGAGATGAATTGCAGCACAGTTAGACTCCTAATATATATCAAGTCGATGCGAAAGTACTCTCTAAAATGCCTTCACCCTGAGCTTTGACTGGATTTCTCAGGACAAGTCCACTGAGTGACAGGAGAATGTCGAGTGATATGATATGATCGAGTGATGGTATATGATTACCAGACCGAGTAACGTCGTGCATTGCGCTATGATGTTGGCAATACAGAGAGTTACAAGATGTTGTGTTCCGGAGGGTTAAGAAAATTCAAAGTGTGTTTTCTCCACACTGCGGGGATGCTGGTCATAATAGTACGATGGCCGGAGGAGGAACTCTTCAATATGAAGTGGAAACAAGTGATAAATACCTACTATTTGAAACACCCCCATAAGATAAAATGCGAGAAATTACAGATCTGACTCCCGTTCTAAATACAAGACACTAAGTTCCTCAAATTCAATAAACTAGCTTTACATCGCGACGTTCATACAAATCCTCGGCCTCATGTAAGCCGCGCAGCTGATCCCGGTGGACTATACTCGGTTACCCGACACACATTACAAATTTACCTTAAGATTCTTCTAGTACGACGACACTACCTCCCCCGAATACAACTTCCCTTATAATGTACTCGTTCCCACTCCCCCCAGCTTCTCACATCTCGAACTACGCCCCGTCTCAGAACATATAGCAGAAGACCCCAACCCCCCACTGCGAAGGAGCGTCGACTGCAAGTTCGTCATCCGTGCACTACGGCTCATGTATCAGCTCCACAACGCCTTCCGCAGAACACCCCCCCTCCACCGCCACCCACCGCCGGTGCCGGAGATTCTGGTTGATATATTTGTCTGCAAGCTTCACACAACTCCATCCAGTACCGCGGCTCCGCCAAAAGGTGTTGCTCACCCCCGAAGCCCTCGGTAACAGGCTACGCGGCGTTCTGTGCAAACGGGGGATGCCGGCGCGGCTGACGTACTACGGGTGTGTAGCGGTGTTCTGAGACGCTGCTGGGCTTGTAGGGGCGTTCCTGGAGTGGGTGGCATGAGAAATGACCCCATTTTGCATCCGGAGGGGATGGTTAGGTGTCATTGGTGTGGCGCGGAGTGTGGTGGGGTTAGTGGTGGAACTTGGGGGGTGGTGAGGGGGGGGGTGTGTGGAGGCGGAGGTAATGGGAGGAGGTGGGACGGTGATGGCGTTTATATGGAGGGGTGTTTGGAGATGTTTATGGGGATGGGGAAGAACTGTGGGGTGGAGATATAGCATACGGTCGTGTGCATGGAGTGGACGGAGAAAGGAGGGTTAGGTGTTGGTGGAGATATCGGATATTTAAGACTGGCGCAGGACGGGCTAGGTGGAGAGACAAGAGGACCGGTATGGTACGTCTATCATTATTTTCTATTGCGATAGTTTCTGCAAGTTAAATTTTTTCTGTTGGTGGTTTTTTCTTTCTTTGTTTTTTTCGGGAGCTTCCATGATATGAGCGGAAGTATGACGGTCATGGATAACGGATATGGATTCTAGGCGGGGATAGAGAGGGATGTTGGGGCAATGCAGAGGGATGATTGAATTGATTCTGGATGTGGATATGGATCAGACGATCGTACGAGCGGCGAAAGCGCGGAAGTGCTAAGATGGGAATACTCAACATCCAGTAATTACCACTGCGTACCCCCGAATTCACTCCCGGGACGTGCAAGTCACACATCCCGAGAACCTAAGTAACCGAAAAACGAGGTATATCTCCAGATTATACGCTATCTACCAGCCAATTGCCGGACCACGAGGTTGATAAGAGATTGTATTCGAGTACTGACGATTGTATAAATAGAAACAGAATAAGAAGAAAAGCCTATAGTACGAAAGCAACAAAAGAGAACCATTCAAGGACGAGTGTGCGCCTTCGGACCGCAGCCAGACCTCTCATCCCTGCCTGATAGCTGCTGCTGCCAGGCCTCCGAGATTCTCTTTAGGCGCAAAGTTAAAAGAAAAAAGAAAAGAAAAGAAGATAGGAGCGGGTGAGCGGGCAACTTCAGCAAAAGCGCGGCCCTGAAAGCCTTGAACAACGGGGGATGACCTCCGATATATATACTATCCTCCCAGGATGCATTCCCCTATGGCCCCACCACCCGCCTCACATACATGATATGCTACGGGTCCTCAATTGCCACCGGGAAGCCATTCCCTACATGAATTCCTTCAGGCATTCGGGGACTCACAATCACATTCATTCCCGAGGATAATTCTTCAAGTTTCGGTAACTTACCAACCGTACCATGACTTCCGGATATTGTATATGTGCCAATGTCTGCACAAGGAATTAGCATCTCTACTACGTAACATGTATGGACAATATATTCCCAGGTTAATAGAACTCTACCAGTGGCGTTCTATCAACAACATTCACAGCCCACCGCGCGCGCTGTATACCCCCTACAATAGCACAAGCGCGACTTTTGAAAAGGCACCCACACAATTGCAACTCTCACTCTCTACACCGCCACCAATCACCACACCGTTCGACCCGTTCACCCAACACCCGCCGTAACACCCCACGCACCAAACACAAAGCCTTCCACTGGAGTGAGGGTACCGGACCACGGTAGAAGCAGTACCCGCCAGTACTATGATGATAGACGACGAACTAAGCACCTGGCACCAGCGACCCCCAGGGGCAAGAAAATACTACATGTAATTATGCCAGCCAGAGTCTGTACCGACACATATCCACTAAACTCTTGCATCAGAAGCCGCGTAGCAGTGGGAAGCCGAGTGATACCTCATGATTATCTTCGGAGCTTGGTGTGCGTGGTCAGTCTGATCCACTCCCCTCATACTGGTGCTTGGAGATCAATCACTGAGTGCCACCTTGGGCTATCTACTACCCTCCTACAGGAAAACAGTTTTCTTCTCACTCCCCATCCTGCACCGATCCCATAGCAAACTAGTCAGACGATGCTGAACCAGCAGTATAGTTTAAATATCAAATTACATAGAAGCCCACCAAGAATCTCCGCTATCACACTCTCAGAGACCAGACGTAATGAAGCCGCGCCGCCACCGCGCTCTTCTGAAGCTAAATACCCCAGCCGAGCCGGAGAAGCCTGAGCCCGGAAATCGCACCAAGCCTTAACCCTCCTGGCCGAAGAGAAGACGCAAAAAAAACCTGAGGTAGCATTCAACGAGCGCCTGTATGTACGGATGGGGTGTGGCTACCGCCGCACACCACCGAGGCGTCCAGTTACTGGCAAAAAAAGAATACTGTAGTATTAACCAACCCGCCGCGGGCAGTCAAAGACAGATTATCAATCGCCCCTCGAAAAGGAAAGGAAAAAAAAAAAAAAAAAAGAGAGAAAAAAGAATTGGTGTTCAAACTTCGACAAGCGCCCGTGAAACAGCTACACCAGCGAATTGTGCTCTTTGCCGCGACCTCGCTAAGAGATTTATTGCAACGCTGGTCTTGTCCAGAGGTAGATTTTATCGCTTGCCACAATCTCATAACGGCATAGATCTATATTTTTATGCATTTTATCTTAGTTTTGCCAGTGGTACCGTTATTTCTGGGAAATAAGCCCATGGACTTAAAGCAAAGTAGCGGTAGAAAAATGTTTGCTGATTGGCTTAAACCAGTTTCTCTTGACTTTGCTCCGACCACTTTGCTTCAAGCCCATGGGCTTATTTCACAGAAATAACGGTAGAATGGGTTTATGTCCTGCGAACCTTTTGCCTGACAGATCTTCTTTCCCCTCTACCAACCTCAAAAATTTCAAAAAGACGCCCTACGGCGTCACTAAGGTGGACCGTGAAACGGAAAACTCCGTTTTAAAGTCCATCTTACTCTCTGGCGGGGAATTGAACCCCGGTCACTCGCGGGTTGTCGGTTGACAAGCGAGTATACTAACCACTATACTACCAAAGATTGACGATACCCGGTACCTGTCTACGCTGACAAGTATCTGTCTTTGTGCGCTGGGGATTATCCTCCTACTCTACCACTCTTGCTCCGAAAACCGAAACCACCGCAACAGAGTTCAAGCTCAAATTTACTGATAGTACCGGGCGACAGGTGCTGAGGTTGATTTGACGGGTGTCCCTGGAAAGGTCGACCTGTACTACGTGTCACTCCAGAACCACCCGCAACGGGGGGTGGAAGGCTTTATCTTATCGCATCTTATCGCGTCTTATCGTATCTTATCGGAAGATCATCTTACCCCACGTCTGCTGCAATCTTATCAAACCCTATCCCAGGTCATCTTATCTTATCGCTTGCTCCTCTATCTCATCGTCTCTTATCGCCATCTACCCATCCCAGAGTTCCATCAACCGAGTGACCTCCTGTGCAGCAGCTTAGCGATGAACCTAGGGTGATAATTCTGACAACGCCAAACTAGCCCAAATACTAGTCTCGTGCCCGGCCTGTGTTTGCTTGATTCAGCGCACAGTGCGATAACAAAACAGTCTGGGAACGAGACTACCCAAATACCTACATTTTGGCACAACACAACAAACACCCTAAATTCAAATCTCGATTACAGGACCCCTCTGCAATGCCTAAGAATACATTTGGTGTTATTTGAATATAAAGCAACCATTCTTCAGACAAGAAGTCACTATTATATACATGTAGGTAGCCAAAACCAGTAGTACGTAAAAATCCAATTAGCCAAAGGGTAGCGGTGGCTGACCTCTTCTGTTAATTTTTCTCATATGGTGTGAGAGGCGTTGGGGGGCGACCTTGTAATCCCTGTTCACACCAGTTCAGTATTGTAGCTCTTACAGCCATAAAGTCGAGTTAAAAGTGAGGCTCTTCAATGTTTGCTTCCCGGAGCCAATGAAAGAATTGACTGAACTGGTGTGTACAGGGTTGACAAGTTCGCCCTCTATTCCCTCTTACACAATAATAGAAGGAACCTGCACACTTCCGTTAGCATCTAAATAGTGTAGCGATTGATCGGGTGTGCCTCATTTTCTGACCGCCGGGCACTTGCAGTATTTTTTATTCCGTCCAATCTGCTATTGGGGCTTGGGCAAAAGGTGATTCGCAACAGATCCCACCTTGGTATCTTGCCTGTTTTCACCTACTGCCAAATGTCAGATCGGACGGAGTAAACATCGGGCAAGTGTGGGATCGCCGAGGACCACCGACGGGCGTGAGGAAGGGGGGCGGTGATTGATAATCATTGGCCCCCAAGCCTGTCGGAGATGCATGGGGTGCGAGGTTCGTTTTATATGCTTATTATTTACAACACCTTTCTATCAGCACTGGTGCCCTGCGCGCTCGCCCAACCCACTGGCTCCACCCCCTAGCCTAGCACTCAAAAGAGGAGCACATCGCCCGACTCCGGGAAATTCCTGTCCGGCCTACCTTACGTTCAAGTGAGCAACCCCGAAGTGACTTCAAGCCATACTTCTGTGATGCCGTAGTGAAGGCTGAAAATAGATTAAAGTTCCCCTATGTTGGCCTTTTTGTCAGAAGCCAGACAGAGGCGGCGATGAGCGCAGTGCTCCGCAATACTCCACTGTCTGCTTTGCCGCCAAGCGGTTGACCACTCGTTCCCAAAATACACAATCCTGTGAGATCTCTGGCTAGGAAGCGGTGCAGGATCGGCGGAGGCTTTAAACGGTAGTATGGCAGTCTGCCTCAAGGATATTTGCCTCCGTCAACATCACTTCCCTGCTAGCGAGTAGGGAGGTACGCGATAAGTGTCCCACACTCCGCTCGGCTGCGAGGAAATCCGGGGGTGAGTTCACCGGGCACCAGGGTATGATATCCTGAGTGTGGTCGGCGCAAAGATGGTGGGAGAAAACAGTAAGCTAGTGGTTTACGATGGGTCCGGGGGAGGGGGGGTCGCGGAAGAGGAGAGTTTCAGGTAGTCGTTCTAGTGTGTGGTGTACCGGAACGCAGAATATGATAGACGCCTCTACCGCCAACCCTTATTTGAGGGAATCCGGAAGGGAGCTATGTGATATTGGTTGTGATAAAGTGTCTAATACGTGACTTAGTTCATGGTCCAGCACTAACCTTTTCAACTGTCGAGCGCGTGTTTGGGGCCCCCCGGGGGGGGGGGGGGCAGGGTGAGAATGTGTGAAATCGGTAGTGAGATGTCAAAATACGCACTGACCACGGTTTCATAGTTCCTCATTTCCTCATATATAATCAACCACAGTCCATGTGATGGTATCCCCCTACCTCCTTGTATTTGTTGTGTGAGATGCAAGATATGGATATAATTCCGTTAACGCGAGGGTTCTGTCTCGGCGGTGATGGCGGAACGCCAACACTCACTCTCTGTCGTCTAGATTGCATATCTGAACAGTGGCGGTATCTGTAGCTGAGAAGTAGCAGAGCGAAGAGGCCACAGCTGCATATCTTCCGGCATTGGGTGGTGGGGTATGTAATGTGAGACACGCACAGCCAGGGTAAATGAAGCTCTCCGGCATCGGGATTGAGAAAGGGAGAATTGTGGTCAATGCAGCTTCCCCGCAATACCTCTTGGTTCTGCTACAACTGCACACGCCACCTTGGCCCCTACGTCCCTACAATACCTTCCCCGCAAGGTCTCATCCAGCGTGTTTTCGTTCTCCATCAATCACAAAGAACTAACTACACCCGAGCATTTATGCATTTTTTGTCATCATACTATCCACCGGGGATGAGCCATGAATCATCAAGAAAGAGCACACAACAACGCAAGCTATACTCCCGCTTTCCCGGTTTGACAGCTACGTTAGCTAGACCGCCATGTCTAAGCGTTCCTACCCCGTACTCTGGTCCAGGGAACTGCGGTCAGTCAGCTTCTCTCATCTTCCTTCATAGGAGAAGCAATGTTATATTATCTCTCCAATGCGCCAGGCTGACCGGGGTTTAGCCATTCATTCAATTGAAGAGTCGACCGACGCGGTTGAGGGCTTCAGAGCCACTTCTTTGATTGGGGTGGATCAAGGACTGGTGTATAACTTCAGTTTCCAACTCTGGACAACGCTACTATGTGCGTTGCATGATGTCGCTCTGACAGCGATCTCGGTCGTACGTATGAGTCACCTGATATGACGCATTGAAAGTCTTCTTGGGGAACTACGCTGCCGATAAATATTACCATGCCTACATTACATGCAGGAGATTGATGAGTCAACAACAGCAACGCAGCCGGAGGGGGCATCATACTCTATCACTCGACTCTTCAAAGAAGTCGCCTCGTAGGTTGTTGGAGCTCTTGAATCAAACCCGTTGCAGTGGGTATCTTGTAAAAGCGGATCACCTAACCGACAAAGAAGGTTACACCGCGCTTAACCTTGCAAGCCTAGAATCCGGAGGGCTGACCTTGACCCCCGCACTGTCATGCATGTATGCAGGAGGTGCATCTGTGCTGAGTCATCGAGACAGCCCTCTTTCAGACAGGGAACAATGTCGCGGGACATAAAGCTCCCCCATTCCCGTTTTTTGAGAGAAACGTCTACGGATTAGCGTCAGGACCAATCTTGTAAACGATGCTCCTCCTTCTTCCAGTCGAGCTCCTCGAGCTAATCTTAGACCATGTACTGACTCTCCCTTCTTTTGCCCTCTTCTCCATTCCCCCCCCCCCTACCCCTCTCCCCTCCCTCGCTTCCCACCTCGTCTCTTTGCACACCGACTAACAGCCATAATCGTAGGCAATATACGAGCCACCAAAAATAAGCGACAGGCAGCTTCCCGCATCTACCATCTCCACAACGCTTATCTCCCTAGTCTTGACCTGCCGGACCATTTACAGACTTCTCCTTCCAAAGCTCTACCCAACCCTCGCGGTTCGCACCATTCCCACCCCCATCTGTATCTTCAACCCCTCCCTTGTGCAGTACAGCACCACACTTGTTGTCCTCCCCAGCAATCAGCGACGTCGATCATCGGCCCAAAAACGCAAAGCGATTACCGCCCTCGGAACAGCGCTAGAAAGGTTCAACAACATCCAGACTCTGATCCTGTTCACAAGGTCCTCGAGCACTCTCTTCAAAGTAGCCAATGGCTACCACCTGACATCTTTGACCTGCGAAGGTCGTACACTGAATTACTACGTACCTAATCAGTGGCGCTTGCGCTCACTAAGCGTTCAAGACTGCCTGCCCGGGCCAGCACTGACCGCCGTGCTATCCGCCAATTCCGCCACGCTAGAGTATCTTGCGCTGGGACAGTTTGGGACGAAGGAGCATAAGCCGTTTCCACTGATGCCTAAGGTCAGAAGCCTCAACCTCGTCGGTTGGGATTCCGAAATGATCATGCGGATAAGTGCGGGCATCCGTTTTGACCATCTTAATACTCTCCAGCTGGTAGACGGTGAGGGCCATCCTAGTTTCAACCAGAATGCTTACACCCCACTGAAAGAGGCAGGTGGGCTGGCCGGACTGCGGAAGCTGAGTATACAACGGGATATCTACGAGGCCTGTGCTATACTGGAGCTGACGGACGGGTTGGAGGAACTACATCTAGTCTGGTCACAGGGTGGACAACCGCATCACAGGCAACAGTTGGCGCGAATCATCGCAGCTAAGTGTCGGGGGCTAAAGGCGCTATCCTCTACTAGCCCAGATGTTTTCACGGTCCAGCTGTTAGGGATGGGATTACCATTTGAAGCGGCGGACCTGGCGATGATAGCAACGAGTTGTGAGGGGTTGGAGGACGTCCGGATTGGGGTTAGGCATGATCATTTTGTGAGTTCATTGCCACCATCTAGTCCAGCATATAGATACTTGGAGATAGTCCTGGAGCTTCATCCACTTACACTTGACAGCACTCCACCATTACGGCACTCGGTTTATTCACCAACCTCCGCCACCTGCATATAGACCTATGGGCCTTCGGGTGTGGTCCGTACCAGCTGAGTCCACTAGATCGCATGAGGCAAGACGGGAACATAAGCAGGGAGCACCGGCAGGCGGCAGTGGAGTGGGCATTAGAGACGGTAAAGGAGGGCTTGCAAACCGTAGACGGAATATCCGTCACGAGCCACATTATGAACCACGAAGTTAGCAGAGAGGTATGCAGCCATGAGAGACCATGATAGGGGGGTTGGAGCAGATTTCTGACGTGTAGATGTAGTGGATTAAGCCGGGGGCGCCGGTGAGGGATGTCTGTACGGGGGAGTTGAGGAGAAGATTGAAGTTTCCGATCTTAGGTCGTGGTGTTTGGAACGATGCGTTTAAGCCAGTTGGATTTGGTACGACGACGTGGTGGTCCGGCGTCATGCTTTGATATATGTATGTATATATTTTTGGGAGGGGGTGGTGTTGGACGATTATGTCGCGGAGCTTGTTGTGTCTGTCGTGATGTTGGTAAATCAGTTAGGCGGCAGTATAGCAGTATGGCGGAGAGCAAATATATGTCTACGAGAAAAGAAGCAGCCTAAGTATTGGGACCGGAAGTCTCGAGGCGGTTCGTTCGGGGTATAGGAAGATTGGACAGACGGAGGTCGAGTTTCCGGGTTGGAGCATGTCCGGGGTTTTGATATTGTGTCCGGGTTCACCAAAGGGAGGTATAAGCTCATCGGGAAAGGATAGATATGCTTTTTGAAACACCGTATATCCCATTTATATTTAGGCCCGCGGCGATGGTGTTATCGATCCCATCCTGGGGTATAATCTTTTTTTGGGGTCGGGTTACTTGAGGAACCTCCGGAGACATTGTTCACGTGATCACCCACATCACACAAATCTCACCTGTGTAAAAATATGGCATTGGGACATCGGTTATGTATGGAAATTACTCATGTATAAGGGATGACTCATAGTTGGAATAAGGAGGCTTAGCGCTACGATTATGTAATCAGGAGGTCACGTGGTACTAAGAACAATCTGTATATAAGGAGTAACAAACTCCCACAGTTGTCGCTGGAACTTAGCAGCGCAATAGTATCTTCTTCACACTATAAACATAGTCCTCACAAAGATCACGTGTTCAAACCCTCTTCAAGTCGTCTATTCTCCCACACTCCAATTCACAAGTTATGAGCCCAGGTTCTGCCAAATAGAATCCGCACTACACCATTGCCACCTTGCTTAACTCAACAACACTTCATACAACATCATGTCTTCAGGTGGAGAATCGTCATCCAAGGCTGCTGAGACTAGACCCTCAGAAACCACAGCCACCAGTAACATTCCTCTCAAGTTTGATGAACTCTCTAAACTACAAGGGCAATCAAACTACCAAACTTGGGCGAGTGCCTGGAGGATAACGTTTAATGCTGTAGACTGGTGGGAAGCGTTGAGCATCGAGAACCCTGACGAGAATGACACTGAACTCAGCAAAATCGAGATAAAGAAGGCTCGTAAACAAATGCACAGCCTTCTCATCTCTGCTGTATGCGAAGAAATACAACCAACAGTTGTCTCCGCCGAAAATGCATTCCACGCATGGAAGGCGCTCAAAGACCTCTACGATCGTGTCTCACCCAACACCACGATTACCCTCCTCAGCCGCATCCTAGACACGAAGATGCAAGAAGGCAGATCACTAACCGAGCACCTTGCAACCTTCGATGTGAACTGGAATACTCTCAAATCCAGATGCCAAAGTGCAGACCACAAACTCGCTGAGTCTCTCCTACCCCTCACCAAATCCAACGAAGCCATGGTGGCATTCCTCCTAAGCTCGCTACCCAAATCGATAGGCAATGTTGTCGACAACATCCAGACCAAACAGGATGTCACCTACGAAGACGTACACCAATGACTACAGAACCTGGATGAGGTAGCCCCCCAAACAGGAAACAAATTGCTCCATATCAGGAGTACCATAAGCGACAAGGAATGCACCTGGTGCAAGAAAAGGGTACAGCTTTACAAAGGCCACGAGTATATGGAGTGCAGAAAGCTCAAAGAACAGAACAAGAACAGGAAGGGAAGGATAAAGGACAACTCAGCATCGGTTGTAGTAAATGACTCTACAACCACTATCTGTATGGTACGCCACGACATCTCCCAACCCCTTACTTGGATCCTTGATTCTGGAGCGACCTCTCACGTCACACCCTTCCAAGATCAACTCATCAACATCCGACCTCACACCGGCAATGTCCGAACAGCTGATGGAACCAACCACGCTGTCACCGGAATAGGAAGCGCTAGTTTCAGCTGCCACCTTCCCGATGGAAGCAGATCTTCTATACTCCTCACCAATGTGCTGTTGGTCCCAACCTTGGGAAATGTGGGATTGGTCTCCGAAACCGTGCTCGACAAAAAGGGATTTAGAACGGAGTCAGGAGGAGGAAGCAAGTTGGTTACAAAAGAAAAGAAAGGAATAATTTGGGCAAAATTGGAGAAGGGACTTTGGAATGTACAAGTAGTTAGCAATACAGTTCGTTTGACCACTTACGATGAATGGCATCAAGCGTTAGGCCACCCTGCGACACTAGAAAACTTGTATCATGACATTCAAAGGCTGCCTCCCAAACCAGAAAGTTTCCACTGCAGTCAATGTGCACTATCAAAAAGCGTACACAAGAAACCTGCACCAATTAGTACTAGATCCAAATGACCATTCGAACTAATCCACTCATATCTATCTGGAAAGTTCAGTATACAGTCATAAGGAAAAGCTCAGTACTATATATCCTTCATCGATGATTTCACCCGCTTCGCTTGGATATATCTCCTGAAACAGAAAGAAGACGCAAAGAAGGCCATCAAGGACTATGTTACAAGGATCGAGAAACAGTATAGCACAACAATACTGAGATTCAGAACAGATAGTGGTGGTGAATACATCAACAAGGACAGAACGAACTACTTCGATTCACAAGGAATAGTTCATGAACAGACTCCCCCATACACTCCTGAATCTATTGGAGTTGCAGAACGATTCAACAGTATGGTAACCACAATGGTCAGGTGCATGATCATGGACCATCCTAAGTCGTTATGCGGAGAAGCATACGCAACAGCTGTCTATCTCAAAAACAGGCTACCACACAGTACGCTTGAGGGAAAGACCCCCTTTGAAGCCCTGAAAGGAACCAAGCCAACTATACAACACCTTCAACCATTCGGTAGAAAATGCTATGTCCACATCCCAGAAAACTCTAGGCCAGCAGGAAGCAAACTAGCACCCCGAGCGTATGAAGGAATCATAGTTGGATACTCAGACAGTAATAAAATATACCGTATCTGGATAGAAACACAACATAGGGTAATTGAAAGTCGGGACGTCACATTCCCCCCTCCTGAATCAGGGGAAGTCTCAGTGGAACTCGACTTCATCCCCAGCCTGAAACCAGAAATGACAAATGCACCATCAGACGACGGATACGAATCAGAAGACAGGTCTGATCCAGAACCTGAGTCAAATGCAATCGAAGAGAACCGTACAGAAATGCCAGGATTGTTCCCGGAATCACCGGAACAGGTTAGACAACCACCACCGGCTACACCACACAAGGGAAAAGAACCTTCCATACCTATGGGACAACCGCGAGACCCAAGAAATAACTGGGAGACAATTCCAGCACCAGTTGTACCATTCAAAGGCTTCAAAGGAAAACCACTTGCCTCAACGATACCCAAAGGTACACCACCACAACCTCCAAAACGATCAGATCCACCACCAGCTCCAAGACGATAGAATCACGTCCGTAAGAAAATGGATTATGAACTTGATAAGGAAATAAGAAGGAAGGAATACAACAACAAGGTAATACAACTACAGGAGTAACAAAAAGGGTACATTGAATCAATTAGAGAGGACGGTCCAATGGATGAAGGCGAACAACAAGCTATGATTAAAGAATTCAAAGCCGACATTATAAAAGCCAGAAAGCATCTTGACCTAGAATACCAAGATGTATCCAATGAACCGGCAATCTACCGTGTACACCTTGTAACCGAAACTTCAACCTATAATCAAGCCATGAACAGCGATGATCAACACCTATGGAAAAAGGCGATAAAGACTGAGAAAGACGCCCTAGACAAAGCCCATACGTGAGACATTGTCAAACGACCAACCAACCGAGCAGTAGTCAAGGGGAATTGGGTATTCAAAGTGAAACACAACGAGGGCGGAACAAGTGAGGGGTACAAAACAAGGTACGTTGCCAAAGGCTTCACCCAAGTATAGTACCAAGACTACGATGAGACCTTAGCCCCCGTTGCACGATATAATTCCCTACGACTTCTACTGGTAGTAGCTGCACACAACGGTTGGACACCACAACAAATGGACGTTAAGTCAGCCTTCCTATATGAGGTACTCAAGTAGGAAATCTACATGGAACTGCCTGAAGGCTACAGGCAGGAAAACAAGGTTTGTAAACTTCGAAAATGCATATACGGAATAAAACAATCACCTCGTAAATGGTATGCTTGCCTAGCATACTCCCTTCAACGGAAAGGATTCGTCCCAGCCAAATTCGACCCATGTGTCTTCATACATAAGAACCACCAACTATACATATCGGTGTATGTAGATGACATCATGATATTCGGACCCGACTTCCCATTCAGAAAAGAAATCAGACAACTACTCAAGGCAGGTTTCGAATGTACGGATCTCGGTAACTCGAAGTTCATACTGGGAATAGAAATAACGGTAACCAACAACAGTATCACACTATCACAACGGGCATACATCAATAAGTTCCTGGACAAATTTGGAATGAGTAACTGCAAACCAGTTGAGACATCACTCGAGCCGAACCTCAACCTTCACAAAGGTGAACCGGAAGACCAAATTGAGAAGCCAACTGAGTACCAATTCATAATGGGGTCACTGATGTACGCAAGCATAGCTACAAGACCTGATATCACCTATGCCGTTACCGCTCTCTCTCAGTACTCCTCATGCCCAACTGAGGACCAACTACGAGCAGCCAAGCGCACTCTCCGATACCTCAACGGAACCAAAGACTGGAACCTGTTCTACCCGAAGGGGAATACTAGAACACTCGATGGATTCTCAGACAGTTCCTACGCTTCAGACCTAGATGACAGGAAATCGTTCTCAGGATACGTGTTCAGACTAGGGAAGTCAGCCATCAGCTGGAGAAGCCGGAAGCAGAAATCAGTCGCAGTCTCAACAACAGAAGCCGAATACATGGCCCTGTCCCTCGCAGCTCGACAACTGGTATGGATTTGTAATGCCTTGCACGAACTCCAACAACAATACCGGTACTTCATACACGCCGATAATACAAGTTCTATTGAACTCTGTCCGAATCCACTTATCTACGACCGGTCCAAGCACATCGATGTTCACTACCACTACACACGTGAACAACTCGAGGCCGGAACCTTCGAAATCCTCTACGTCCATACCGAAGACAATGTCGTGGACATAATGACCAAAGGATTACCAAAACCACCTCACCAAAAATTGTCAAAATTGATACGATGTGGCAAGTGAGGGGAAGTGTAAAAATATGGCATTGCGATATCGGTTATGTATGGAAATTACTCATGTATAAGGGATGACTCATAGTTGGAATAAGGAGGCTTCGTGCTAGGATTATGTAATCAGGAGGTCATGTGGTACTAAGAACAATCTGTATATAAGGAGTAACAAACTTCCACAGTTGTCGCTGGAACTCAGCGGCGCAATAGTATCTTCTTCACACTATAAACGTAGTCCTCACAAAGATCACGTGTTCAAACCCTCCTCAAGTCGTCTATTCTCCCACACTCCAATTCACAACCTGGAGAGTTGATTTGAACCCTCAATTAAAAGCGCACACCGGAATATTGTCCAATGAAAGCTGCTAGTATGCACAACAGTGCAATCCGTCATTTTGAGGCTCCGGAAACCTGCGCAACTAACACATGTACCAAAACTGCCGCGTGACACCTCCGCCGCATCAACAGGTCTCCACTGTGGTTGATCGCCCTTGGAATGGCAGCCCTATTCCAACTGGTGCATGTCAGCCAAATAAATATTGCTCCTGGATTTGGGTGTTCGGTCAAACATACATGTATTACTGGGGAAGCCATCATGGGGTGTTTTGGTGAGGTGTGGTGAATGTTGGTTGAATAGACACCTCCGGAGGTCTTTATTACTACCATCAGTATTTTGACAGAATTTCATCGGGTTTTTATAGAGGAATTTTGGTAGCCGAACACCTAAATAGTATGACGTTGCCAATACCATTGTATGTATATGTTTCCGTCCGAGTAGGGCCGTAGTATTATCCCTGGCTCCCAACCACCTTTTTTTTTCTTTTTTTTTCTCTCTCTCTAGCGGTTTTTACTGATTTCTATCTGCCTCATGCCCAAGGAGCTGCTTAAGCATGAACTTTGAAGCAAAGATGTTTTGGCTGCGCCCGAGACAGGATTGCTATCGCATTTTATTTAGATACGGAAATCTCGAGTTACAGGTTCGGTATTGCGAAATCGCGAGAATAATGGCCTTGGTAACTTGAGCGCGCTCTGTTCAGACGGGCGTTTGGGGCGAAGCAGGAGCTACTTATCTGATTCTCGGTAGAGAAAAACTCGGGCGCCGAAGACAGAAACCAAGCTCGACTGACTCCAAGACCAGAGAAGAGAAGAGTTCAGACATGAGGAAACGAGGTCTAGCTCTAGCTACATCGGACACAGTTTCCTGATGTTACTGTCCTGACCCCCAGTCCATCTAGTTTTTGCCTGCGTGCTAAAACTCAGTGAACAATGAGGAGGAAATAGTCCCAGAGGTGGTTTTCGTTGATCTGCACAAAAGCTATTGTATTGGCGCCTGTCCGGAGAAAGTCTTTGTATGTGGCACCTATGCCCAGACCTCTGAGTCATGGGATATCACTCGGCGCCTCTACGTAGCAACTGGGTTTGGCCTGTGCGACAACCCACAACAACGCCCAGCCGACCGAACGACACCAGAAACACAGGAGTGAAGCCCAACACCCCGGCCCTGAACTCATATCTAGGTGAACCGGAAAGCATTCGTGGGTAGCTTAAACTGAGTGGGGTGCCATGAACCGCAAATTCAAGTGCCGCATTGCAGCCATTCCCGAGTATAATCATAAATCCTACAAGGATCCATGCTTCTTCTTCTTCCCACCCACTAAGACCGTCGTCTTCCTGTACCTTTTCGAACACACTACCTAAACCTAGACCTAAAGCCCAAATCTTCTTCTATTATGTACTGGATTATGGTTTTTCGGGAGTTTTTGCGCTCTAGTTGGCGAGAGCGAGAAACCCTAACCCTGAGGAGCAACTAACCCACCAAAAATTGGGAGCGGACTGAATCAGATTACTATGAGGATATCAATTCTTCTTCTCACCCGAGAGAACTACGTGAGTTTGCCAATGATTGCAGATGGGTAATTACTGTACCGCGCGGGGACAGAAGTATTGGATCAGAAAAGTAAGAAGGAGGACGTACTGGAGGTGGAACTATAACGATGGCTTGACCTCACTGATATTCCAAGTTTTACAAGAGCCGCTACTACCGGAGGTGATGGGCAGCTGTGAGAGCCGGCCATGGGTAGATGATCCCGTTCCAAGGTCAAGAGCAACAAAAAGGAGAGGCATCCCGCTCTGCTCCTTCCCACCCAATCACACAGTGTTTCTACCCAGCCTGGGAGGTGGGCGATTCGAATCGCCGACCTCGGCCCCTCTGGGCGACACCATAGCCACTGGGCTACGGCGGTAGATGGTATGTATTTTCCTAACGCGCCTATGGAGAGGCAGTGTGTTATTAGTACAGTGTATCACAGTCCTAAAAAAAAGACAATTTGTATCGCTCCATCACCGCCCTTAACTCTTCTCAACAAAAAGCACTGTACCCCATACTGCACTACTCCCACCCCCGATTCTAACCCAGATCCTAGGAAGCAAACACGGTATCTAGCCTGGCGAGTCAGGCTCAGTGTATTACCCACTTACCGGACCACTTGCCGATGTCTTATTCCTGCGAGAAGGTACAGTGACAGAAAGGTGGGTGGGATTACTACCGTAGTCTTTGGAAATACCATAAAACTACGGTAACACTACCGCATACTTCGTTAAAATGCGGGGATAAAGCGGCATTCTCGCACAATGCCGTACTGATGCGTCATCGGTTTTACCCCAATTTCTGATATTGTATACTAGAGGGTGTCGCTGGCGTTGAGGCTAGCTGGGAGTACTAGTACGGTACTAGCAGTATTAGGATGGCACTCTATTATGTCAGCTCGTTATAAGGATAATGCACTGTTTATAATTGAGGTATAATCGTTGTTTGGATTTAGGTGCCGATCACGAGGCGCATCAACGTCTATTTAAACTCTAAGCACAGATTAGGAGGTATCGCAATAGCATATTGCTTTTTACTATTACATTAAATGGCTTTTATTTTCTAATATCTAGTAAATCAACGCTTTTGGGTATCTGGGTAAAATGTGCTTGAAGGAGGGGGTATTAGGTGCTTAAGTGGCACCCCCTTCGCTCTGCCTAATCCCTGCCCTAGTAATACGCCTTCCGGGAAATCGACATATCCCGCTGGAGGTTGAGATGCTTCGTTGTCGGCGTCGTCTGGGGGCATAAGAAAGCCCATAACGTCGTCGATTGGGTCGAAATCCTCTTCTCTATCGTACCTAAGCCTTCTGCGCTCGCTTTTAGGTGGTTTGACATGGAATTTGTCAAATCGATGCCGTCCAATGAAGTCTGTTGACCCAGCCGATACCAAAATCGATTTCGCTGTCCTATTGTAGTCTGCAAAGTATGGATTGTTGATATGCATGCGAGCCCAGATTCGATTGGCGTGATGGTGGTGAACACGCACTAGGCCTGGTGTTATAATCTGAAGACCGTGGATCCACCCCCGTTAAGTGGCGTATCGATAGATCTCTATTCTCTAAGAGATTTTCTATATTGAAGTAAGATTTAGTTATTTATAAAAGTAGTATGAATTTGAATTCCTCTTGATTCTCAAGGCTCTCAGTTACGTACATAAATGTTTATAGGCCCATGGCCACTGAGGAGTCCGGCAGCAAGCCTTTCCCCTTTTGCAAGAAGAGCATCCTAAGGTGAAGTGTTCCCTTCAAGTATAACCGGATGGTATGTGTTTCTACTACAGCCTCTTCTCCCGCTGCATGGGTTGAGGGGCTGCAGTTGGCGGCATAAGTGTTGTGCCCTTAGGTAGTTGGTCAGTGTATATATAAGAGACGAGTGCCATCAGAGTTGGAGAAATACCTTGGTGGGAAACTTCTCAACAGCAAAAGCATGCAGCAAGCAAGAGATCACCGGACGACAAACAGGTAGAGCTGACACCACCCCGAATATAGTTCCTCTCTGATTAACGCCGCCGCAGGGCACGCACAGATACGCTATGTGGGTTCCAGGCGCACAGGTACGGTATGGGGCTTCCATTGGCACGGGGAGCCTAGTTGGGTGCGAGGCAGACAGCGCAGCTCTGACTCCCCGTGAAAGGAGGGCTCCCCAGCAGGTACCTCCACCACTCTGCTGCAACGTTAGTACATGTGATACATCGAACACTCGCCTCGATATGAAACTTACACTCTTAACTCAAGATGTTCGAATGTTTTCGATGACTCAATATGTCGTTGCTGGCCTTCTCTTCCCTATTCTATCTCTTACTTCAACTAGCTCATTGTCTTTGCGGGAGAATAATACCTGTAGGGGTTGCCATCTCGAATGAATTCGATGACTCAATTCTGGAGGTCACCCTCTGTGAACTGATTAGTTAAAGCTTTTAAAACGAGATGTCGATATAGGAGACTTACATAACTAGTACCAGGACAACGACAAAACGACACCCCACCACGAACAGTAGAAAGAGGAGAAAAGAGTGAAGGAGAAAAAACAGGAACACCACAAAACGAGCAAAAGGTCCAGACACCACACCAAGAACCGGAGGCCATACGTCCTGTGAGAGGGCTACGAATGATAGTCGATGACTCAACAAGTGTTGTTTTTTCCGCAAACCCATCTCACGGGGCCCAGCTGGCAGCCCCATCAAAGGGCTTCAACTGTTCCTCCCTCCAGGGAAAATACTCCCCTGACATCCAGGCTAGGAATCCATAAGTGGATTCCCAGTTCTGCACAACAGAGTATGTCAAATCGACAGAGCCCTGCTAGATTGAGCCAATGCTAGTACCTATCCGCAGTTAGTATTTCCCCGTTGATACAGCAGATGATAAACTTACTATTATCACAATGCCCAAACAGACCAAATCCCAGTGCCCAGTCCTCAGCTCCAAGAGCCCAGGGCTTCTGATAATCACAGTTAGTGATGTTCATAATCTATTTGATGCAGCAGATGATAGACTTGCCATTGGGAAGATAGATGTGACGAATGAGCTTCGATGACTCAATAGGACACTGGCAACAGAAGCATCCCCTCTATAGGTGGTAACACCAGACCAGCAGATGATCATCTGGTTCGGTGGGGTAATAGATGGGGGCGCTTGTTGTAGATGTGCGGACAGGAGTGTGGTCGGCGTTAGGTAGAATTTCAGGGAAGAAAGAATGCTTTAAAGTATTCTGATGGGTACGAGGAGGATGAACCATAACCGTGGTGCGGAGGGTGGAGGAAAAAGAGAGTGATGGTAGCTGACCAATATATCTGGTTGAAGTTTTAAGATGGATTGAAGTGCATAGAGATAATTAGAAGGATGGATATAGAGGTTTCAAGATGGCGAGAGATATTTCCTGGGGGTGGAGAAGGTAGGAGGGAGGAGCTCAGGGTGGGTGGGATATGGGTATAAATATAAGTGCTGCTGAGTAAGATTATGGACAAGGATGAGGATTGATAACACCTATAGAAATCAATCGATACATGGGTCGTGGTGCATTTGAATCAACGCGAGCTGGCCAGGCAAACTGGGGAGGGGCTACTTCCTCTTTCCCGAAATAAAAAACATGAATGGTTATAGTATGGTCAGTCCTTGGTCACTGTTGGATTTCAAGTAGCGCAGCTTATACGGATAATATTTTCGATCCTCTAACTCGTAAATTCTTTGTTATGATACATGGATCTTTAGCCCGTTTCCAATCGAAGGCTGCATATGCATCCATCTAAGTATAGGCCGAAAGAACCACACTGCAGAGTTCACAATACAAGTTCGATACACAACTCTCCGTATTCCCTACATCCATCTTAATAAATCCTGAAGCGCGACGAAGTCTCTGCACCGAGTTCTAGAGTCACAGCCTATCACTCGCTCATAATCATGGACACAACAGGCGTTCCGGAGTAGGAAGGCGGTGTTCTCGCCCAAATACTGACTCAGCTATTGCCGCAAGCTCACCCTGAGTATGATAGGGCGTAGAATTGCACCTGTCTTTGTTCCGGATGCTTATAATTTCTAAGCACACGTTGTCACTCGGGGTTAGGGTTCTTTTAATTCATGTACATTGGCGTAGACACCTGCGGTAGAGGTGATCCCACGATCATTCTGATCAGTTGAGCATGCTAACTAGATTATTATTTGTCCTCAACTATGACTATGTACGTATAGCCTAAGCAAACCACCAGTGGGAAATACACATACCCACTACCTGAAGCGGTTCGGAGAACCCCGGATATTCGCGGTAGCAGAGTATGAACGCATCCTTTCGCTCGGTGTTGGTGCCTGCCAGTTTACACCGCACGTGCTGACTATATTCCTGCTCTCATCTCTTCTTATCTCACTTGGAAATGCTGTAGGAAAAATATAAAGAAATAGATCTTTACGTTTGGCTATTTCTAGCGCGTTAGGAAATATATGTACTGGGAACCCGGGGCATATCACTCCAGTCACAGTTGAAGAACCTCAGAACACGAAAGGAACCGTTCAATCCGTGTAGGTGGCTTTGTCGGAATGAAATCAGAATAACCATTCAGTACTTAAGTGTCCATCAGATCCGGGCGGTTGATCATATGGCTGTGCGGATAGGCTATTTCGCGATGAATTTCGTGATCTACATCTGCTCTAAAATGAAAGGGACACCAAACAAGGGGCTGGAGAAGCCGACATTCGGGGTATAGTTCCGCGGCTGCGCCCTAATTACAGTCCACCGCTCCTGGCCCCTACCTACCTCTCCCTGCCACTCCCTCTAGTCTAATCCCTCACCTGCCTCACCTCCACCAACCCCGCATAACCTCCGAAACGCACCCCCATCCACCTCCGCTACCAGAAACACGGTCAGCCAAAAAGAAAAACCCCAAAATATCCCCAATCCCGCACAACCACTCCCTCACCGAAGCCAACAGACGAGCTCATGGGTCATCTGCCGCTGGTGGGACTAACTTGCAGGTTAAGCATCGGACGAGCTTATAGGTCCTCCGCGCCGCCTGCGATAGCACCTGGCGCGCGCGAGCCGATGGGTCGGTGCGCCAGAGATTGCGCGGTTTTGAGGTGGGAAGTGAATGAGAAAGGGAAAGGGAAATTGGGGGGGGGGGGGGTAGGAAGGGGGGGACTTAGCCTTTGTGTGCCATGGCTTGTTTGTGAAAGGTTTGCTCTTGTGTTGCTGGCGGTGATTAACTACATGTACTTAGGTGGTGGTATTGGTTCTTGTCGGTGACCGCTTCACACGGCCCGGAGGTGTATCAGTTGGGGGTGACGGGTGGTTGGTGGTGCGTTGTCAGAACATAGCGTTCCAATTCTCTAGGCCTATTGGGTTTCTACGTCCTCCGGAAAGTTTTTTGCAAGGATGGAGGACCTACACCGATAAAGAAAAGCTGTTTCCAACTCGTGATGTGAAGAAGGGATGGAGGAGGAAGAGTGATAAGAGAGGGTAGGGTGGTATATGTACCCCGCCCAACATCCAAATCACACTTGTTTCAGAGTTACCCCTGATTTCTTTGTCTGAAGATTGAAAGTTCTGGAACATTGGGAAGGAAAAACTTTACATGACCTGTCGTAACCCTAACCCTGATGTTTCTCGTGGGCGATGATAGCGGGAGAGAGAACAAGATAACGACGCAATAAGGGCCTTCAAACCTTTTCTGTGACTATTTCAGTAGATGCTGTCTACTCCGTGAATCTCTGGGTAGAAAGTGCAAGATCGAGATATGGTGTTCTCGCAATCTCTTGTCTAAAACATAAGCTCTCTCTCTACCTCAAACCTGCGGAAACTCACCAGTAAAAAAATTAATGCGTACTCCTATTTGGATACACACAGGCCACACCCTCTATCCCGGGTGTGTGAGAAACGTAGAGTACACTCTGCCTACGGCTGATGAAGGGTGGGCTGATGCTTGGGAAATTTGTTCTATGCGTCTCTCTTCCTCAACAGCTCGGCAGATTGACATCATTGTGTGTGGCTTAACTACCGGAGGAGAAGTGTTCTAACCGCGTAACAGACCGTTATCCCCCTAAAGCCTACATGTGCTTTCCCGGCCAAATATTATTTTTCCCTTCTGTAATTAGTAATAATATTATAAGGGGACGAGCCGATGAGGCTCGATAACCTCAGTAAAACAAATAAAACCTCTCTTCAATGCTCCATCACCCTGCACTAACTATAGGTACAGCAGAAACATATAGCTTACGTAACAACTTGCCATATTCTTGTATTATAGTGGGGGTCCTACGACGGGGTCAACAAAATTCAACAAAGACTATTCAATCTCTTCTTTTTTTTTCGCTCTGCATGGATCTGCGAGAGGGTGTAGTGATATCATATGTCCTATATGTCAACCGCCTTTCTCCATCGACCCTACTGAACGGTGCGTACTACCACTCGACCGTGTGATGTAGCGGAGGTTGAGGAGTGGTGTTGCGTCTGGCATACTACCGCGGCCAAATCACAGATGTTAAACTCTGTAGGTCGAATTCCGTGGTGGACAACCCGGCCCATGGTATCAAAGTCAGGGCCTGGCCTAAGGTAAATAGCCCGGGCGAGCTGACTAGGGGTGTTCGTCCATATGAACTGGGTGTTCATCGACTAGAACTAGGTGCATAGTAGCCTGAAAATCTACAGTCTTTTGCGGTAGTGAAGCTAGGTTTGGCCAGATAGCCATAACCGGTTTATAGCGTTGGAAACCATGTCCAGGACCCAGTGTTTGCAGTGGTACAAACCAGTATTAAAACCTCCCCGTATTGTACCAACTGTACCACGAGGACCTCAATACCATACCAACTATTTAACCACCTTTTCTAACATAGTTAAACCGGTAATACTATTTATCCAGATGGTATGTGGGTTAGGGTTCTTAGCGGGTGTTTCAGGGCCAAATGTTGCTCCGGAGGGGCCAAAGTAGTGTGGTCCACGAGGCTGCTCGAGGCAGGCAGAGACAAGTGCCTCGAGGCGCCTCCGCCTCGTGTGGTCCATGCCTTTGCTTGCTCGTGAGAAATAGGTGATGCCTCGAGGTGCTCGAGCTAGCTCGAGGCAGATAATTCAGATATTTAGATTCGCCAATATCATATATTACTAGAATACTGGCGTGAAAATGTAGGGAGTACTTCCAATATCCCTATCAGAAACCCCCGTCCCACTGAATATATGCCACTAATACATGATTACCTAAACCTCGAGTAGCTCGAGGCGAGCAAAATGATTTGCCTCGAGCATGCTCGCCTCGTTGACCCCCATGCCTTGAGCTCCCTCGAGGCAGAGGTACCGAGGCAATTCCTCGAGCGTCGAGACCTCGTGGACCACACTAGGCCAAAGGTGGCGGAAAAGCAATATTCAGAACCATTTAGTTAGTTGCAATTGGTTTGTATCGGTTTAGGCGGCACCATGTCTCAGTTTAACCACCATCACCCGACGCTCAAACCGTACTAACTGTATCATTATTATTTAGTTTTGTACCGGTTTGTACCGCCAAACCGACGTCTCATTGCAAACGCTGCCATGACCCCGCTGGACATGCATGAGCAATGCACCCGGGGGTCCCTAAAGGTGATGCAACGTTTGACATAACGCCAAAAGGCACCCGGATTCAAATATTTTAATACAACACAACGACTGAATGCGATAGATATTCTGATCATATGTATGAGACAGGAGTCTCTAGGATAGAATCTGCATTTTTTAAGTCATTAATTTGTATTTTTTAGCGTATAAAAGGGACAGCTTCCAAATAACAAAGGTGATAAAAGGACAAGCCACAGCCATTCATAATAGCTCTTGCCAAAACTATGATCTCCACCTTGTAAATTATCATATATCGACTTCGCGTCTTATTGGCTAGTTTCGTTGTTGAAGAATATGGATTGTATGACCGTTGTATCACTTTTAGGGACCCCCCGGGGACAGGTGAAATACAGTTTCAACTGTAGAGCTGTTCGGAGCTGCTAGAACTCTACCCACAGCAACTGGAGACCAAAGCTGTGTAGACTTTTGGATTCCTGGCTCGGCAACCAGTGTTCGTCTCCATATTTATATAATGACCAGTTCTATTTATATCCAGAGCAGGTTTAACAAACTAAACTAAACCGAACGATGACGTAATAGCCAGTCGGTTTGTATTGGTGAACCGAGGAACTGTTCGAAACACTGCGCTCAAGACTGATGTCGCCATTCCCTGTTTCACTTTCTCCAGAGAGCCGCGGATGTCCAGCGCTCTTACGTCCGCAGTGCTTCCGTAATCGTAGATGTCTGCCCCACCTCCGCACACACTTCATTCCCGCAGACCTACCGCTTCATCCCACCATACCCCGCACCTCAATACAACTTCCCCCCAACGTCCAAAGCTCCCTCCAACTATATCTCCCTCAATCTATCTACTCAGGAACCAGCAGTCATCTACCCCTTCCCTACCTCCCGAGCAGCCATGGGCCACGCAGTAACGCCCCCCACCACACCAAAGCTCTACATGCCACCCGATGTCCTCAACATCCGGTTCAGGCCACGCTACAAATACGACGGTGGAGTATAATCCAGTACGCATTGAATATCAAAACCAGCTCAAGCACCCCCGGGGGAGATTGAAGCAGATCTCGAGTTTATATTCCGATAATCTGCTCAATAAGGCTGGGCTGACCAGGTACCGTCCAGAGCGCCATGAGTACCGACAAATCCCGTCGCACTCTATCGCGTTATCTTTCAAGTTCCCGAGGTGTGCGCTTTTATTTCATAGCGACCGCGGCTAGGTTGAGGACTAGCTTCAATACATGCATTCCGGCGACTATGCCAGTCCAGCACTCAGCAGTGGCGGTAACGAAGCGATCAGGGATATAGGAGCGGCAGCCATCTCACTGGGAAAGTGAAAGCTATATTCAGAGGCCAGATAGGTCCACCTGACACCTGTAACATGTCCGGTCAAGATGACAGGACTGAGCAGCGTGTAGATGTTGTCTGAAAGGCGACCAACCTGCAGGTTAATGCCATTTTACACCTCACCCAGATAGAGGTACTACCTACACGTAGATATAAACTGGATAGCGCACACTATCCATATTGTATGAAAGATAAAAAGGAACACTGAAATCACAGTCAAACATAACTATCAGCCCAGGCCCCGATCCCGATGCCCTCGACGCATTGTAAAAGGCATCTGACTTTATTCAGTCCCCGGTGTTGATTAATTCTGGCTACTACGCGAAGAAAATGGGCTCAGCTTACCACCATAGTACTGCGGCTTCGTAAACAATGCCGAACTAGACCGGCTTTGTGAAAAAGAGAACAATACAATGAAAGAACCTTAACGGGAGTAGTATAGCGAATCCATAGATTTGGTTTGTGGATCGTCGATGCCTTAGGCGGCGTCTTGCTATTATTGAATTTGGAGGTCGATATTGCGTTTGGAGATATGTATCTCCGGTAGGGCGGTGGAGCCCGGGGGTGGGGGCCGGGCACATTGCAACATGGGCATTTTGGATCGAACACGTTCACGTAGGGGACGTTGTGTAACTTGTCAGGGGTTTTTATGATATTTACAAACAGTGGTGGATTTTCCATCCACCGTTCATCCCGCTGATGAACGGCTACGCAAATGAGCAACGGACAGAAACAACCCTACTCTCTCAGGGAGAGCATTATAGTACACTTCCACACCAAAGGACTCCATGCCCGGTTAACCAAAACCTCCATTCAGCCCCCCACAAAAGCGAACCACCTCGTACTCACCAAGACCCCCCGGCCCTCACATCCAACTCTCAAATACCAATACCCACATCCATAACCCCCTCAAGCCTCAACCTCCCCATCCACCTCCTCTCATAATGCACCCAACAGACCCCCCTCCTCCCGATCCACTCCTCCCCCCCCCTTGAACCCCTCATACCCCCCCTCCCACGCCTCCACAATCCGCCACAACGCCTCCATCTCCCTCACCGCCTCCCTTGCCAGCACCCCCAACGCCCGTATCTGCTCCCTCACAACCCCCCACACATCCCCCTCCGCGGGGAACTCCACATCCGTAAACACCCCCCGCGCCCACTCGCGGCCCTCCGCAATACTCATTGCCGGCGGTGCGGCGCGGAGCTCGGCCACGGCCCGGTGGTAGCGCCGCACCTGCAGGCGCCGGACGGAGAGGGAGATGAACACGGACCAGGAGGCCTCCTCGGTGTACTGCTGGTGCTGCTGGAGATATTGGAGGTGGGCGGCGTTGTCGGGGAGGGCGCCGGGGTCTGGGATGAGTGCTGCGAGGGCGGAGGTGGGGGGTGGTGGAGGGGTGGGCGGGGGAGGGGCGAGGCGCTTTTTGGCGTTGCGGGTGGAGCGGGTGCGCATTTTTGTGGTGGGTGTGCATGGGGAGGGAGAAGAGGGAGGGGGGAGGAGAGGTGGAGGGGGTGTTGGGGTTTTTACTGGGTGCGTAGTTGGCAAAAACTCTGGAGACACCTGTTTGGTGCGTGGTGGACAGCTGGTATGGTATTCCGGTGACCTGGCAGTAAGGGACATATAGTTCTCCTCCTGGAAATACTGATCTGGCGACTTCTGTAGGATGGGGACGGCTTCACACCTCCGAGGTTTCCGTAAAAAGAGGAAACGCCCCTTCGCCCATGTAGATACGTGCAGTGCAGATATCTCACATCTGGTTTGCGGAATGCAATTTGGACAATACTTCTTCAGATAAGAAGAGGCAGCTATCCCCGATGGAACGATACGGAACCACTGTTCTATGTATCTTTATAATAGCTCTACCGCTGAATGGAAATACACGTATACCACCTTCCACCCCCCCCCCCCCTTCCTCTTCCGCGGTCGCCTAATATGAGCAAATAGATACTCAAGGAGTCCTATCAACAACCAGAATATATCTCTTGGAGCCACCACCATCTACCGCCGCGCTCTCCCACCCAAGCATATCCGATAACATACGGGAGTGCGGGCTGCCATAAGTATTTCCGAAGGCGGCATATACTCAGCCTTGGCCTTTCGGCTCAGCCGGGAGAAGCCAAAAAGGCTACGTGTATATATATATTGGGCTGCTGGTGGGACTTATTGGTTTTGCCTCCGGGTGCTACCTTGTGATTACTCTCTCTGTCCCCGGGGGTGTGTGGTGTGCTTCTTTCCGGGAGCTAGATGCTAAGATTATTGAGCTTCGCATAGCGCTGGCTCTACATATCTTCGTCGCTGTCTTTTTTCTGTTCCTGCCCCGGCCATGGGCATAATTGTAGATGGGCAAGGTCGTTGCCGCCAAGAATCGAGTGATACGGAATGAGTCGAATCCCAACTTAGATCACAAAGATCTTTTAAGATCGAGTCCTCTACTAAACACTATAAGAGCAGAGAACGGTTGAGAGAACGTGTTGTGGCGAGTCTCATAAAATCTCCCCGGAAACACCAAGGACAAGAAATCCATGCTTGCAAACCCTACCTTTACGGAGATATTCTATGATCTAGATCTCCGAAGGCTCTTACACATGTTCCTTCGACATTCGGATTCTCAGGCATCCCGAGCACAGGGTTTTCTTGTTCCATCCTCGAAACCAAAATATGCTCGCCACTCACGGCCAATTTCGCCGCCAATTCAATGGCTCTATGTGACGGCGCATGAAGCCAGCTGTCGAATCCCCTCACACATCCCCACCTGGAAAGATAAAGATATAAGAGAACAGAAATCCTCTACATGCCGGAGGAGGATTCAGCCTACCCCACATGGTCTCTAGTTCGAAGTGACAGCTAATCTCGAAAGACGTCCGGCGCTCTCCACCGAAGAACTTGAGGACTCCTGTAGATATATGGGATTAATGCGCATCTATTTATTTCTACGTGCGAGAAGAAGCCTCTCATCATTTGTCTAAGACCCAGACTATCTAATCTGACCAAACTCACTACTCACACAGATAATTCTACCGCTCTTCTACGATTCTTGTATAAATAGAATAATTGCGCATCGACCAGCCGCACCAGCTGCAGGGGTTTGCAACCCCCCCCCCCCCCCGGGGCGGAAAACTCGTCTTTCATTACCCACTGCCGATCCGCGAACAAAAATCCACAACCGCGTCTTCCACCATACTACACGCATCTCCCTCCTCCGTCCATGTCACTGACACCTCCGCCCCCCCTCTGCTGCGCCGCTCCCCGAGTGAACCCCCTATACAAATCCAGACACCCACCCTACCCACCCAGACCCCGGCGGGACAGAGATATCTGTTGAAGTCCCTTGCCACAGCCACTCTAGTCATATGTCACCACCGTCAATCGGCGGGGTGGCATTTTGGCGTGGAAAATCAACCAGAAATATGGTACACATTGCGCTGGCTATGAACTTTCTGTCGCATGCCTTGTCGCCATATCAACGCTATTGAGCTGTGGCCCCTGTTGAAGTTTTGTGCCTCTCGGAGGTGGTGGTGGTGAGTGTTTTGCAATTGGCTTACCGGGAACTAGAGAAGTGGGTTAGGGTTTTTTTGGCTGGAGCGATTTCGGTATTTTTGGGGATTGTGGTTTTTGTATGTATTAGAGGATTTCAGTTGATCCCTATTGTCGATTTTCAACGTGAGGGAGAAACTCTAGCTGCCAAGAGCCTGTTCCTAAATGAACATCCTGTGAGTGCAGACAGAGAAATATTCCGGGACGGAATATCCAGCATTGGGTATTTATCAGAACGTGACATGTCGGCTCAGGCAGTCAGTTTGAAAATGCGGTTTTTTTCAATAGATTCCAAAAATAAAAATAATTAAAAAAGGCCCTACTTATTCTCCGGATTTTGCTTTCCCTTTTCTCCAGTCCCAAGCCCCGCAGATACGAGCAGTCTTGTGGATACAATAGCAAAAAAATGGTATGGATTCGCTACGTTATTCCCGTTCATGCTGGAGGAATGGAGCAAGAATACGGCATTACAACGGTATTCTTTTTGTAATGTTGGTTTAATTCCGTATTGTTCCCTAAATCCCGCAATCATCCAGTACTGATTTCACCCCGTTTTTTGTACTGTAGTTTAAGACCACTTTCACTCTCTAATTTCTCTCCTAACTTAGTACAAGATGACTTCCTAGCTGGTTATGGAAAATGGAATATGTTGTATGCATACACCCAACCTTTCGCTCCTATTGTCTTTTCCAAAACGCAGCAGATGCGGCTCCCCTCATTAGTTCCGCGGCAGTGGGTGCAGTTCCTACCTGCCCCCCAACCTTGGCAACCTTGAGCCTCCCAATCGCCATCGCGCATGTACGTACGACTGAATCGTTAGGCGGATGAAAGAAACCGTTAGCACACCCCTTGCACTGGTGAATCTACGGTCGTTTTTTCTTGTCGTGGAAGCCAGCATATATACTCCCACCCTGCCGCCCGCGAACCAAAGAAAGATTAAAAACGAAATAAAAGAGCACAACTAAACAAAAAAAGAAGCTAGAGGATAGCGGGGATCGGCAATCGCGTTCTTTCACCAGAAGCGCGTTGGAATCGGGGAGTGCTGGGGTGTTGAGCCGGCGGTGTTTAAACCTGTCGTCCCGTAACATTCTACCACGACAGACAGAAAAGCTGTGACTGCGAACGCGCCGGGTCGGGGATTCTGCGGCGAGCGAACTGGAATTTATATAGTGACATCACGCATATTGCTGCCGTTGACAGCCGGATGAAGGTCAATTCTTATGCATTTTGGCTGAGTGGTGACACAGAGTCGCAATCCGGGGAGAGCTTGTAGCACCGAGATATGGGAAAGGGAGTTTTTTTGTTTCCTTTCACACATGGTGGATGACATAAGTGTTCCCAGAAAGCAGGGCTAATCAAGCCACACCACTAGCCACTCTCATCCGCTTTCTTCATCTACGTGTCCTCCCTGACCACCGAGCCCGACATCGCAGCGATCACTCGAGGGAATACCAAGAGTACGGCCGGAATGCCACATGAGTCCACAGATCGTTTCGCGTTCTAGATATTCCATATGATCGAGTTGAAAGGTTTCCCTCTCTCGTCAACGTTGCGTCTCGTAGGAGGGTGATGGGCCGGGCAACTACGATGCAGGGGAACTGAGACCACTATATATAGCTACCTAGTTCATTGGCCAGTAGGGGTTGTTTTCCTTGACAAAGAAACATTCCGGAAGAGCAGTCGTATCGCCTGATGAATTCGCCACGCGAACCAACCTGGTCGGCTGGAGGGTTTTCGTACCACCTGAGACATAAAGTATCACTCGTTTGTCTTGGCTTCACCGAACTTCTATTGGCTGGCCTACCGGTACCGTCGTCTGTTGTGTCCGTGGTAGGGGGGCCAGCGTCATCCCTTATTCTTGTCAGAGCAATTGCAAACTTGATAAATTATTGTTTATGAAAGCTCTAAAGCTCATCCCGCTGTCCGGATTTGGTGCAGATGGGTGTGATCGTCCTTCAGCACGCATTGGCATGTTAATATAATTTCTCGATTGCGCAAAATTCCATTGGTCCGTCCCACACCTACGCTTCTATCATTTAGAAAGGAAGATTCATGAGTATCTAGTGAGGCGAATTAGCTCTGCGTCCGGTATGTTGTGGGGAGCTCCTCGGCCTCGGCTGTGTCGGTGATATTTTCCACCCTTTATTTTAACTGTGGATATCTAACCTGTCGTTGCCGTAATTTGCGCTCTTGACGGTCGTGGAGTTGGCTTCTTTTGATTCTGAATTTGCCTTGTAGTATAGCTAGAATTAGCAAGGTTAGAGGACCGACAGGAGCTTGGAGAAGAACCTCTTGAAAAAACTCACAACCCCAGTTGTTGTTAAATTTGTTCACTTGTACTTCGCCTATCATGGTGTATAGAGTGGCATCTTTAACCAGAGAACCTACTCTAGAGATTGTTATGAAAACCGTAGTTATCATTCTCACATGGGGCTCAGTAATAAGTACAAGTAATGGCCGCCGGCAACGCCTGAGCTCCAATCTTTAGACCCCCCCCCCCCCCCCCCTGCCAACCGCGACAGGCACCCGCCTGAGATTTCGCACCGAAACATCTGTAATACATTTAGCACCCGCCGCCACTATAAATATGCAACAGTAGACCCACTCTCCACTCTCGGCCTCCAGTCTCCAACACAAACAGACTCACAACCAAAAATCCTCAACTTTGAGTCAAACAACTAAAAAATAAACAACTTCTCCACTCATAAACAAACAGCTTACCTACCTCAACATGCCTTTCATTGCTATCGCCATTCTCTACCGCAAATACCGCGCCGGCCGTATATCCCTACGTGCCTTCCTCCGGTTCGTTCTCAACATGTTCCAATATTTGATCCTCCACATCACGCTTTTCTTCCTCAACATGTGGGGGCTCTATGTAGTCATTGGCCACAGCACTCGTCCAACGAATACTATCACTTGCACCAATACCACCTCGGTCGTCGTCAACCTCCCGAAGTATCAGGAGGTCCGCAACCTCCCAAAGTATCAGGAGGTCCGCAACATTCCCCGTTGGAGGGAGGCTGGAGCTTATCGTCATGAATACTCGGAGGCCCGCATGGTCAAAATTACGGGATCGGTCTGGGAGTATGTCCATGAGCCGGTGGTGAGAGGGACTAGTGGTGTTTATGGGGTGGAGAGGGCGCAGGGGCAGCTCGTGCATGCCTTCCCTGCGTTGCATGGTGCGAGGGGAATCTGATGGATTTCATTCGCCATCGTCATCGGTCTTGCGTGGAGTTATTATGGGTGCGTCAATTGTGTGGTTCTCGGAAACCTTGTGATATCTGCTATACGGCGTCAGAACTAAAGTCTTTTGCGAAATCTGAAATTTAAACTTGTTTTGAATAATCTTACTTCTCCGTGACTTGAAACTTAATATACTGTATGCCTGCCTGTGCGATGTGATTCCATGTATGCTCTATCCATCTTCTCTTTCCGTTGCATAAACCACCAACCGGAGAAGATCGAACCCATCTCTTAACAGGTATAGGCAAAAGATATTGTAATACTACGGCGAGCCCTGTCCTCTCGGAAAGGAATGACATTGTAATCAATATCGCGGGGTTGGGGAGGATGTTGAAGTTGATGAAAAATGTCGTGAGAAGTTGACAAGAAGAAAAGGTGGTTACTTTTTACAATGTCCGCGACTCGCGAGTTTCGCTTCGTGGCCTCCCGCCCTGAACAACAGTCCATGGCCTCCCTCGCTTGCACGAGATTCTAATTTTATCTTACCACGAGTGCACGTACCTAGGACCAGAAAATAATCCAATCTCAAATAAAACTATTTTTGCATGAGGCGTTAGCAGTGTGAGTTAGGGTTTGTGCGCTCAGCCACTCGGAACGATGCATTTCCCGACCATATGGCGACACAACGAGCTCCCTAGGAACAACCAAAGAAAAAAGAAAAAAAGAGAGCACATAGGGTTGTGAGAAAGTACTTCAAAATAGACAAAATGGTAAATTATTTTACAACAAGATATTGGGCCCAGCCCTCTAAATACTCAACCGGCTTTAGCGTCATGACACAGGTGGACCATGAACCATAGGATCAGCATGTAAAAATTGAGTTCAATGTCCTGATTTACGCCGAATATCGTGTCTCTAGATGGAATATTATTAAAAAAAAAGCGAAAGAAGAAGAATGTATAAACTGCGGGGCTGCATGGCCATATATTAGTACGGTAAGATGAGATCGAGCTTGTTTTTAGCATGACAGTTCATGGTTTATCACGATTCTACTTTTTTTTTTCTACTCTATAGAGGAATGTTCTTGGATGAAGAGTTGCGTGGTAGGGTACGCCCGCAAGAAAAAAGTGACGAAACAACGAGTGATCTCCAACGCGGTTAAGCAACAACCATGACTTTTGAAGGGAGGCCATAAGGGTGTTAATACACTTCAGAGGGCGTAGTATATACGCTCTTCCTCATTTTGGGTTTCAAGGACTTCTTTTCATTGGGGTTGGTGTTAACTGCAGGCGTTGTTTCGTCACTTTTTTCCCGCGAGTGCACATAGAGTAGAGTAGAAAGGTCTACTATTTCTTGGCTCGAAAAAGGTTCGCCAATAGGAGCCCGCCCTTGTTTATCTCATACAGGGGTCGCGTTAATAACTGGCAGGGATATACTAACAATGCATGCTGAACCCCTGTCACTTCGACGCTAAGACAAGCCACCGGAGGGACAAGGATTAATCCTTGTCAAAATGCTACATTAAGGTAAGGACTATGACTCGTTCATAAGCCCTGATGGTCTAGTGGTATGATTCCTGCTTTGGGTTCTCTTAAATGCAGGAGGTCTCCGGTTCAATCCCGGATTAGGGCCTTGACTTCTCTCTCATCTGAATTGTCTGATTCTCTCAGTCTTTCGGGTGAGCGTTCTTTTTCCTTTCCTTAGAAACGGTGGATAAGGAAGCATCTTGAGGTTACGATGACAACAAATTCTGTGTTTTCGCTTATAGATGTTACCATTAATTTTCCTTATTTCGGATCCTGGCGCATATTTCAACTGATAATCAGAAAAGTGTATCCCTTCGTCTGGCAAAAAATGCTGCCCACCCCCCAAAAGCCAAATTTTATATGTGGCTTTACTAACAGATCCCGTTATCTCTCTTATCAAATAATAGATCTCCCATACAAATCTGATTCCTGTGTTATAGGGTGGGCAGCATTGCCAGACGAAGGGATAAGATCGCTCAGAAGTAAGGACATCTCTAAGCAACATTCGGCGGAAAAGGCCACCGGCGGCGGAGTAACTCCATATCGGCCACTGCACGACAACGAACTAAGAGAGGAAGAGCGGCATAAGAATAAAGAGACAAATGCACAAACACGCTGCGATCTGTTCAGCATAACTGCCGTCAAACGATAGTTGACCTATTTCATGATTGATAATCTTCTGAGACATTGGGATTAAGGGTAGAAACTTAGTAGGGTTCTCGATCACCTCCGATAAATTGTAATCAATCCGCCGAAATACTGTCCTCCAGCAGTTTGGCCAGCCCTACTAAATAGACACTATGTTCGGCCTATCGATAGATTCGGGACTCATCAGCTCAACGAGGCGAGAAACGATCCTCCTGACCGGTCACCGGGTCGGGTGAGGCATCTCAAAGGAATCCGGGGCCGCGCTCATTGCGAGAAATTTCAACGGTTTCATCCCGTTAGACTTCCGGGCATTCTTCGCAGCTGATCCTGTATGCTGTTTCCATGCCTTGTTTTGAATGTTACTGGACCGAAATAAAGAATAGTAACTAGAATAGTGAAGAAGATCCCCATCCACTTCTAGACTTACGGAAATAGTAGTCAAATGTCCCCACGCCTTTCTATTCCGCCCTTGAGCTTAGTATGACACTGAGTGATAAGGTTGGCGTAGTTATCTGGTACAAGGCGTACATATCACTCCCGGCACGTAATCCAAGATCACCGAAGAACCAGAAGAATGACTATTGTCAAACGACCTGCAGTGCTGGTACTCCGGAGTTCAGCAAGCGTACATATGCTGCCTTTGCCGCATTGGAAATTCCCCTGTTTGATGGGGTTCCTCGTCCCATACATATACCTAACCGGGGGTGTGAATCTGTGGTTCGTAGCTGAAGATGTGTAGGTTCTATCCGGCAAGGGTTCTCATAGGACAACAGAAAATCTCAAGCGCTGCTTAGCACTACCCTAGGGGATATAGCCAAAGTCATTTTATGACAGTGCCAAACCTGCGCTGTTCTAAATCTCCTCGCAAGTCCACAACAACCATACCCGGTGATATAACGGCACTATCGCGTCCCAATGTAACTCTGATACGAGTGTGTAAACCGGAATGAAGAACCTTGTAGTAAGTTATAGGAATATGCCGTTTATGCTAGTGGCGATAGGAACTTAGGAAGTCTGGAAAGGGTAGAGGGGCGAGGAATTAATGTGGAAGGTTGATTACGGTCATGCGATTTCGAAGTAAAAGCTGCCTCATACACGTAGCTAGAGTGATAATCCATGCATCTATAGGTCCCTTAGTAGAAAACTCGCCTGGGATATCTGGAATGTATATATACATGGTCGCCCAGGCAGCGGGGTATAATCCGGAGGTCGCGTCTTCACGAAGATAGAGACGTGATGGCTTCATAAGCAGATTTGGAGTACGAAGGCGGTCACAGCGCGTGGAACCTTTGATCTTGTTCTCAATCCGTCTCATTCCAATATCTATCTTTACTTCCTACGCGAGCAAATTACGCAGGGTTCCAAGTTGCAAGACTTTCGCCCAGTACTATTATTGGACCTCCGGTTAAAAGCAGAGTGAGCGGCGGTTTTTTTTTTTCAACCGTATTTTGTTCCCAACTAACGCACCTGTCAGTCTATATATATTTACACTATAACCTATCCACCACAAACTATTCCCAAAGTCCTCGAGTTTGAATCTTAATCATGGAATGTCACTCGGATATCATCTTCGCCGCCCTCGGACCTCTGGTTGAAGCTCGATAGGTCCTGAAGGTATAGCCCATATATAATTATACTTTTAGTAGGTTCCCTTTACTAGCGAGATATTGCCTGTATCAAGGTCGCACTATTTCTGAGAGGTGGAACCCAGCGCCGGTAAAGTGTCGGTCATAGAATATCACTCGGATTATTTTGGTATCGGGATAATCGAATACGACTCCAGGGCTTTTCTTGTCCAGCATTTCGATTCGCAATTTCTATTAATTGACCGTTAATATAACCTTTAATTCCAGTGCCTACCTGCTATATTACTACCTGAAATTGCTGTGTTCGGAGGTTTCGCGAATCGTAGTGTGTTCTTGTGTTGACCGCCTCCGATATCTTTCCGGGGTATGTGAAAAGGGTCGTTGTATGGTTTCCTTTATGGGATAGAGTTGATTAGTGTGCACGGTACCATTATATTGAAACTAGCTTTCAGTTTCGCGATGATACCAACATTTGAAAGAATCGCCTGGAACTCGACTATCTTTAGCTGCTCATTTCAAAAAACTCCAATTATCCCGAGTCATTTTTAGTTACTCCTCGAAGTTAGATAGCAGCAGATTCCTGATCGTAGTACCAATCTTGTATAACACACACTAGTCAGATAGATGTGACTACCGGAGGAGGACACAAATCTTGTATCTCACACCCAAAGTATGTTTCCACGCCCAATTCCGAGCTGGCATGGAATTAGCGGGCTACCTGCTGCACAAGTAATTATTTTCTAGGTTCTCATGTAAGCCGGTGTCCAGCCCGGCTGAAGCTGCTCCGCCGTTTGACCACAAATACTCCCAACCAGTTCTATACGCATATTTAAACTGGATTTTGCAAGGTTGATATCGGCAGTGAAACGAAGCACTATTTAATTGTAACCCGAACATATCCGAAGAGAAATTCCACATCGCACCAAGGTTTTTTAGGCGGTAGCACTACTCGGCAGTCTCGACTGGCGTCCCGGAGATGTAGTATAGTCGGTGATACTCTTGGCCCTGGATACTAAACGTACCTGCCTCCACGTTTGGTTATTTCTTCCGCTGGATTCCGTGAATACCCTACCGCTTGTGTGTCGAGTAGGAAATAGTAAACCTTATTGTGTATTCTACTGCGTGTGAAACCTAACAGTGTAGAATATGAAAGTGGGACGTAGGAGAATGTGAGACAGCATATGCCTATTTCCGTATTCTAATCCTGTACCACACAGCCCAAATGTGCAGTGTGGGGGGAGGGTATATAGAAATACGACATTCCTTTCCGGGATTCCTGGCAGATGTAGAATCTTCCTACGATGCATGCCCGTTTAGCCACGGGTAGTACCTCCACGAGCCTTCTTATAAATAGCGTAATGTCAGCATCATTACTGCTCAATATCCAAACCACACCTTCTACAGCTCCATACCCGTAATCAGTCACACACGTTGCCATCACTGTTTCGCAACTCCAACTGCAAACCCTCCCTATATAATCATGACTACCAACAATGTCACCGAGTTCGGCGCTATTATAGCAGTCATCACCCAGAATTTTGATGGATATAACGAGAGTCTTCAGAATTGGATTTGCCTCTTCAAGCAGAGTGCTCAGCCTCTGAGCGACTACACAATCGAAGAGTTGTCCCCACTCGCCGCTCTATTAAAGAGGGCAAATATACTCAACACCATCGCGCTACTAGATTGTGACGCACAAACATTATTGCCCGAGGGATTTTTCCCCTGGACCGGTGAGAGAGAGTGTAATAGATTCATTGGAAACGAAGAAAACCCAATTCTGGAGAGGAACAGCCTGCATATTTATAGAAGATATTATGAAGCACGGGAGACCTTGCTGCCCCTCAGAACGGAGATTATGGAGCTCATAGTCACCAAGTTTAACATTAAGGAACCAGCAATTGAAGAGAGGCTTCATGAGAATAGGAAGGCAATACTGCTCAGCAAGGCAATCCATCAGCCTATGAGTGAAGCAGACCAAAACGTGTTATATAACGAGTTTGTTGCAACACAAGTCCAAAATTTTCATGGTGCAGCCTCAGTTGAGTATTCGCCGAGAACCGGAGTCATCTTCAAACCCCGGGCGTAGGAACTATATTGTAATTTTAGTTTTCTTACTTAATCTTTTCTCTTCAGATTCTCATTAGCTTACTTAACTGATGTAATTTCCTCGCGCATGTCCGTCGTTCTGTATTTAATTATCCAATTCAAATCTTCATTTTTCGCAACTTGTTTCATTCTTCCCTGTAGCAGTCTTTGCTCTATCTAGCTGTAGACTATCGCCTATGGATGATATATACGCTCCCTTATCCTCATTAATGTTCCCTCATAAATAGAGTATTCATGGAAAATAACCTCATACGAGTAGAATGCGTAATGTAACAGTAGGGACTCCCGAGCCAGGCCCCATTCCAGTCCATGAGATAAATGGAGGTAACCCTTATGGGTTGACTGCCTCCATCCAGGGTTCCCAGCGGTGCAGACCGCTTCTAAATTAAGGCAAACCCGTACTAATTGCAAGTCAGTACAGACAACCGTAGCAAATGTACCAACTGTTTATATTTAAGTCGAGGGTTTGAATCGGTTTAACCAGATAAACCGCGGCCCCATGTCTTAGAATGTCAGAGTCCGCGTTCTTACGAAGGCCTTTCATCTTCTGGAACAGGGTGTTCAAGCTCGGAACTGGGTCTTCCAGCTGCCTGGGTGCGGTGTTCGAGCTTGTGAAGTGGGTTTGCATAAACAGTTTAAACTGTCGGTATAACCGGTTGTGAGGGTGCATGAACTGTTTAACCGTTTATTTAAGGAGGTCAAAGCTCAGTTCTGATCCGTTGACCAAGACGTACATTTGGTCAAGTGTGCGCCCTGTCGATCAAGATGATGGACGGGGCAACCCCTTTGCCAAATGGGAGTCTTGATGAATTATTGACCCAATGATCAAGAGGTGGTTCCCGACAGATGATGGACGCTAGATAATATTTCCCTCCGGTGGATGTGTCAATGAGTTCACAAACAGAGAGACCTATTATAATTCCAGCAGAGTTCGGTCAACTCGAAGGTGGAATTATGATATTGTCAAGTGCTAAAAATAACAGATCACTGGCACCCTCGTGAGACTCATAGCAACAAGATTGTACCGTGACCTTCGAGGTCAGAGGTGTAAGTCCATTCTTTTCAAGCATCAAACTTCGTTTATGAGACTTGAAATTATTCAATTGCTCTCCTGGTTGTTGAGTTATTCTGAAGTAGGTTTCGATGTTCTCGTGAAGTGATCGGTTATTTTTGGCACCCAACAATACGTTTTGCTGTAGTTCAATACTCTAAAGACAATGCTTGATCAGATAATTTTAGCTCTTTCCTGAGCTGGCGTGGGCGAACTATTCAGAGGAATGGGATTTTTTTAGAAGACCATTATAATTATTCGAAATTTGTTAGTAAAGCCATACCAAATATATCTTTGTTTTGGTGGTTCAGTATTTTCACGAGAGCTTGAGGGATAGCAGCTGATAGAGTTCGAATCTCCATATGTATGTGTGGACTTGATCACTGTGTAGAGAAATTACATGAACTTGTTTAACGGAGTGCCCTATTCATTATAACATGGGCCTTTTGAAAGGATCGCCCTATCCATCAATCTTGAGGAATTGTGCGCGCACTTGGCCAAATCGATGTCTTGGTCAACGGATCAGAACAGCTCCACCAACTATTAAATTAAAAGGTTGAGTTCGGACGTTTTGAACCACATAACCGGCAAACCACTGGAGACACTGGCCATATTACGTTAGTTGGGTTCGGTGCACCACCGCCAGCAACTCTTGTACCTACCACATTTCTTGAACAGTCAAACCTTGAGAAACGGAGTGTATCCGGAGATCGACCAATTTCATCTACTTCTACCCCGAAGGATGGAGCACCATATACCTCCCCACCCCCTCTTCTCCTGCCATACATACACACTTACTATGGCCAACCAGGCTTCAGGCCTCGTTGGAACCTGGGGAAGATGCCATTGGCAGTAGAACAGCAGAGGCCTAGCATCTATACACTGGTACGATCCTAATAGGCTATGGGGAAATAAAGCTCTCCAGCCGGGAATAGGGGAAGATCCGCGAGCATTTGCCCTTGTGCCAACAGAAGTGCCGCGGTTGCCCAAACAAACGGGATATGTTGGAAAGGTGAGGTCACTGCCAGTTTATTTGAGCTAATTGAGATTTGGTAAACTTACATAGTGGTAAAGATCGGGCACTTAAAGTAGATGTGTGGAGTGTGAGTAGCAGAAGGGCGATGTCAACACCAGGAGTCGTCCAGAAACAGTATGGTAGTTATTCGTACTATATTAGAGAACTACAGGAAAGGCGTCTCAGGATCGTGACGATCTTAGCCCGCGTTGATGAAACGCATTGCAGATGGCCATCTCTCTTTGTATGGCTGTGGATTGAGAGAGGTGATCTGCTCGGGTGGTGACCCGCTGCAACTCGTTCCTTGCCCAATTAAAAACCACACCGGAAGCAGTTTGCTGGACTTCAATATTTGGCGGTGGAACATGTTGTCATTTTGCAATTCAGGGTTAGGTGAAAGATGGTCATTTGGCATGTGTTTCATCACCCACTCCTCCCTATATCTGGCTCCAATGTTTCATCTCAAATGAAGCCTTGTTCGTGATCAAATTACACCTTCTACACAAGCCAAGAACCAGAAGAACGACATCAACCGTCTAAAACAGCACTAAAATAGCAGAGTTATTGCCTTTACTTGGCTGTTCAGCTAGTTCATACAGAACCCATCAACGACTAGCTACAGCAAGGATACCCAAGGTACAATGTCACACCCAAAACCCGCAGTCTCACCACCAGGCTCTACCGCCACCAGAGACCCTATCTCCTCGAGAGTTACCAGGTCTCTCGACACCCATACACTCGAAGCCTTATCCGCTGCTAACACCCCCGAAACAATGGATGACACCATTCTCCCCGATTTCGACTCGCCCGAGATGTTCGCGTTAACCCCCTCACCCACTTCCGACAGGGCCCCTCCCGGCTGCAATGTTCTCCTAGTCGAAAACGGTAACTCCATGGCTCTCGCCCGCCAGGAGAGGATTAATATCACCACCAATCTCAGAGCTATGACTGCCCAAAAAGAAACGCTGCTCCACAAACTCCAGCACACCATGGTCTCCCCAACACCCGAGTATACACTCAGCGAGTACGAAGAGGACCTGACAGCAGTACATGGCCTCATTATGGCCTCCCGCGAAATGGAGTCCGATCTCGCATACAACTGGCTAGAGATGCAGAGACTCCGTGAGCAGCGGGAGATCCTTCGCGCTGCGAAGGCTACGAAGCTGCAGCTGCTGCATGCGCAAATTGAGGAAGGGGGTCGGGAAATGGTAATGCTTACGCGGATGTTAAGGGAGTTCAACTCCAAGAGGCCTCGACCACCGTCGGAGATCCAATATCTGGGAGTTTATGCTCCGGACGCGCCAGAGGGTACACTACGTGAAGGGGAGATTTTCTTTACGAAGCGGGATGCGGAGATGCATTTGATCTGGGTTGGGAGGCAGATGAGTATGTGGATGGAGGAGCGCGCGGAGTTGGAGGGGGGGGGTGATGATGGGCGCGATAATGGTTGGGAGTAGTTCTAGTTGGTACGGTATAATGGAAGAGATGGTTGTAATGAGAAGCAGACATATATCATAAGTCTCCATGATCTGTGTCTGCAAGATTAATCCCGCCTGTAAATGTCTTTCGGCTGTATGAGTCGTTCTTTTAATACTCTTAATGTCTAGTCATTGTATACAAGACTATCAAACATAATGTGTCTGCATTTTAACCCTGCCTCACTGAGAGTACGTCTGCGGAAGCAATTATATATATACGGAACGAATTATCGGTGCGATATGAGTTGAAGACCATACCGTGGCCACCACCGAATGTTAACCATTTCCAAACCCTTCAAACTTACGACCAACCCAACCATCGAATAGAAGCACCAAATAAACCCAACTAGCAAGCTCTCAAGCACCGGAACGCTCGCGCTGGCCATTGGAACATATGGGGTGTTGAAACTATGAGTTCGAGTCTATGAGAAATGTCCTAGTAGTAATAGTGTGGCCACATCTGTGAGAGGGCGGTCATATTTTATCACCTCAGTCTAAGATCACTTATATTTTTCAAGATGGAGTCACATTTTGAGTCTCCTCGGCATAAGAGCTCGTGTATGAGGGACCTGGGATGCGTCCTCTGCATTGTAAATCAACCAGTCCTTCTTTTATTAACAGTTCTTGGGAGGGGGGGTTGAAGTAATGTGGGAACCGGGGGTGTCCAGTTAATCCTTGGACTGTTTTTGTGTAACGATTCTGTAGAGAAGGTCAACACAAGCTAGGACGTATACTCGCTAGGGACCTAAGACTATAGGAATACAAGATATTTCATCCTTGAAACTCCGGTCGAGATACTACTTCAGAAGTACATGTAGAGTTGGGGGCCCCGGGGGTCTTGAGAGAGGATCAGTTTGGGTTCCAATGCGAATTAGAACCTTGTGATAAAGGATGGAGTAGCTTTAAGGTTATAGGATGGAAATGGCTGTATTACCATTACCCTTGTGAATTGAAGGTGTTTAGAAGGTTTACTAGCTGGCATCTGGGCTTGGTGATGAAATGTATAGAGAGCACAAATAAAACGGATTATGACCGAACTGGGGCAAGTATGAGGAGAAATATCTTGCTGATATTTGATCTCTGCTCTTTGGTATTTATTTCCGGTCTGGTGCGTGCGGGGTGGAAGGGTTTACGGCTGGAAATACGCCACCATTTCCATAATGGTTCCGCCAGCTGCGGGTCGATATATAGATACCTATTTAGAGAGCTCATACCATTAAACTTATAGCACTGGGTTATACCAAAAGCCTCTTGTATCTATTTACACCTGCAGAATCTCCAGTCTTCTTACCTCTTTATAGCCGGTATATGTTAGTTTTAACTTCAGGATAGTAGACTATATTATTCAACTAAAGTCATCCAGGTTTAATTATGTATTGTAGTTTACCCATCATAATCTGAGAGTAAGATGCATAGTGTTATAAAATCTTTGTTATTTCCCACACGCTGTGCTGACTATCTACTACTATCTACTATGCCACAATTAACCTGTATCCCAGGCCCTAATATCCCTATTCTTTCTTTCCATGCGCCGCTCCCATGAACCATCGTGGACACTACACTTATCCTCCCCATGCTCCTTCTCGAGGAAGATGAGTTATTTAGTAAGACCTTTACGGGATTTATAGAGTGTTCCGAAGGTTATCTGGATAGTTGCAGAGATAGGGAGTTTACCTATCCCTGGCATCACTGGAAGGCGGAGAAGGAGCAATATTTCACTCTAGGCTCAAGCGAGAATTGAAGTTGGATTGCAGGGTTCTCAAGGACAATGGGGTATGGTGATATTTATCGATAAAACTCTCTGGTGGTACACCGAGAAAAGTACCTTTAGGTAATAGTAAGTATGATATGGTATCCTATCTGTATCCATAATATCATGATAGAGTCTTGGCGCGCGGATCAACAGTTTGTCCGCCCTTATTTGCTTTTTCTAAGATATATTGATTCTTCGGACACACTTTCCGAAACATGAGACATCACTCGTTTCCACTATGATATATCACAGGAAGGCAGAGAGGGAGCAAGATTTCACTCTAGAGTCTAGATTCAGGGGACAATTGAAGCGGGAAATATATATAGGATACATCGTGGAACGAGGTCTCGTGACTATCAGGTTCTGGGAGAGAAAAGGTATATGTACATGTAGCTTTATCTGAGTGTCAGGATTTTTTAATTACCTTTTATATAGCAAAGAACGAATAAATGAATCTTCAATATCGCTAGCAGCATGTAGTGGGTCACGGTGGCCATGGCTACGATGATTACTTCTTATCCAATGACAAGCAGTGGGAAATGAGAAGAACAAAGAGGCACAGATGGAACAAATATATGTTTGATTCCGGAAGAAGGAGAGTGTTAGGTTTCCTCAAAATCTCGCGATACCTGCATGAAGAAGAAGAGGAGAGCGGAAGAGTGATCGTCCTCCGGTAGAAAGCCGATGGCTCAATTCTGCGTGCTCACCAAAGTTTGATTGATAGGAATGATTCTTTCTTCCATACAGGACACAATTATAGTAATCCAATAGTAACAATATGACAAGAACATATCCCCCTGACGCACCTTCTATCGTCTAGCTGCAGTGGTCCATATAGCTTGCATATATGAAAAAACCAAGGAATATTCCACCGTCACCAATCCCGCTTCATCCCGGTACACAAAACAAAAGCAAAAGGTAGAACCACACCTGTAGTCTACCGGCCTGTACTGTAGATGTAGAGAAACCTGGTTAAACAGTAGCCAGGAGTTTTAAAAAGCATTCGTGATCAATAATGAACGCCGTCTCCATGCAGTATCCCATCTTATCATCTTGCCACAATTGAAACAAAGACACGGTGACCGTCCGGCAAAGATAGTGTCATTAGGATATGACAGGTATTTAATCAAAACGTGTCCGATCCTGGACGATAAAAAGGGAGGGATTTCCGTCAGTTTTGACTATATACCAAAATATCTCCCAAACTAACATAAGTTATATACGAACCTCTATATCCTAACGATATCTATCGATCAGCTCTTCAACCTGAGTTGTATCAACTCTGATAGAATTGATGTGGCCGGAGAAATATAAAGGAACTATACGCTACATATACTGGTCATGGGAGGGAAGTATCCTAGAGCTGAGTGTAAAACCTGCCCTGGGTATCACTCACCGCCGATTAACTATATAAATTCCTCCCATTTCTCTCACTCTATCTATCACAAAAAAACCCTCAGAAAAAAAAACCTAAACAACTCTTCCTCCAAAAAACATTCCTCAACTTATACTAGTTGTCAAATCCTCCCTCTAAATTTAAACAACCATCTATCCCCCACCCCACAACTATAAAATGACCACCCCCGAGTCTCTCCTCCGTACTGCCGCCGTCGCCCAACACCTCGCCTAGGCACGAGTCTAGGAAAGTATTGCTAATTAATGGTAGTAAAGAATTATAGCCGGGTGACCTATATGAAAAAATATATCCTCCATTATCCATCCTAATATATTTTACATACCGACTTACTGAGATGTATATTTTTAGTAATAATCACAAGAGCTCAAGCCTAACTTCAAGGCTCGAACAACTCGATCCTTCTCCTCCACAATCCGAGCCGGCTCGAGGCTCATACCCATCACTATCCTTACCTTGTTGATTTTATTCAGTGCGGAAGCCTACCCATGGCGCAAAAGCTAATACGGGGCCAACCACCTACGACGTATCCGACAGACGCAATCCTCCCACTCCCATCCCCACTCAACACCTCCCAAAGACACCACACAGACAACGTCCTAGCTACCCTACCTTCACCAAACACCCGACAAAACAATCCTTCAACCACCAATACTCTCTACAACACCTCGCTCCTCCTCCAAACAACCATGCAGACAATCCACGAATCCGCCGCCTCCCGCAGAGACCACGTCACCCGCCAGTGCGCCAACGCCCAGAGTCTCATCGAAAGCCTCAGAAGGGGGTACGACGTGGCCTCCTTCAGGAGCACAATGATCCGCTGCAGACTCGCGCGCAGCGGGTACGACCTGCAGGCTGGCACTCCCCGCGAAGGTGTCACCATGACGGTCGAGATGCGGCGCGAGATGGGCCGCCTGGAGGAACAATTGGGTGTTATGTGCCTGTGCCGCACGAGGATGGAGGAGATGGATAGTAAGCGCAAGGATCTGCTGTGGAACACGATGCGGTTGGAGGACTTTGAGAGGGTTGAGGCAGAGGCGGAGGCGAAGGCGAAGGCGAAGGCAGAGGCGGAGGAGATTGGAACGGGGAAGCTGAAGGGGGAGAAGGACGTGGAGGGGGAGGATAAAGATGTGGAGGAGCAGAATAAAGACAGTAAACACTAGCAGGATAAATTAGGAACAGTATTGACGTCTTATCACAAATTTCCTGATCTCACTTTACTGTAGCAGCTAATGCAAGATATTCGATAAATATCTTGCACTTTAAATTTTGCTCTCTCCGTAATTTCAAATTAAAAGTCCATCCGAGATTAATCTTTCATGTCGCTCTGCTTCGCCGTCCACAGCTCCGATGCCGTGGAGAAGCCGGATGTTCAAGGTAACATCATACACCATAGAGCCCAGCGATAGTATGAATTACGTGCTAGAATCCGAGTTCCACCAGCGCTGATAGCACCCTGGCTGTAAACGTTCAAGAATCCATACGTTGCCAATTTTGTTCAGTGCGGAAGCCTACTTACCCAGGGTGCAAAAGCTAATACGGCAACCACTCACATGTCCTTATAAGCCAGCCGCAATTCTCCCACCTCTCCCACTCTCCACATCCCTAAACACAACCACCAAACAACCATTCCCCCACAATCTCTAACAACTACCAATACCCATTTCCCAACCACCTCACCAAGCAGCCATGTCAACCCCCCAAGAGCAATGTGCCACCCTCCTCAGCACGCTCCCCGTGAGGGCGTGACGATGACGGTCCAGATGCTGCAGGAGGAGGTGCGCATGGAGGGGTGCTGGCAGTGTCGCAGGATGATGGAGAAGACGGATAATCATCGGAACGACTTGCTGTTGCAGGAGATGCTGGCCGTGGAGAGAGATATGAAGAGGGCGGAGGAGAGGGCGAGGGCGAAGGAGGTTGAAGAGATGCTTCCGGATGATGACATGGAGGGGGAGGCCGAGTTTGTGGAAGATCAGATTTAAGGAAAAAGAATTAGTTGTAAAAGTTGCACAACTTTAACGTTTTATCATTGAATCATAAGCTCTGCAATTTGTTCTGTAACAGTTAGCTCGCAAAAATCGGAAATAAAGATCTTACCGTTTAAATTCTCGCTCTCTGTAGCGTTTTTGAAAGCGCCTCCGGGACCAACCTCTCATGTTGCTCAAGTTTCTTGCCAACGGCTTTGACACCGTCGGATTTGACACCGTCAGACGAGCTCTGGCTGCTCGTGATCGAGGTCTTGCTATGAGTGATGCTCGGGCTCGATGATGGATGAGATGATGATGTGGTCTAGGTTATGAAGTCTCGTTTTATACAGGTCTGAAAACAGGACAGGCTTGCTTGACCCGGCTGGGCCACATCACCGCTGAATCGGTCACAACACGGTTACGCTTAGTCTGCACCACAACATCCAAGGCAATGAATTAAACGAAAAAAAAAAAAAAAAAACATCCAAGGCAGCGTCATATCCCATCACTCGAAATAGTCACGAGTGACATTCCATGATCAAGCACGTGGGTTACACAAAGACCGTTCTAGAGAATGCCCTTAAAACCTATGGTGGCGATGTCTCACTTACAAAGGTTTGTTAATATAAAGCATAGGGATTCCAAAAATTGAGAGCACAATCAGTGTTCACGAGAGCCTCGACTCGAGTCGACTCGCTGTACACTCCTCATGTTACCAGAGCGGGGATACTCGTGTAATATAGACCCCGGCTAATCAAGCCCAACAAGAAACACCCAGAACCCACTGCTAAGAGCTCTCTCGAGTAGCATCGAGATGCATCGAGGCATAGATGCATGTGGCTGGGAACAACCCAAAGCAGATCTCCTTAGATGCAGATGCAGCTCAATGCACCCCGTCTTTCTTCTCTCGACGCGCCTCGGGGACCACACTGAGTTACTACTTTGTAATATATCTCCTACGGTAGTAAAGTTATCATGTATCGAAGTTGACCATTTCCTATATGTTCGAAGAACCAAGACTAGGCAAAGTAAAGCGATATTTGACCTCCTGATACCCGAGTGAGAGCTTCAATCGCTGAGGTGGAAAGGAGAACTCTCTTCGCTTCAATAGCTATTGTAGAGAGAAAATTATGCGTATATATACAGTCAGCTTTGCATGCCTGACATCCTATTCGTACCCCAGTCCCATCCGCCAACCAATCTCCCGGGTCAGTTGAAAAAGGTATTACACCGTGGTCAGCAGAAAAAGATATTGCACCGTACTTGATCCTATAAATACCAAGCGTGTCTTCCCTTCTCTGGCTTCTTCCTCCATCCTTCATCCCAACGCCACAAAATTCACACACAAACCATAGCGTTCTTTCCACCTCCAACAACCACCCACTATGACCACTAGCATAAACCCCTCCGTCATGGCCGCCTCCACCCGTGACATCCGCAAAGCTGAAGTGGCTGCCTACGCCTCTCGCATCGCAGTTTCGATTACCGAAACTGCTGCTGTTATCAACTCCTCTACATTCCACGTGAAATGCGTCAACGTGACCCTCGCGGCCCTCGGGTATGACATTATTCTCCACGCGCCACGCCCCGGTGTTAATATGACGGCGGAAATGCGGGACTTGGTCTTTGAGGAGACCCAGATCAGCTTGTACAAAGACTACAAGATGAAGGAAATCCAGCTCTATCATGAATTGCGTTGCGAGATCCTTAAGGAGGAGATGGAGCAGGTGGAAAGGGAGAAGGCGCAGGATGAGGCGGCAGGAATCGTCGAGGAGGAGATCGAGTTTGATGGGTAGACTGCGGCTCTTGGAGGAGTAGGTGTGATAGACTCGGTGTTTCTGTTCTTAGTTAATTTGTGTTTTGATAATGCATGATATGGAAGGAAACACAAATATCGCGATTAAGACTGTACTTTCAATGATAACCTTCTTCCTTTAGACTAGCACCCGCTTCCTATGTGATATGTGAGTGTTTCAATATTAGAAAATTTATTCAGTCCATTCTGCTCGATAAATTACTAGAGCTTGGGCGGCAGTGCCCCCACCACCATCAACTAAACCAACTTCTCCTTGTAATACACGCTCTCCAACGCAGGGGCTCTCAGGCAATTGACCATGAAAGTATCGTAGATGAAGATGTAATTAGGAAGTTCAGAGTGAAGCTCCTTGAATGCTCCACTTATTCCTTCTGGGGTCACGCTGAGACCAGGCGTTCGCCAAGACGACGTCCTTGCCATGTTGTACACGTACCTGTGACTTCCCGCCCCGCGCGGGAAGATTGCTTGGGGCGGTGGGAACGGCACCAAATCCTCTCATCCAGAAGCCCGTAGCCTTGGTAGGCAAAATAATTCTCCCAACTCCCCCAAGCGCCTCCCATGCCCAATAAAAACAACCTTCCCCATCTCCTCCTCTTCCTCCCCACGTCATAAAAACCTCAGCTATCCAAACAAACCACGCTCTCCATCCCACCCTTCCGAACCATAACCACCCCCACCACCTCGGACACCCCATCCTCTCCAATACCATCGTCACAAATACCGCCGTCGTCTCCACCGATACCGCTGTCCTCTCTACCACCTACGTCCTCTCCACCACCCCCGTCGTCTCCACCACCTCCATCCTCGCCACCACCTCCGCCGCCTGCACCACTCGCGCCCTCTAGAAAGCGGAAGCGGCAGCCCTCGTCATGACCCTCGAAGAGATCTTCCGAGCGAGCAGCAAAGGCTACCACGCCATGTCTTCCCACCTCCGTTCCATCGAAGGCAAACTTCTACATCTTGGGTATGATGTCCCCGGTGGAGCTCCTCTTCCGGGTACGGATATGACGCTGCAAATGCACGCGTTGCTGGACGAGGCGAGAGGTTTGAGGGTCATCATCGATACGTATGCGAGGTCTATGGAGCTCCTTGAGAAGGCGAGGCATGATGTGCTGCTGAGTGAGAAGGAGGAGGTGCAAGGGAAGGATGCGGAGGAGAGGGAGGCGTAGAGGTTTATGCCATTGGGAGAATTCTTGGGAGATTTCAGCTAAAACACTAAATTCATGCAAGATCAATGTGGTTACTAAAGCTCAGTTTGAAATACAAATCTCTCCCGTTTACCCCAATCTTTTCTCTTTCTACGTGAGTCATTAAATCTGATAAAGAATTCAGAACGTTCTACTCTCTTGGCTTAGTGTTTAGTTTCCTTTACCGATTTCTTTCTAGCACGGCAATGGGGAACTCTATTTTCTCTCACAAGTATTGCAGTTGTAGAAGGTTCATAGAATGCAATACTTTTCTTTATCAAGTAATATTCTCACTGGATGCTCTGGGTCCATACAGAAGACAACGTTCAGTCCTAGCAGTGGAATGGGTGATCCTTAACATTGCAGCTCAGCTATTCCGTATCTATATTAGCCCCATTCTCCCTCATCTCTTAGCCTAGATCTTTCTTCTATAGATGCAAGACTGTGCATCATAACACCCCCGGCCCTCTAGGTGTTCAAGCTATCCCGAGAGAATAACGCCACATTCCTCTCCACACGTTCCGGAACCCTAATATAATCACATGAATACCCAAAACTCCTGCCCTCATGCCCACAGTAAACAATGTTGAGTATGCTGAGGATATACATCTCTCTGCAAAGCTCTATACAGTCTCTCAAACCCCCCCCCCTCCCCCCGGGGAAAGCCCCACTCACATTCACCACAGCCAGCCCTCACATCCGGTGCTAATCCGACGTTACTGTTACCCCACCGACAGTGTTGCGGCGCTCAATAGCCAGACTGAGAACGTACTATCCCGGAGATATACTTCAGCGGGATACCCGCCGCGGCTGTGTCATGGAGATGAAGCCTATATAGACCCCCAGCCATCCTCCTCCTCCTCTATTGCGGCACCTATATGCAGACTATAAACTACTCCGGAGGTGTGCCTCGATGGGATGACACTAAAATATCCTCTACATCAACTCTCCAGTCAGAGTCGTAACCCATAACCCCCCCCTCCCCCTCTCTCTTTCTTGCAGATCTACATTCACCAGTATCTCCGACATTGCCAGCGATGTAAATCTGGACTTATAAACATCATTCGCTGCTCCGGAACGTATTGCTTCTTCGATGTGAAGGTATGCAGGTATGTGTGGCTGCGCACACCCCTCCCCTCCCCTCCCCCGACATGGCCCACCGAGAGGATGTATAGCTAGACCCCCCCCCCCCCACCCTTCCTCCGAGACCACACCTCACGGCAATTCTGAAGTTACACCTCACTGGTAGGAGAAAGCTGCTAATTCTCCTGAGCTATCAGCTCCGCAGTGAGAACCGGAGCGTCTCTACTCCTTCCCCCCTTTCCCCTCGTGCTCCACCCTCCTCGGCGTTTACGACTACCATTCATTGCTACTTAGTGTCGTAAACAAAATTATTTTTAGTCACAGATAATAATGATACCTGGAAGCACAAAACCTCAAAATAAAAAAATATGCTTATTCTATCTAGTTCATTCTTCAATTCTACTCTTCAAAGGCCGGAAGTAAAAAAAAAAAAAAGGGGGGGTGGGGGGGTGTAAAAGAAAAAAAGTGGTTTTCCGTAGCGGGAATCGAAACCCGGCCTCGCTGTCGTACTTGTTTCCTTTCGAGGGCATGCACCAACACATACGCCACTACTACGGAACCGAAATAACAATGTGCTGGAGGGGATGGTAAACTAGTCTTTCCGGCCTCAAGGTGTCTTCCCCAACCAACATGTGAGGCGAATCCAGGACGGAAGTCCCCCCCCCCCCCCCTGGGGAAGTCGAACTGAATTATTTATGTGATCCTTCTTGAATTCATCAATCCCTTCGTTTGTTCTCAGGACATGTCCCGATCTGTTGCTCACCATACAAATTGTAGACGCCTGCTGGAAGCGTCGACTGAGAGTGCGCGATTTGGTGTGATTACAAGGAACAATATAGAGCTTTTCAAATTTAACATATCACTTGGGGGGTGGCATTTTGGGCGGGTGGACTGGTTTACTATACAGGGTCATGGTTTGTGCTCTCGACCAGTCAGAGTGGGAGTAGGGTAGAGAGATTAGGGGGAGTAAGCATATATTAGACTTTTTTAATATGATGATACATATGCCAGTTCATGGGCTTATGGAGTGCCAGCACCCTTTTCCGCGATGAATGAGACTGATAGCCACCGTCGCCGGATTTCCACCTCTGCTTCCAGTCTGCCTCCACCTATACCACACCTCCCCACCCCCTCTACCTCCCCGCAGCTCTGGAAACTCAAGTCAACGATCATTACGGAGGTGTACTTCGCACAATACTTGTGTAGCAAAAGCTAGAACCGGTGGATATCCAGCCTTCTTCCCTTTCTTATTCCACTCCCGTCTGCAGCTCGTACACCGTACCGGCTATCAAGACCTCCGAGAACGCCCCCTCCCTTCACCACTCCGTGAAGGGTGACCTCTCAGATGGAGATGCAGACACAGATATGGGCATGAAGGTATATGGCAAATACGAACACCTGCTTCCCTGGTGAATGGTACTGATAGCCTTCCCGCCCCCCCTCCCCCAGGCCTCCACCTCCACTCCCATTCCGCCTCTCCCTATCCTCCCTCCCCCTATCCTCCCCCGAACGTACAGCTCCCAAACCTACACCAACGACACTACAGGTGTATATACTTGAGGCGATGACAATGCTCATGCTTTATAATTACCATACCTGCGGCGTCAAAACAGGCCTTACTCTCCTCCCTCATACTCCACCTCCGCACCCCCCCCCCCCCCCCCCCAAACCTCCCATACACCCCCCTCACACCCCTCCTACACCCCTCATACACCCCTCCTACACCCTACAAACCGGCCTGCCCACCCCGAATCACACTTCGGGACGACGGATCACTCGGCCGGTGGAGACCCTCGCCTCCTTATAAGCATACCATCCCGACTAGTCCTTCATCTGGGACAGTACGACTACCTTCCGGGGCTGCACGATCTCAGTCTACGATGTGCACACTGTTCGTTCTGTCGTGGAGGCGGATGTGAGAGCTGAGGTGTGGATGTAATCTGGCAACTAGGCGGGGGTTAGGATGGTACCCCCGCCTTTCCGTCTCCTGCTTGTATATAGTGGCTATCTGTGTGGTAGAAGCTGGGGGAATGTTGATAAAGCGCAATCAATCCTATTCCACACCGGAACGCCTACCACATGCGCAGCATAGGTTGCTATCTCCCCGCCCCATTCCTGTGAACCTGGCGTATTTTCGGGGGTGCGGAGGGCGGATAGTAAGTACTTGGTGATCTTGTTCTGGGTTTTGTTTTTCTAGATTTATTTAGACGGCCCCTTTGTTGTGGGTTGAGATTCTAGGTGTGTTTGGTTTTATTCGGCGGTGGGTTCGGACGGGTGTTTCGGTTGGGAGACGTTGTGCTTGTTGTTGTTCAGCAGTTTTGGCGGGATCAGAAGATTTGTACAGCTGTGGGATGGAAAGAAAGGGTCGGACACACAAACCTCTAAGTTGTCGGGAGAGAGACACACAATACCTAATAACAACCAAATCACGCAACGAAAGAAAAGGAAAGGCTGCACAACAACTATAACGGTCGAAAGGACTTTATTCATTGTAAAGGCGGTAAGTGTGGTTCTAATTCTAAACTAGATGGCTATGAGCTACACGTAGCCACAACCCAGAGCCAGATCCAGAGCAAATCATTCAATCCTGCTGCTTCTCCTTTCCCTTACCCTTGTCATCCTTCTTCGCCTTGGCCTTCTTCTTCTTCGGCATCTCTGAAGCCTGCTCTGTCTCCGGCTCTTCCGGCTCCGCCAGCTCGGCCTTCTCCTCCATCTTGCGTTTCTTGGACTTTTTCGACCTGGTTTCTCCTTCCTCTCCCACTTGCGCTCCTGCCCCGCTCGCAGCTTCCTCTCCCTCAGCTGTCTTATTCGCAGCTGCCTCCCTTGCGGCCTCCTCCCTCTCCCTCCTTGCTGCCTCCTTCCTTTGGCGCTTCGCTGCCCTCTTTGCCTTCTTCCTTTGCTTGCGCGCCTGCGCCTCCTTCTCTGTCAGCTCGGCCTCTTTCTCCTCAATCACCCTTGCCAGCCTGTCCGATAGCTCCGCCTCCATCTCTGCGGTCTGCATTGCCATCCTCTCCGCTGGCTCCATCTCCTTCTCAACGATCTCCTTTCCCGTCTTCTCCACCAGCTCTACCTTCTCCTTCTCCACAATCTCCCTAGCCATCTTCTCGGCCCGCTCCGCCTCCTTCTCCGCGATCTCCCTCTCCAGCCTCTCCACGATTTCCGCCTCCTTCTCCGCAATCTCCGCCTCCAGCTCAACGATCCTCCTCGCCACCCTCTCCTCCTCCCTCTGCGCCCAACTCTTCTTCGTCACCTGCCTCCACACCTTCATCCGCATCTCCTCCTCGCGCCCAAATCGCTCTCTCTCCTCCTCAATCTTCTCCTCACCCGCCACATACGCCTCGTCCTCCTCCGCCTCCTCCAGCCTCTGGTCCTGCCGCTCCAATATGGCCTCGTGCTGCTGGAGGATCAGCCCAAGCGCGTCTGCGCGCGCTATCAGCGCCTGTATCATGGGCGTCATGACGCCCTGAAAGAGGAAGTTGCGCGTGAGGTTGTACCCGAGATGCTGCAGGCGGATGCGGAGCTCGGTCCGGCTGTCGCGCGCGGCATTGGCCATGTCGAGCGTTACGTCGCGTCTGTCTTGGAGGGTTTTGATGCGCGCGGCGCGGGAGGCGGGACTGTTTGGGTCGGGGTAGTCCATGCTGGCGGGTTTGCTGGTGGGGGTGACCGTGGGGGCCGAGAGGAGTGGGGGTGGTGATAGCTTTTGTGTCAGTGTTTTCAGGTGGATTTTATTTTTTTTTTTTATTTCGTCGTTGTGGTTTTGGTATGGTGGTGGGGTGGAGAGTGTTGGGAGTTTTGCGGTAGATGTGAGAGAGTGTGTCTGGGAGAGGCTAACTTGGCGGATTTTAAATGTGTCGTTCGACAGAATGGCGATTTGCTCGTAAGATCTTGGCTTGATATATGTTGCCTAGCTTGAGGTGTAGTCTTCCGTTGAGCACTAATCTCAACACCACTGTTGGCAAATGCTATATAGGAGTGCCAAGATCCTGGATTTACATTATGATAACGGTGCCGTCAACCTAAAATACCTGCCCGAGAGTCCGGAGGGATGTGATGCTCAGGTTGAGTATGCCATCACATACAAATTCCAGCCATCAATCATGCGAGGAGCCATCTCGAAGACTGACATTGCATATATCTTCTGGGTGTTAGCAACCTTTGCTCCAAAGATTTCTCCTGGTCTTTTACCCAATAGTTTAGAAAGGGCCTACCACAGATGTTCGGACGCACACAGATGTTCAGTTATAACCTCGTCATCTTTGAGGCAATTGGCGGTAAGCATAGAGTACGTGAATATTGAGATACTTTGGTTTTCGACCGTTGATATAGGAACTCCATTACGACTGAGAGGGTAGCTTTCCGGAGAGACTCAGACGCACACAGCTTAGCTGTCCAAACCTCTCATGCCCACACTCTCTGATCCATATCTCTATAGCTAGCTATCTACACCGTCTCCGACAAAAGAAGCACCTCACTTAGCTAACTAGCCCCACATTTCCAACCACCAAGGACAATGGAGGAGAATGTGATTGGCCATGCTTCCGACCCCGGGGTCTTCACGTTGGTAGAGCAGCCTCCATGGAGGACGCAAGGAGGTTCTATTGTGATGAAGTGTCTTACTGCAAAGGATGTAGTCTGGTCAATATTGAACTAACCCGCAACAAAGAGAGGTATCGTCTCGCCATGTACCTGCCCACCAACTGGCTCAGTGTCCTTGTTATTGTGTTGTTCCGTGCTGGCGGTAGGGACAGGTTGTTTTATCGATGGGTACTGCCGTGCAGTATACGTGGCTGTCAGTTACGTATACTATAACTGTGGGCCTATGGCGGGGGGTAGGTGGCGTGTCAACTTGTCCTCAATTGTGTCGTATAAAGTGAGAGGTTCTAGTAGTCCTGTGGATTTCATCATCGTCTCTCTTATCATTCAATCTTTTTGTGTTTTACTACAGTCATGATCATCAGAACAAGCAAAGCGTTACAGAACCACCTGCTGGGCACGTCATCATTGAGGACCAAGCATGCTAGCTGTCTATAACAGCGTTGATTCCTAACCGAACGAAGACCTTTCACTCTATCAAAGACATCCCAATGACCTGATGACATTTTCTCGGTGCATGCAATATATATTTTCGTAATATGAATACAAGGAAGCACTTCCGCCCATGGCTGAGAAAGCACGAGGGATATCATTATGATTATAAATGAAGGAGAACACTAATGAAATAGAAGAAACAATGCCAGATAGGCGCAGACCAGATAATTATAAAGTATCTTCCCCTCTCAATACCAGCTAGCAGAGATAGAGCGACTCAACAGCACTCACTCACAGTTCTTCCCTACAGATATGCCAGTCAGCGCCATCAGAAGTTCTGTCAATAAGAAGGTTGACTTACTTTTTCACCCCCCCCAGGGCCATTAATGATTCCACTGCACAAGAACGCCGCCTCCTGCGCAAGGATGTCCTCCGCCGTTCTCCCTGTCCCCGTTCGCAACATGGCCATCTGCCCCCTGATCACCTCCATCTCGACTCCCTGGGTGCCGTCCAGTCCAGACCCACACGCCAGCAGATGGAACACTTGCAAGTACTTTTTCGCCAAGGCCCTCACCTTCTCCTCCGCTTCTCCCTTCCTGCCCTGCGCCCCCGCCTGCAATATCTCTTTAACCAACCTGACCTCCCCCAGTAGCTCCTCTAGGGCAACCCTTCCCCGGCGCTGATACTCGTTATCGCTCACGTCCCACCTCTCCCATCCACAAGTCTCCAACGCCTGCCTCCACATCCCCACCTCCTTCGAAACCATCCTCGCAGTCTCTAGATCACCACTTGAATGTCCCCCCTGCTCTCTCCATGACTGAACACACGCCTCCATCCGCTCCAGCCGCTCCAGCACGCTCCTTGCCCGAGCAGCGTTCTTGCGTCCGTGCTTCTTCTTCTGCAGCGGAAACAACCCTATCTCTTTGACCAGCTCTGCCGTCACCTCCGCCTCCTGGACGGTGAAGCGTGCCTCTTCGAGCGTCATCTGATCATCCTCGGAGTAGTTCGGCGCAAGCGGGTCTTCGAGGATCGTGACCTCCTCCTTGACCGTGCGGAACGGTGCGGTAAACGTTGTGGAGGGCCCCTTCGGGACGCGCCCGGCTTGCGGCAGCTCAGACAGATGGCCCCCGCTGTGTTCGGGGAGCCAGGAGAGCGCAGAGCGAGGGTAGGCGGGCTTGCGCCGCAGGCGGAGGGAGTAGGGGCTGACGTGCGGGGGGGAGGAGGGTGGTTCCTGCTTGATGGCGGGCATTGTAGGTGTGGAGTGGGGGGGGAGGTCTTGGAAGTCTAGAATGGCGATGGATCCTGATGATTGGTAGGCGCGTGTTGATGAGCTGCACCGGATGATAGAGTGTGCTGGTGACAGGGGCATATAATTCTTGTGGCCTCTGGGGGTGGAAGAGCGCGCCCTATTTATACCCTGGAAGGGGCGTAGTACGGAGGTGCTCTTCCGCATGGAATTGCCGTTTCGGTGTTTGCAGGGGCGGTATTCTATGGCTAGCCATAGAATAGAGGTGCGGGTAGGCGCATATGCGTGGGAGGTGGGTGTGTGCGCTTTGTAGGGGGCTGTCACGCCGGTGGGATTGTGCAGGTGGATCTTGCTGACTGTTTGGCAGGCCCGAGGACTTGGGGTGGTGGGGGAACATTTAAATGCTGCGTCCTATTCTAGTGGCGGAGGTGGTGCTTACAACGAAGCCTTTTCTGCTCCTGCTAAGATGCTAAGATGCTAAAAACGGCTATAATATTGCTTTCTTGAATATGGCACCATCACGTCTTGATCTAACTCGGAATCCCTCCTCCTAGTGCCTCTCCGACCTTCGTCGTTGTCGATCCTGCGGTGATCTATTGGTTATCATTAGCGGGTGTCAAAATGTTGACACCTTTCATCCGATCCTACTGGACAGGCATAACCACCGCGCCACCCACCCACCCATAAATAGATTATTATGCCCTAGTAGACGGTACCAATCACAAACACAGTGCAGCTTTCATCCTTTTACGTTGACATATCGACATCCATATTCCATCATGCCGGACATGTGGCTTGGCATACCACATTACCGGCCAACGACTCTACCATGCCAGAGGTTTAAAACTTGCGAAATCTATAGCCCAGCGCCGTCAAAACTGATAGCAAACTGTATGCGCTAGCGCATCAACAGTGAAGGTGGTAGGAACAGAGTATGTACGATGTTAACCCATCTATACGGAGGTGCCGGAAACCCCCGCCTCCCCAACCCCCCACCACCCAAAAAGGCTTTATTCCTCCAAGCTCTTTCACTACTCTAGCAATACTTCTAACTACATGTATCTTCCCACGTTATCATCGTCAGACACTCGAACCCCCACCCCCGACTTGACATCTGATTCACATCACACATTATCACTCGTCCTTCACCCTAATCAACGAAGTAAGCCAAGACACGAGTGATAGCCTGTGAGTCTTGGCCGGTGCTAGGCAATATTCTGTGCATGCGACGTGGGCGTAGGGCTATGGCTGCTTGCTTTGTTAGTGGCATTGTGGTGGGACTTGTGGTGCATGTGGTGCCGGGAATATGGTGTGGGGTGTAGTGGAGGATGTGGAGGATGTGTGGAGGGGTGTGGGTTAGGGTTTCGGTGGTTTTAAGATCGCATTTTCTGGTTACGGGTATTTTCGAACGCTGAGCGACAGTATATGGCGCACAAGCGAAGCTGAATATAGTTTGGGTCGGTGCGGTGTGTTTATTGTTGCTAAGGATTGGTTTCTGATCATGTTCTACATATGTGGATCCACCGTTCGGTCACAGATGTGAGCGACGATATACGCGGTTTCTGAAGAACCGAGTGGGACTTAAGGTAAATACCCACACCTATGAGTAGTACGTGCAGCTATATCTTGAGTCGGCTCGTAAGTAGTTATAAAAGTGGTCGTCTCACTGAATATATAGATCTCATGATCTAGGGAAGATTTTCACCGCGTGGGTTACAGTATCTCCCCGAAGATTATGAACGAGTAAAACGCGAGCTGTAATCATATTAATGTATTTTAACGCTACAGTATCCTGAGTGTAGGAATGGGTTCTTGTATTATATAGAAGACTGCTATTTAGCCAAATCCGGCCGAGGATTAAGTATAATTAACCCTGAACTATAGCAGCAGAAAACCAATAAAACCGAGTGAGAAATACATATACCACCAATCCACCCGCCCTTCCCCCCACTCTCCCCTCCCCCAGTCCGCTTCTCCATCTGCCAACAAAAACAAACCAAACCACCCCCCCCCCCCCCACACCTACTCCCCATTCACAACCTCCCCCACCCTCTTCCCCAACTCCCCATAAAACGCCCTCACCTCCGCCCAATACACCACATCCTCACCCCTCACTTCCTCCCCCACCAATCCGTAAAACGCAAACCTCTCCACCACCGACATCCACATGCCCTCAATCATTGCCACCATCTGCACCCTCTCCTGCATCTCAAACGGCGCCGCGTCGGCCTCATGCGCGGCGTAGGCGTCAAGGTGCTGGCCGAGCGGCCAGGTGAACTTGAGCATGTTGCGGATGTCGAGGAAGCGCGGCGCGTTGGGGTACAGGTCGGTGCGCGCGTTGGTGGCGCGGTAGATGTAGGTGGCTTTTTTACCCCAGTAGCGGGGGTCGGTGGGGCGGGGGGGGGTGGAGGTAGGTGTCCATTTTTTGCGGGACGGGAATGGAGTCGTGGTTTTTCTTTTTTTTTTTTTTTTTTTGGCTGGTATTGGAGGGGGGGGAGGGGGGGGGCTTTATATAGGGTTGCTACCTCTGGGGGTGCTGGTACTGGTAGTTGTTAGGATGGGATTTCTATAGCTGGCCGGCCGTAAAGACGGGGATAGAAAAATGGACTCGGTGGCATTGGTTCTTGGGGGCTCAACGATAGACACGTATGTGGGCTTCGTGTGGAAATCTCGAGTTCTCTGAATCGTATTGTGGCCGGTGGCAGAGAACCGGAACTAGATACTCTGGCTCCGGGTATGAAGAAACCAATACTCGTTTCTCCGACGCGTTGGTCCATTCAGCTGGGTATTTGATTGGATAACCTCAATATTGACAGCGTCACATCTTATTTAAACCCCTTCTACTAAGTCGCACCTATCATCACTCCCGCCTGATGTTGTCAATGTCGTGTGTATTCTATAACTACTCACATCTTGACTAGAGTGGACATCAGCGCATATCGTTGTATATCCTAGCCAATTGATTGGTTGTGCTTACCGTTTAGAGATATTATCTACCAGAGAATACATACTTTTCAATAGGAGTTCAGAGCTCCTATACAAGGTCCCACCGCCACCCTTAAAATATCCCGGGGGTATATAAGGCCTGTCACCCTAGTTAACCCACATTCTCTAGATCTCTCACCTTCAACACCAACCGTCAGTATTCTATCCAAATCACCTTCTAACAATAGCTATTCGCAATCGAATACTGAACACTCAAAACTCACACAATGGACAACTACGAATACGTCGTCTCTCGCCTCGACCTCCGTGCGGCACAACTCGCCGAATTCTACATGTGGATGGGGCGAATGAGCTCTACGCTCATAGACTACGGCAAACAAGTCGGCCCCCGCAGCCGCCGAGTCCCGGCAAGCTTCACCATGTCCGAGCTCACTAAATTTGCCAAAGTGCTCAAAGACTCCAACCTCGCAGATCTGTTCAAGCACACGCTAGACCGTCTTGCCGACAGCCTGATCCCACGCTTTGACAACGGGGATGACCTTACAGAGCAGGGCCAGCAGACGCTGAACGTCATCAAGCATTACAATTTCCAGAAGGACAGGCTGCTGACTGAAAGGGCAGCTTTTGTCGAGCTTTTGGAGAGTAAATTTGGCATCTTCCCGAGAAGTGACCGCGAGAGAGAGGCGAGTGTCGAGTTGATAATGCTGTCGCAGGCGGCGTATATACCCTATTCGTACGATGACCAGAAAAACATAATGCACGAGAAGTTTGGTAGGACGACGACGCATTATACCTATTGTTCCAAGGCGTGGTATTTTCCTAGGACGGGGGTTGTGTCTTTTGAGACCTAGGGAGCGAGGATCGCTGATACGAGGTGCTGACATTTCTACTCTGTTCGCAGTGGTGTTTTTCCCTTTTCGCTTGTCGTGCCTGGCACATGTTTCATTTTTTCCTTGGTATTTCCCACGATTATTTCCGGAGGCCTTCTTAATCCTTTAAGTTATTTCTGATGCCGTTTCTTTTTAGGATGCTTTGATTATCAAGAATTTAAGTCTGTTAGTTTCCAAATTATATAAGTCCCAGCTTCATTAATCATGATTTTCCGTGCATGTAGCTGGCCTTTAATTATACCGCATGATCATTTCGTCTGATAATACTGTCCGCCCTATAATTGAGCGTCGATCCCCATCTAGGTGCGAGACGAATCTACCGATAAAAAGGGCAGCTGTATCTGTCAGCAAATGCTACAACCTTGGGGTGAGCCGTATTCCTGCAAGACGAACGGACACGGCTTTCGTACAAAACATTTACATCCTCCATTATACCAACAGGAGTGTATATTCATTGTCGACTAATCCGATATTTCATTCGAATCCTAAACTTTGTATGCAGCTCCAGGAAGAGCTAGCTGGTGGTCACCGACTGAAGGATGAAATCCCCGGCCATCTTGTAACTTGTTTCGCAAGGACGAGAAGAAGTGAGTTGGGTGCCGGTCCCTCCCTCCGGGTTGGGAGGTGGTAAGTACGGAGCCTAGCTAGGACGGCAGAAGTATACTATTTTCCGGCGAATTAACACCTCTTTCAATTAGGCCAGAGCACACCCCAGTTCGTAGAAACAGCATCATCAATGCGTCTGAAGCGTACGTACCGATGATTATATCCGCTGATACTCATTCTAAGAGGGAAAGAGCCTCCCTTGACTCTTATATATATATATCCTACATATAATTATAATGACAGATCTAGATGGCATCTACCAAGACAAGTTAGTATGCTCTGTCCTGGCCCTGGCCCTTACCCGACACTCAACTTGTACTCAGCATCAAATCCCGCCATAGCCATACATAGAGGCATACCTACGGCATACCAAACCCCCTCGTGCCCTAAAACGCCCATCCTCGACATCTGTAGGCGCTGTTCCGCAATTATTCGTAATTCGAGTGACAGCCTATGACTCCAATTCACAACCAGGTCATCCCACCCGTTCTAAGGTTCTCAGGTCCTCACATTATCACTCCTCCGCCTGAAAGAACACATGTCGCCGTTTGAATGAAATAACACTACTGTGTGCGACGGGGAGAGTGAGAATACAGACTAGACTCGGATTAACTAACCCCCCTGCCGGAAAAATGATAATCCGAGCCGATTTCGGCATATACCCAATCTCATGTGGTGGCCAAATCGCGTAGAATTTTGGCAACATGGAGGCCACATCGTTCTATAGGATACATGTAGTTATAAAAGGTGTGAAATCGATGTAACTATCACCTTTCCGCTCATTACTATCTGTTGGATCTCCTCGTGGCCAGAGTTCTAGGTAACGCTGCTGGAATAAGGATAGTTCGCTTATTCCACTTTATTTTCCATGGAGATGAATAAGAAAAACCAAGAAAAAGGAAGATAAAAGATGGAAAGACAGGCAACAAGGGGGAAGGAAACAAAAAGTAAGCACAGAAAATCAAAAGCTACTTGATCAATCTTACATATCGCCAGCCATAGCCCACGCAATATCATATCCTAACACAAACTTCAGAATCTAAAATCATTCTTGCAACCATCACAAGCGCTCCTATCGAGGGAACGCTCATCAAAAGGAGATAGAACGTTATGGCATACGGTGACATCCTCTCAGATGGCACCAAGCTAGGAAACCCCCCCCCCCCCCCCCCAATTTCCTACCCAGGTCCCATAATCTACCATTGCAACAACGTCCTGGCCGGAGAAGCTGTGAAGAAGAGATTCTATCACTATGAACAGAATCCAAGAGAAATGGCCCGTCACCAAGGAGGTCATAATCCACCACCGCTGTTCACGTGTGCTGTTGCCGGCACCGAAATGGGTGAGCCAGTGTATCACCAGGTAAGGTAACGCTATAATTATGACAATCGTCAAGGGTAGGATAAGTGACCTGAATATCTGCGCTTATTTTAGCAAAAAAAACCCTAACCTACTCTAACGGCTGTAGGAACTAACCTCCTATTTCGAAGGAAGGGTTGGATACTCTTCTAGAGTTGCACTAGCCTCTCCCACCGCGCAGCTTGTGAATGAGCTGGAGAAGGTCATACCTGTGGCTATATCTCGATAATGTGGCCTTCCTGGGGTCGTGCTGTGAGCGGCCTGGTTCAATTGCCCTTCTGTCTCGCCCAAAGTATTGGGATTTGTGATCTGCATCTGTGACTCTCCCAATCCCGAGGAGTCTGTGGTAAGATCCTGTGACACTCGGTGATTCACCATGTAGAGGTACGGATATTCAGGTTGGCACAGAGCAGCAGCGAGATTCAGAAATGACATCAAAATATATGGCATGCTTGTCAACTAGTATGCCGCATATCCGAAGCGGGATATCTGATCTCCTCGTGCTTGATACAACTCGAAGGATCCATAAATAATTTGTGCGATACCCGCAAGCGGCTTGATCACACTATAATTGCATGAGATATCGATGTCGGTAATTCCAAATTCGGTTTCAATATTCTCCAGATACGCAGTCACGTGGTAGCTTGTGGGAACGCGGATAAAGCCGTAGTTAGAGCAGTTGCTAACTATGGCTTGGGTAGTTGCCTTTCCTGGGCCATCCGAGCTAAAGTTCACCCAGCTCTTTAATCGTTCGGATAAACTGACCGACTTGGCCGGATATTGGCCGTGGACGCTGAAGTAATAGGGGTCCAGCAATTCCCTTCTTGATATTAGCCCGACGGTTCCTACAAAATAGCACGTGGATTATTGCACTTACGAAGGCTTACGGTCTTGCACAGGCATTAACATAATGAGTGCGCTCGAATGCTGAGCCCTTTTCAGTCTGTTCTTTATAGAAATTGGAGCTTGAAAGATATTTTCAAGCTGGGCTGTAATTATTGAAATCGGATGGATGCACGCCCACGCCATACACCTCAACTTAATATAAGATTTTGACCCTGCAGGAGTAGGCGCTGTAAGAGTATGAAGCCCATAGTTGAGCGCAAAGAACTTGACAACGTCCCTTGTCGGCAAACGGTATCACCGTGCATTCCCCATATTCTTGTGTTATCGGTTGTTGTCGTATTCTGCATATTTTGCAAACAGATCGGGTATTAGTTGAAGGTGTTCTGGTAGGGACGTTAGTCAGGGCCCTTGGTTCCCTATTATGATGTCAGATGCTTTGCATTGGTATCAGAATGACCGGCAGGCACTTGCACGTACGAGAGATAGGAGGCAATGAAATACTGTTCTCAATCTCCACGTTGAATAGGTTGTTTTTAATTTTTAGCATCGATCCCTCTGCTATTACGTAGTAGTTCATCTCCTCGGCCGACACGCTCAACTCTAGAGTTCCCACACATGCGCAGATGGCAATTGATTCGGGCACTTCTGCGATTGGTTTCTTTTGCGATTGGGCCATAATTCAACCCCCTGTGTGGACTGACCTCGCTTCTGGGCCAGTTCTAGAGTCTGAGAGTGCATACCTGGCGTGATTGTAGGATTACTGATCCAAATGGAGTAGCCAATCAGAGAGTGATAAGCTCTTACCCCGCTCGTTCAGGATAAACATGCATACTCTATCTAGGTATTTACATATACTCTATGTTCCCAAACGTGTTTCCAAGCACAGGAGAGGGACAGGTGGAACCAATTCATTGGAGCACCTATATGTAACCTCAATTACGCCGCACAGCTATGCATGCCACTTCAGAACACGCGCACGGCTGATCACTACACAGCGAGTGGTAAAAAATATTAGAGCTCTCTTGGCCAAACCAGCCATACGAATAATTTGCCTCACGCTGTAAATAAAACACGCTCACAGAACTCGAGCAGAAAACGATTCTGTCTACAGACCTCCCATTACCGTTTTTGTGGCCCTTGAATCTTTACCGTGGAACCTTGTGGTGGTGGAGATGTACTCCCACTCGCCCTATATTATGAAGAAATCAATGGAGTCCGAAGGAACGCTGTATTCTCTCGAGGAGGGGTGGTTAAAATGTGAGTAAACGACTCGCGGTGAAGTTAACGGGAATAACAGCGAGGGCCGGAGGGCTGAAAACGAAGGGAGAGCGCGCGCAATAACTGATTACACCTGGAGCGCATGCCGTATGTATTTGCCGATGCCGTCGATCGAATATCAAACTCTGCACGCCACCGCGATTCTGGTGGTTGTGCATGATCAGGATCTATCGTAAAATCTAAGGGATTTCGTTGCGCTGCAGCACGGATATTATACACCAAAACTTGCATCTTCACGTCCAAAGACTGCCTCTGGTTGGCCAGCTATATACCCTGCTGTCTCGCAACGAATTCTTCCAGATCCCGCGGTAGATACATGATACTGACCTTTTAAGCCACCAGGAAAAAAAGGACCGGCAAATAAAAACATCAGCGTCTATTAGCCGGAGGTAGTAGCTAGCTATGATACTTTCTACGCCGCTCACAGAGGCCACTGTTTAAATGGTATCAAAAGTACAACCGTGAAAGTATGGCCATAATATTGCTATTAACTGCGTTTACCTGATCACACCAAGCTCGTATGGCTACTAGGGGATTATCTTTCTTTAAATTTCGCCGATCTTTGTTTTGTTGCAACGGACGGAGGTTTAAAAAGAGCCCCCACTCCTTCCCTGCCTGCCATCCGCTCCGCTTCCTAAGACGCGTTAGCGCTTGGCGCAGCTTCACCGCTGTCTACGGCAAGCTTAAGTGGGACCTGTGAAAATAGCATCAATTTCTTGGAGAGATCTAACCATGCCAGTACTATATATATATAGAAGACATTGACAGGATTTGGGGAAACGGGGGCACCACAGCTACCCTGGTTACAGTCTTCTCCGGTGGCGGATATGGCCTTGCATCTATGCCTCCTTCCTGTCTTACCGACGACACGAGATTAATTAAGTGAAGGATTGGATTAGGTGCGGCTCTTATCCCGGGAGTCGGTGCTGCCTTGGGAACTGGAGGGAATACAATTGTGGATATAGCTGTCGCGCCAGGTTCAGCGGGTGATATCTGGTGTCGCGGAGTGTACGCCGCTGTCTGTCTGTCTCTAGGATCGCCATTATCGGAGGGGAAATAATTACGATGAATACCGGTACCCGCTGGAGATAGTCAGGTAGCTTAAAGGACCCATTACCTGCCGGCGGGCTGATACCTACATGTAGCTACAGGTTTCGGATGAGGTTCGGTTTAGCTTGACTTTTTGGAGCTGGATTATCTTATCGCATCTTATCTTATCGGCCTCTATTGATAAGAAGCGAAGATCAAACCCGGACAAGACTTGGCAGGCACCAACCAACCCGATTTCCACTCTACCAGGGCAGAAGGTTTCAGGGAGAATTCAGATATAATAGAATCGAATTGTAGGATTTCTTCGAGTCTAGAGCCTGAGAGAGGAAAAGAGAAGAGGAGTCCCTCCTTCCTTTCCTCCCGATTTATCCTCCTAGTCGCTTAGAGCCACCGAATTGTACATCCCATCCCCCAAGTTGCGTTGCTACCATCTCCTCCACTGTGTTCTTTTCCACGTCTCTTCTTCTCGATCTCCCACACGACAAGGGCTGTCTCGCGATACGTCGCTCGCGAAGCGGGTAGAGAAGCAGGAGAGCATCCACCCCCGAATATTTCTTGGCCGCATGTGCTGCCTGGTGGAGCCCTTTTCTCGGTAACCCGTGTAGAGAAGCACCGTATAGATTCTAGATCTACTATCAACGCCGAATATTTTACTCATGTGACCCACAGTATTGGTATAAACCTTAGAGTAAAGGGTCACGTAAGGAATAAAAGCTCCGGCATTGCTATGTAGCTAGTAGTTCCAAACCAATTATAACCTCCTCGCCTTGTCCTCACCACCGGGGGTGGGTCAAGCCCGCTTGAACGGTATGCGGCGTGCAAGGCAGTAGAGTACTCTACGACATCTGCAGCCTCGCCCCCACCCCATTCTTCATCTTCGGCACATATATCCGGTCGCAGTGACACAGCGGGGCTCCTCTCCACACGCCTTGCATACAAGATTACAATATTAGCCTCCCCGCTCCTTCGCCGCACCAAACATCCAGGTCAGGGTACAGGGCTTGCTTCTTGGCAGACGACGGATTAAGGTTAGAGGACATGCATGCATGGATCGGATGAGATGAGATGAGATGAGATGAGATTCGCCATGTATGCCTATCCCTGCAGGTACAGTCTCTATCCCTGTCCCTGCAGGTCGTTGCTTCACCGGGCGTCCGGTCAGCAGAGATGGAGATTAGCGAGGCCAGATCAAGATGGAGATCTCGAGAGCCGCAAGCCCCGTCGGAGGAGAGGCCGATCGTGTGTTTGGGGTGCTTGCGGCGTTGCTAAAAATAGCGCTTCGGTTGCGGGGAGCAGAGCCGTGTTGAACTGTGGCGGGGGTAATGTGCGGATAGGAAATGGGAAATGGAATCGAAAGTAGGAGGATTTTAGTTCTGTGTTGATTTTTTTTATTACAGGTATACATGTAGCTATGGTTACATAGTTTCGTTATTGAGTTGCTGGTAGGAACCGACTGTACTCTACCAAATACCCGATATCATGTAGTTCATGATTTACAAGGATTGCAAAGTGCAATTGACACACACATCCCGTGTTATAGCGCATGCGGTAGAATTATCCAATCGAGGACTTCATTTCCCACGGTCGCAAGAGCCATCTGGTTGTGGTTGTTGGTTGATTCCCGACAATACCGGAAAAGACGCGTGCGGTCGAGTGATATCTCGTGCCCGCCGCACACCACGTCGCACCTCCCCTGCCAGTGCACAACAACAACAACAACAACAACCACCCACAACGAACTGCGATAAACCCAGCACAAACACCAAGCGGATCTTGCGGAATACGTGTTACGACACGCTACCCCGCAACCACAGCTACATACGTGCTTGGAATTGGCCAAGCATAGGCGTCAGTTTCGAGAGCCCACAAGACGTTAACCCGCTCGATATTCCTATCCTCATAACCCTCCTCTTCTTCATTGGCGTAATGGATCAGCCATCGTGAGGCCATTCAAGACCTCAGATAGAGCCTCAGTCGAAACCGCGCTCCCACTACCATTCTCCCTCGCTCACACACCCCCCCCCGCCGCTCGCTTATGGCCGGTGGTGGCTGATCAACCGCCGGCCAAGCACCACCAAGATAGCCCCCCCGCCCTCCCCCCCCCCCTGTTGCGCAACCGCCGACACTACATGTAGCTATGGCCACTAGCTAGCCGCTTCTGAAGGTGATACCGCCACCGATGCCCGATATACCGCTGTGTTGCCATGGCTAATTACGGGCTGCATACAATTAGTCAATTAGCAATTACCGATGCCGCTGACCGTTCACAGAGTAATCAAGGCGCATGGATGATGCATCAATCTCACTCCGGCTGGCCTCCTCTCACTAGCTAGCCACACCATCACTAGTAAGTACTGCGGTGAGCGAGGCCGGCACGTCCGCGGCGTAGGGCAGGAACCGGTTCGTGGAAAACACCTCCGGCCCCGGGGGCTCTGTTCTGGGGTACGCTCACGGTAGCTTAGGTACCTGTAAGTATCATTGAGTATCCAGAAGGTTAACGGTAGACTGAGGCGAATCGTGGATAATTCAATTGCAATTGAGAGAAGTAGGAATGCAAGCTGATCATTTTATAGCAATTAAACAAAGACACCGCGCATTATCAAACAACCAAACAACAAAACAAAGGGTGTGAATATATGTCTATTTTATATAAACATATATATATATTCTATAAATCTAAATTTCGAACCCTCACTCCCCGAACCTTCCTATTTTCCCATTCTGCTGCCCTCCATGCACGTATTACAAGTACTTTCTACTAACTTATAATACAAAGCTAACTCTCCGGCAAGCCAGCAGAAGAAGAAGAAGAAGAAGCAGAAGAAGGTGTGTCGGGGTATGCGCCACATAGGCGCGTTTCGCGCCACGGGCCGGACGTGAGCTTCTGGAATGTGCCAAGCGAGCGAGGTGCTGGAATGTGCTAAGCAAGTGCTGATGCGAGACGGCTGTGCGTGTGCTATTATATCTATCTGGGCTGCACGGTTAGGATGTATCCGCCAGTACGTATTGGGTGGGTGGTGTTGGTGTTGGGACGAAACAGTGCAGTTCTTCAGGAATGAAGCCAGCCTCCCTCCCCACAGCAGGTAGTTGATGGGCGTTAATGGGGGGTCAAAGCTAGTAGTGCTTGTTTGGGTCTCTTGACTGCACAGATAATTACCGGTACTGGAAATATGAGGTGCATAACAGCCTTATCTACATGTAGCTATACGCATGCCAGGCGGAGTCTGGTACGGTCGACTCCTGGTTATAGTGATACTTCACATACTGATACTATACTCTCGTTAGAATGATAATGACGGCAGTTGATCGGCGGTCCCGAAATACCTTTCTACCTGTATCTCCTTACTTGTTCGCCTTACAAGAATATATCAAATATAGATTTTCGGTCTCGACCGTATCCTTATCTCGCGAGGCAACTGTAGCTGGTGTCGGTGTCAATGGTCGACAGTATCGGCTGGCTATGATATAGAGTGTATATAACCTCCGCATGCTCCCCACCAGCTGCAACACCATCGAATAGCAAGTCTGTCTTTCCTCGCCTGTCCATTCCGTTCCTTCCTTCCTTTCTCTCTCTCTTTCTTCATTTTCTTTCTCTAGCAGCCGGTTCTGCTCTTTCCATTTCCATTTCCATTTCCGCTCCTTCCAACTAACCTCCACCCCCCGCACATGCCAGCATCATGAAGCTCACCACCCTCCTCACCACCGCCCTCCTCCTGCTCTCCGCAGCAACAGACGCCATCCCACAGCCCGCCGCGGCAGACACCACCTCCCTCACGCTCCACCCCCTCCCACACGCCAAGCGCGACCCCGCCGTCGCCCCCCGCCGCCCCGCAAAGGGACCCAAGACTCCCGCCAATCGCGCCAAGCCCAACGGCCGCAAGCCCACCGCAGCCTCAAAGAGAAAGGCCGCCGTCACCAAAAACAGGGCCGCCACCAGAAACAAGGCCGCCACCAAGAAGGCGGGGCCCGCCGGCCTCGCAAAGAAGAAGGGGACCGCCGCCAAAAAAGGCGGCGCGGCAAAGTCATGCCCCATGCCCGCCAAGGGCAAGGGCAAGGGCAAAGGCGGCAAGCTCGGGAAGCGCGCCGGCGACGCCTGCGCCGCCCCGCCGGCGGCCGAGAAGGGCGTAAAATGTTCCCGGTGCGCGGGCACGAAGGTCAAGCGCGGTGGCGGGAAAAAGTTTCAGCCGCTGGACCTGTCGCCTGGCAACCTTGACGTTCTGGTCCAAGACACCGACTGCTGGCAGTGCGGGCCGGGGGTCAAGTTTGGCGGCGTAGAGGTGAAGAGCGCGGTCAAAGAGGCGATCCGGCTCAGGCCCACCCCGATCACGTATCCACGCGACGGAAAGACGGACCAGCAGTGGCCGCACAAGTATAAAAACAACGAGGCCCTTCTGCCGCCGCTGGAGCCGCTCGACGAGTACCTCGAGTTCCCGCTGGTCGCGAGCATGGGGCCCGTGAAGCACTTGTACAAGGGGGGGTCACCCGCCGGGTATCGTGTTGTGTTTGCGCTCCAGGGAGGGCAGGATCCAATGGCGGTCCATCTGGTGGGTTTTTTCTTCCTAGCTTAGTAGTAGTGTCGTGGTTGAGCTAACAACGGGGTGGGGGGGTGGGGTAGATTATGCATAGGAGCAAAGCCGATGAGACTTTTGTCACGGTCCCGAAAACCAATGGATGAGATCAATAGGCGGTAGTGTAGACATCTTGAAGACGGGTCGGAGTGTGGTTTGCTTTGGTTTTGTGGTGTGGCTGGGTGGGGAGTACGTACTTGTGGTGCATGCATGGCCATTTGGGGGGGGTGGGGGGGTTACGTAGTGGAATGGGAAAATGGGAGTGAGGGTTCGAAATTTAAAATCTGTAGAATATATATATATATATCTATATATGAAATAGACATACACACTACCGTCTTGCCACACAGTACATGTAGTACTCTACCTACATACATGTATATACATATAGACAACGAACTTGGTTCCCTAAGGCTCGCTAGCACAAAACTGCGTAGCAACCGGGCCCACCCCAGCGAAAAATTGGGAGCGGACAGTGACACTAGGTGGCATGCACGCCGAGCCCATTATATCACCAGGCTGGCAACTAATGTTGGCGGTGGCATTGAAATCGGCCATGCATGGGAGAGACTAGCTCATCTACAGATCGGCATATGCATTGGAGGGTGGTGGGTGGCATTTGGTGGCATTGGCTCAGCTGCAGCTGGCCATACAAGTGGAGGTTTGGAGCATGGGTCGAGATATGTACATTGTATATTACATGTATCAACTGAAAGAAACGAGTACTGGATCACTACCGCGGGCCGAGCTGGTGGACATTTGCGGGGGCTAGCTAGCTGGCTGGCTGGCTATATATGAGACGGCTAAGCTTATGTATATATAAGGGCAAGATTAATTAACTACTGGAAGTGGTCAACTACATGTACTACACGGATCGGAGGTGGAACAGATTCTCAGGTGGCCATGGGAGGAGACCTCGCGGTCGCGATCGCGATCGAGGTGGGCCACTACTAGTAGCTATAGGTACATCGTACTATAGGTACATGTACTGCCAAGCCAAGCCAAGCCAACACCACCCCACCCACCCAGTTAGGCCCCACAGCCGCGTTTCGCGCCACGCGGGCTACCGACCGCACACAACACACGGCGGCACTCTACCCTGTTCCTACAGAGAGATCTCTCACGCGACTAGTTACGCTCCGAATACCCCCCCCCGGGGGCTGGTTGTGGCGCCGCGACTTGGGGGGGGGGGGCGGGAGAGGACTGGTGGCTGGTACGTGTTGCGCGGTGGGTAGATCTAGATAAGATGGGATGAGGTTTGTTGATGTAGCGTCCCCCCCCCCCCCCCGGGCCCCCGAAGCCCGGGCGGGGGTCGGGGGTGTTGGTCTAGTCTCCCCCCCCCCCCCCTGCACGCAGCATCTGACGGCGGGGTTCGGTCGGAGGACCTCGGGAAACTAGGTCTGAGATATATTTACTCGCGTGTATATAATCTCCGGATCGTTGTGCGAAGAATTAAAAAAGTTTTCACCGTTCGAGTACATGCAGAGTAGGTACATGTAGTTATAGCAGACCTGGAGAGAGCTAGAGGTCAGAGGTGGGATTAAAGTAGTTCTCAGATTCCTGCCGAACCACCCTCACCACCCCCCCCCCCCCCCAAAACCCCACTTCTGCGCTCATGAAGTAAGAGTCAAGACCGCTGGCTACAAAGACCTTCCCGTTTCTCGTTCAAGTATACAATACCGGCGGAGGCAGGGTTAGTTCTTCAGCAGTACAGAATGACCCCTGCGCCGCTCTTTTATACTCAGGCGGCGCGCGCGGGGGCCGGCCGGGGGATCGATCGAATATACATATGGCGGTGCTTAGTAATTAACCATACATATATCCCTGCGCTGCGCTAATTGTTCTATTTATTACACTATCAGAAATGGGGGTAGAACTGATACCGCATCCAGGACGGCAATATTGTGAGAATATGCCGCTTTATCTCCGTATTTTGACGAAGTATATATACGGTAGTGTTACCGCACCAGTGGTACGGCATTGCCAAAGACTGTGGTAGTCATTTTATCCATTTTTTGCAGTCTTTAATTGCGAGTCCATGGACAGATAGCAAGACCTGTCATTAGTGTCGTGTCCAGACAACGAGTACATATATGTTTGGTTGTTTAATTGGTCGGTTGATAATACGTATATACGTGGTGTCTTTGTTTAATTGCTATATAAAATGATCAGCTTGCATTCCTCCTTCTCTCGCCAATTATCCACGATTCGCTTCAGACGTCTACGTTCTGGATACTCAATGCTACTTAGCTGCCGTGAAAGTATTGCAGAACAGAGTTCCCGGGGAGGCAGTTTCCACGAAACGTTCCTGCCCTGTGCCGGAAACGTGCCAGCCTTTGCAAACCTCGCTCACCGCCACCGGCTATTCCGCAGTACTAGTGAGGAGGCCGGAGGAGTGAGATCGATTCATGCTCCTTGATTACTCTGTGAAGGGTCAGCGGTATCTGGAATGATTGATTGATTGATAATGTATTAATTGTATGCAGCCCGTAAGGTGTGACAATACAGCAGTATTGGCACCGGTACCGGTGGCGGTATCACTTTCAGAAGCGGCTAGCCATCTAGATAGTGGTGGCCATAGATAGTATCGGGCATGCAGGTATGTGTATAAACAACCCCCCCCTCCTTCTCCCCCGAAGCATTCCTTTCTCCATCATCTACATCGACTGTCTTTCATTCAGCAGGTAGTTCATCCTACCAGTCCATTCCTTTTTTTTTCGTTTCTTTCCACCAAGCAGCTGGTCCTGCCCTTTTTTTTTCGTTCATTTCTTTCCATATTTCACCCCCCCCCCCCCCGGGAGACCACCAACAACACCCACAACAGCAATGAAGTTCACCACCTTCTTCACCACCGCCATCCTCCTGCTCTCGGCAGCGGCGGACGCATTCCCGCAATCCGTGGCCGACACCACCTCTCACGCTCCACCCCATCCCGCACAGCAAGCGCTCCCCCGCTGCCACTGCGCCCAAAGCCGCCACCAAAAACAAGGCGGCAACCAAAAGCAAGGCCGCCTCCAGGAACAAGGCCACCACCAAGGCAAAGTCCAAGAGCACATCCAACAGGGTCCAGTCCGGCGGCATCAAAAAGAAGACCGCCGCCACCGCTGGCGGTACAAAGAAGAAGACTGCCGCCAAAAAAACCGGCGCGGCAACGTCATGTCCCATGCGAGTAAAGGGCAAGGGCGGAAAGCTCGGGAAGCGCACGGGCAACGCCTGTGGCGCCCCGGCGGAGAAGGAGAAGTTTGAAAACTGTGTTCCCTGCAAGGGCCTCAAGAAGCGGGGCAGGGGGCAGAGGGAGAGGGCGGCTGCGGAGAGGGAGAGGACAGAAGCAGTACTGGGCAAGGCTACTGCTGCGCCTGCAGGCCTTCCGAGTATTGATGCTCTGATAGATATGAACGATTGTTGGTCATGCCCAGGTATGTGCTATTAATATTTGATACCCACGTAGTATATATAGCATATAAAGCGCATACTAACAGAGCGATCACAGGCAACAGGGGTCAAGTCGTCTTCAGAGCTCCCCAAGTGAAGGCGGCCGCGGAAAGACTGGTCAGCATGAATGATGTCCATGAGACAATCGTGCCCGATGAAGGGCGGCCCTGGCCACATGACTATGAGAACCATGAGGGAGAAGCAACAAAAAACGCCCAAGTCAGCAGATACGTTACCTATCCGCTGCTTCGGGGGGGACTCTTTACACCAAGAAGGAACAGAACCCTGGCATGTATCGTGTGACCTTAGGCTTTTCCGACACTAATAAGCCGGTAACTCTGAATGTGGTGAGTTGAATATATCACCCTCCCCCCAGGGGCCAGATCTCAAAGGTCTCTATGTACCCCGTAAGTACGCGTGCTGACGTGACTGGGAATGTTAGATGAGGCACCCAACAATTGCGGAGCGTCTCCCGGACTGGTCAAACAAAAATGATTACATAAAAGTCACATCAAATAATGGTAACTAGAGAGAAGGGTTAGGTCTAGGGTGGGGAGGTCATCTCTTTGTAGACTTCTGAAATGTAGTGGGGGAGGGGAGGGTGAGGCTCTAAATATTAGAACTTTGAATATATGCATTCTGTACAGACAATGATCGACTTCTTTTAGCTTCTTTCTTTATCGTCTTGAACCATTCGAACGGGTGCAAGTGATATTATAACATGACTTACCGTTGCGGTTGGAAACCCCATGTCGACAGCGGAGGTGGGGGCGAGATAAGATAAGATGCGATAAGATAACATCCCATCAGCCGCCCAATCTATTTCCGCTAGGCTGTTTCATTCCGTGCTGACACCCCTTCCCTGCTAAGTCCCTTCCCGCCGCCGCCGCCGCCCACAAGGTAGAGTAGGTGGTAATGTTGACTAATTATAGCCGACCGAACTCCACAGGCGCGCGTGTGCGGCGCGGATACATATGCATGTCATGCGGAAATGACAGAGCCGCAACTCAACCAAGGTAGGCCCTTGTAAATATTAAATAAGCTTACTAAATCCAAAGCCTCACGTCGCCACATGCAACCGGTGTTGATGCTGAAGAAGAAGAAGGGGTACGCAGGCCGTAATTGGACGACGTATATGGTTGCGCCTTTGCATGCACGGAGGTACGTCTGGAATTGGTATGGCGGATCTTTTTTCGGTCGGTGGTGGTACATACATGGTGAGACTAGCTGTTTAGGAAGTTAGAGGTGTGCGTTAATAATGCAGAATCTGGATGCTTAGATACATAGCTATAGTCTATGTATATGTGAAGTCCCAGCGCCTCAAATCGCCGCAGAGAAAGCCCAGGACAAATCATCATGCGTACAGCGCAAGGGTGGTTGTAAGTCGCTGTCTGAAAAGAGAATTCTGCGCTTATGGAAGCGGTATCTGGTGCGACAGAAGAATGCCTACCCCCGGTAATCCTCATCCCCGACCCCGACCGCCATACCCCATCACCGCTCTCTAACCACTATATCCGCGATAGAGAGAAAGCCTCCGGGTTCTTTCTCCACCGGTGTGCGGGATACTGTCGGTGTTGGGGTGGATTGGCGCGACAACTACAGCTCGAGAAACCTAGTCAAGGCCCATGAGGCCATGGGAACTGCCTCTGGAGAATATATTGTATGGTATGGTGCGGGGTAAATAGCTCTCTGAGATGATCAAGAAGCATCCTTGCCGCGATTTGTCGTTAGTATTCGCCGCCATCTCTTCCGCGGCCCCGGACCCCCCACGCCGCCGCCGGACTCACCAGTCGAGGCCGAGGTGCAGCAGCGGAGGATAGACCTCATACCGAGGCGTAGGCGCTCGGTCGCTAGTGAGTGCGGAGAGCTGGTAGTAGTAGCCATTGGAGAGGAGGAAAGATGGCAGGAACAGGGAGACAAAGAGCTGCGGTTTGCGGGGGGCAGTACAACGGTACCTCCGCTGGTCATCAGTGATGGCGGTTCTGCGGGTGGAGTTGGTGAGCGGAGTGGCGGCGTCACGACTAAGGGAATGAGGGGGGATACTGACTGCTGGTGGTGTAGATGTATTGTTTGTGCTGTGGAGGGCTCGGCTGTGCCAAGACACAGAGAGACAAGCCCTCGTCCTCGGTTGTTTAGCTGACGCGACAGGACACCGTCAACCGACATTTCCAGGGAGTAGTTAGGGACTGAAGTATCCCCAGCTCGCTCTCGAACGATTACTCGCGATACCTAGTCTCAATCTGCACCCCTGTCTTCCAGACCCACCATAGCACGGAGACACCGCATCTCACTCGGTCTTGGCTGCTGGATGACAAGACAGGAGTGAGTCACTGTGTATCACTCGTTCTTGGCGTGGGATAGGTAGAGTTGTTGGCATGCAGCGCTTCTGGAGTAGTCATCATGACAGCCGAGTTCCAACCACCGAAATTGGAATCTATGGTAACCTCGGATTAGTAGCAGCAGGTGGGGATACGCGCCATAGATCTCCCTTGAACAGTTAGAAGGATACTTATAAGTGTAACCATCGCTCCCTTCCCCCCCTGCTCTCCCCACTCCCCCGGCCCCCCGCCTTCTAGCGCTGGGGGTAAGCCATTCCTATTTTCTATTCTCTCCTGTGTTATATCAGCTGTTGATCTTATAAATAGCGTAGATATCCGTCCTCCCCTCCTTCCCTTTCTCCCCCCCCCGCCATCCGAGTGATATCACCTAGCCACATTCTGCTCATGCACTCCACTGTTTAGGCGCTGGTATAGTGTCATTCGCCTTCAGATAGTCCCAGCGGATGGGCGTATTTTTTTTCGTCGCCTGCTTATGTTTCTGCATGTTGTAGCATGGACCATCCTCCGATTGCTAATTGGCCAATAGGTCCCACCGCGCGTGTATCCGCGAGTTTCTTCATTTTACGGGCGTAAAATGGTCCAAGTATACCCACGTGTATATATACCGCTGGTCTTCAGTCCCGGAAAGTGCTGGTCATGTTTTTTCCGGCGGTGCTCTTGCAGAGTTATGGTTTGAATAGTCTTGTCCTTATATTTTCGCCGCGTCGCTCCTTTACCGTTGCGCAGCCACAGTGCATGTACGTACCTAGCTCTATAATTATTAACAACGATTGTAGAGAGGGCTCAACATTATCCTATCACCCATTCCACACCGGTACCGCTATCACTACCGTAACACCTCCAGCACCCCCGCGACCATAGCAAAAGTGTCCGAAGATACCATGACATTCCCGCGAAGGCTTTGAATCACCTTGGATAAATTTTCTCCACCCGTTCGTATTAGTTCCAAGCGGCGGGGTCTCCAGGAGTGACGTAGGAAACCGCCTATTGTCCCTTGACCAAGACGTGTAATTGTAGGAGGCCTATACCGACAAGCGGTCGGGATATATACCGAGCTTCTGTTGTTGTGACTAACCACTTGACTCATTAATACAGTAAGCAGTCCTTATGACAGAGCGCTCGGTAAGGGCCTGAGTTAGGAGGTCTGAAATGATTGCAATTGTGCATATTGTACTTCATGTGTCAGAGAACACTTGGGCTTTATTCCACTGTATATAAAGGGTGCCTTGTTCGTCCTTACCTTCTTCTCGGGTTCGTCGGTTGCGATGGCCGCGTCTTGGGTGTGACGGATCACTCTCCGTCATCGAACAAGCAACCCAGGACAGTGCGATCACGATCACGCACCACCGGATCCACCACACAACACAACACCTCAGTCGACCATCACCCTCGCCTCATGGCAGTGCATTTTTTTTGACAGCTATCGTATCCTGATTCTATCCTGCGTGAGGATTTGGCGGGATGGGTGTCGGTGATCACTCAGGTGCAGTCACGCATTCCCGTGATGTGATTGGTCAATTCTACCAGGCGGGTATGACACATTCAATGACAATGGTTGTAGCACGTTCCAATTGGACGACAGCAGAGTTTTGTATAGGCTTGCGGAGCTTGCTTCTATCTCTTACTGAAGTCAGAACTCTTCGCTCGGGCCTGAATAGTTCTGAGTATACCATCATTCTATATCAGGCTGCGCGTAGGTCGCATCCGGAAGGAGTCATGTCGGAAGAACTCTAATGAACACATATGACCAGTGTATCAACTTCCTGCGCGGGTAGGGCCCAAGGAGCACTGACGATGCAATTATATTTCGGCGTGGGATATTTTCAGGGTTCGGTAGAATGTAATGCCCCCACTACGACTTATATCACCCTCTTATCACCCAGCGGTATATAAAGCTCAGCTCCCCCGGACTCCAGCATCCTCAATTCCGCATACACTATCCCACATATAGATCCTTTCATAAAACCCGCATACAACAATGGTAAACAAAATCGACTACTCCAACGCCGCTGCCGGTCTCCGGATGCATGTGGGCTCACTCACGGGCTCCCAAGTCCAACTCACTGCTGCCATCGAGCTCGGCCGTACAAACAGGCCGAATAGCTATAAGGCGCGTGCTCAGGCGTTCGAGGAGAGTGTGACGAATGATATGCGCGAGGTGATCAAAGATTTGGATGATTATGAGGCGCACTTGAAGGAAAGCGGGAGCACGAAGGACGTGGAGTGTAAGGCACTCGTATTGGAGCTCTGGGAGGTTATAGCGAAGCTTAACAGTGGTTTGGCTGAGTTGGAAGAGGTGGTTAGGAGTGGATAAGTCGTGGCGAGGGGGTTACGGAGGGTTGCACCGGCTTTCGTTGGTCGTCCTTATTTTGTTGGGCTCTGTGTTTTGTAGTAGCGTTATTCTTCTTAATTTCGTATAATTCATTCTTGAATCGGCTTCTAATAAACTTGTTAAACCCTATATATATTCTACTTATAAGCTTGAGATCTTCCTCTTCGTCCGAGCCGGCGGTGCGTATATACCAACCTGGTACTATGATGCGTACTCATACTACAATATCAGCCATATATACCAGAGTGATCCACTCTGACAGAAGAGACTCCAGGACATGGCGGAAGCTTCCGATCTAGTGGAATACATGGCCTTTCAGCCAAGTTATTCACCCCTATTGCACCGAACTTGTAATCACAATGGCCACTATAATCCTAAGTGGTTACTTTCTGCTAAGTATCAGAACATGTAACTAAAGAACGCTTATTTAATTTCGAAACTTGCCTTGATCTAGATGATTCATATAAAATTCTGGTTGTTTCTAGGATGTCAAAGGCACTCCTGCCCATTGTAGATCTTCCCATATGGCTGATATGTATCCCAATGACCTCCGGGTTGCGCCTTTATTAATGCGAAAGAGTGTATGTATCTGATTAATCACTCAATACGAGTGGAAAGGACAGAAACGCTTCAAATCGAGTGACAACTCATGAAGACGTCTCAGCTGCGCTTGATATCTTGATATCTCTTTTAATAGAATATAAATGATACTAGTTAGCTAGACAGTACATAGTATTGGAAAGTTCTGGCATCTATTACCTGGCGTAGAAAAGCTCCCCTGTTGTTACATAACCACCGAGAGCCTTTTTTTCGTGCATGTTGCGATGCACATTGTTGGCTGTTTTTGTACTCACAGCATGATTATTTCGACGAGCTGATGTGAATATAAATTGCCCAAGCTATGAAATAATGTAATTCGAAGAGAGTGATAACGACTACGATGCATTGACAAGTCGAATCGGGAATCTACTGTGTTTATCTCTTCCGGCCACGTAATCCCGTCCGCCTTTTAGCTACGTTTCCTCCGTTGATTCCACTTGTCTCAGTTTGTCATCAAACTGCATGGATCAGATCTAAGCAATATGCACCACAACGTTCCCGAGAACATCTAGACAACACAACTTCATATCCACTCTAAGCCGTACTTCTCCTCAAAGTCTCCAATCACACGCCTTTGCCGTCAAAAACGCTTCACACCGTTTGTCCCGACCTTTACCTCGAAATCACTCCAATTGCACCTGTATCGTCCTGAAGAACCTAGCTGATGGTAGAACAGGTGTTCCGGGCAAGTACTGCCGGAGCATACATTGCAGAATACGAACCTCATCTCCATGTCCGCAATCGGAGGAAGATTCTTAGCAATAATCAATCCTACCTTCTATATAGCTTTAGAACGTTATTGAGGATGTATTTATTTATTGAGTGGGCGGGCTCTCGGCGCTTGGGTTTATGGATTCAGTTCACAATTGCTCCCTGCTTTCGACGAACACTTTCATGGCCGTACATCCATCGCTCGGGAGAGCCAAGGGTACGGCGCGTTCGGTTGTTTCAAGACATTTCACATCATGGATCAGGAACAAAAATTCTTTTTTGAAGAGGCTCACAACGTTTAGGTATTAATATCATAAACAGAAATAATCAAAACACTCAACCTCTCAGTTCGCAAAACATCCATCACCGCCTCCCTCTACTCCCCAGGCTTCCCACCCTCAACACCGTATCCTCTATAAAGGGGGGCGGCAAATACTTCGGTCTCTCCCTATTTTCCCCCTCCTCTCCCTCAGCAGCCTTCAATGCATTTTCCAAATCCCTCAGGACATCTGCCACATCCTTCCTTCTTGCCTCCAGCTTCGGCAAGTCCTTCGCCCACAACTCCCTCCTCGCCGCCACCATCTGGACCTGTGAAAACACGTTTTGATGTCGTCCTAGCCTCTCTTCCAGCTCTCCTGCAGCCTCCTCCAGCGCAGCTGCCTGTTCAAACTCTGCTTCGCTCCAGTCGCGGTCGTCGGAGATCTTGATGAGCTGTGCTCCGTATTTGACGATAGTGTTGGCGGCGTGGAGGTCGGTGATAACTGCGGTGCGCCAGGTGGCATGGTCTGGGGGGGGGTTGTATGGTGCGCTGAGTGTGGGTGGAGGACGCGGTCGGGTTGAGCTCATTGTTGTGGGGGTAGTGAGGATCCTGTTATTGTTGGTATGTTGACAGTTGGATATGGTGGCGGTGCGTATATAGTGTTGGAAGGACGCCGGATACTGTGACTTTGCGTTTAAAGTTACGTGACGGGGCGAATGCATCAATAGTAGGTGCTGAGGTAATCTCTAGCTGTGATGTTCAGGAATTCATAGCAAACCTGCTATAGATACTGATATCCCTCATTGAAAGCCCTCCTATCAAGCTCCACTTTGATATATAGAATTCTACAGATGTGGAAGCTTACAATAGTCACGCTAGCACTGAGCACATACGCACCCATTCTCTGCCGGAAGACGAGAAAATACCTATCCGCCGAGAAAACGTGACCAGGGATCGGATCAGAAGTGATGTCACATCTCGCATCCAATTGACGCGATCAGAACCGACCAAGAAAATCGTTCAAGTTCCTGTGTAACTGTGTATTCCAAAGTCGAAAATGTGGTTCTATGCCTCAATTCCGCTCACAGTATTAGCATTCTACACGACCGGTTAGAAAAAAGAAATTTATGGGGGCTTGGGAGTGTATTGAATATCTTTTCGCCGTTGGATTCGGGGGTTGTGTCTACACAGTAATTAATATCACCGCCGATCACACGATATTCCTCCTTTCCGGGGTACGGTGCGGTTCTATAGAGCTGGTTTGTGGCAAGATATGGTAATCAATGAAGATGTTCGGGATCTTTAGCTGGTTTTATAATCTCGTGTCCCTCACTGTAAATGCCCAGGCCATCAAAGAGGGGTGGGGCGAAATTGTTTTGTATAATTATAGAAAAAAAGACCCACTCTCGAGACAATGCAGGATCAGAGTGACTCTGCATGATGCAAATTAAGTAGCTTGATCGATAAACAATTATCTGTATCGGGTACCGGTTTTCACAATATATCACACGGTAGTTACAACGCCACCGTGCTAGCCAAAACGTCGTTGGAAGTCCTTCCGGCGACGTCGGGGCTTTTCCCACGGCAGAATATCAAGCCAGACATCATAGACAGGCTTCCCCGCTTAGCGGGGAGAATCAAATGATCTAAAACAAACGCGTTCTACGGTGCACACGGAATTGATATGAAGTGAAGAAAACGCAATCGAATCTATTCACACATTATCACTCGGAAACCTCAATTCAGAGTCTTGTGTTCCCATATAATTGGTTTTGAAGGTTCGATTTCGTCTGAGCTCCCCCGCTAGTGGAATAGGTTCGGCATCCGTACCATGCTTGGTTGACAGTTTAAAGCGACTCACACTCTTTGAACATGAAAAAATCGCCACCGCACTAGATCATTCAATCGAAAAATGGGAAATCCACCTCTAGACATTAGATCATCCCCATCGGTAAAAGAAATGATCGCATGGCAGTGTAACCTGTGAGGTCTTTACCGTCCAAAACAGACTTATATTTCTACAGTTCGATATCGCGACATCCGTATGTGCGACATGATACTTTACTTTCTTCAACAGTAAGTGAGCGACTACCTGAAAACTTCGGCTGTGAACTATGTGCGAACTACATACGCCTTCATCCGCCTAGGTTATAACTCCTTCATTGAATGGGAGGGGTAATGTCCCCTCATCTAGAAAGCGACCATTCCGACCACCACCGAAACATCCCCTAAACACTACCAGAGCTCACGGGTTGGTGTGGTGGTGCGACCCATTGCTACCCACTGCTTCGCGGGCAAACTTGTTCCTCTCCATCTCACAGGCAGGGACCATACGGCAAGATATTGGTACTTCAGTGCCTAGTAGGTCCTCACTATGTGCTCATGACGTCCCCTCCCCTGTAACTTAATCACAAGGTGCTAGGCTAGTAGGATATTCCCTCCATCTGTTTCTTGTTCCCGTGATCCTCGGGAAAGTAAACGTATCCGCTCGATTCCAACCGATCCGTATCGCACCGCCGAGTAGCACTAGGTTCGGTATTAGATTTCACCAGACCACTCGTCAGGGTCGGCAGAGCCAGCTCCAGTTGGCACCCGGGACACCAACCCAAAACTCCCCCATAGACTGAAAGGCATGCGAGCCCATCGAACCAAGAAAACCAAGTAAATCTCGACGGTGTACGACTTCTATCCTTCTTGTTAGTTCGCGGTACCATAGAGGACTAGGGGCCATACTAGTATGGAGCATCTCACGTACCAGAGAAAAGCCAATTGCCTCCCTCTCTCCATCACCTTCTCTTTCTCCTTCTTTGCACAGTCCTTTCTCGATCACCTCAAAATCACAAAAGATGTATTGCTCCCCCGAACAATGCGCACCTGGATCCACTAAAGATTCAAAACCATGACGTCAGTCCGTGTAGGCAAAGTCAGAAAGAATGGAATGTACCCGGGAGAGAACGTGACCGCAACTTCCATCCCCACCCTAGCTTTCTCATGTAGCCACAAGCTCTAGTACTACATGTCGTCGTCCGATGAGTCACCAGGCACTCCCCATCGTGCTGACGAGCTCCTCGTAGCCCATAGTGTAGTCTTAACCGTCAATTCTAGACTCGAATAGGCAGATGAGAGAAAGGGAAGAGTGGTGAGTCAGAGTAAGGATGGCCGTTGTGATATGACGACGTCGCCGCTTGCCTCGGGGGGTGGACCGTGAGAACAGCACTCGTACGAACCCCCGAGATGAACCTGAGTCGAGTAGACTGTCGGGGTATGTGTCATTGATAATGCGGTCGTGGTGGGTGAGTTGCCTTAGTCTCGAGTTTTGGTTCATGGTCGGCTTCGTCTTCGTCAATGGTGGTGAGGGTGGCGTGTTGGGAGGATGTCATTGTGCTGCAACGAGGTTGTGCGGCTCTGCTGCAGGTCTTGCAAATTTCGGCTTGGCTGCAGGTTGTCAAGTTCTGCGACAAGCATCATGAGGCTCTGTAGGTTGCAAAAGGAGCATGAGGCTCTGCGGGAGCACTTACCACCAACCCACCCATACGCAGTACGGCTAACCGAACTCTCATCAAACATCTCTGTCAGCGAAACGACCTACAATTGGGTTATCTGCCGTGCGAATAAGGGAAAAGAGAAGGGTCCCCCAGATCGGCATGTCATGCATGCGCCTGCGCTTAACGAAAAACGGAGAAACAAAAGAAAAAACCGTTATATGCGGAAGAAAAATGGAGACGCGGGGAATCGAACCCCGGACCACCTCTATTCAAGTAGAACATCTTACGATGCTCAGTTGCTAAAGAGGTATTATACCACTAAACCACATCCCCTTTCTGTTCCTCGCTTCTAACTAAATAGTTCAACGACCACTCGGCGCACTCCGCATACATGACTGAAAGCTAGAAACTCATCGAACTGACTGCAGACGTCCACAGCAGCCCGCGAACACTCTGTCGCATCAAAACTAGCAGCTAGCTAGCCCTCGAGAAAATAGCCTCGAGCAAATCATGACTCCAAGCTACCCTTTCAAGCGATCGGGACTCTGGTCCACTGCTTCCATACTTTTCTTTCTACTCCCAAAGCGCTAGAGCGCTAGTAAGCTTCTCCGACTCTGAATAGGTTGTCATCTTCGCTTAGAGTTGTCCATTCTTGCAGAGGCTCATACCGACTTCATTGACCCGCCAGAGAACTTAGGTAGAGGCACGTATACCTCAGTCCGTTCAAACTGCCCTCCTTGGCTGAGGTTGGCGTAACGTTCAAAACGACGATGGTGGCGGCAGATTGTTAGCTATGTCTTGGCAAGTCGACCAAACGAAGTCAACGCCATATTACAAGCAGGCCATGTCTAGAGACCAGCATGTTCCTACCTGTAAATTGAAAATTACGGTCGGAATACACCATTCGTAGAAGCGCTCCCTATTCCTTTGTAGCTGCACCTCTAGATGCAGCTGTTCCCGAACCGAGTCAACTGCGAGCGTGGGTTAGGGTTATCCAGATACCTTGAAGTATCCGGAGCGACAATGTCAAATCCCCAAACCAGCTACGTCTGATCAGTATTCTTCCATCCGCTCCCCCCCTCCTCTCCCTTTAAACTGATATTTTTCACAAGCCCGAGTGTTGATCGCAGCATATACCAAGCCAGACGAGTCCCTATACCAGTCAGCAAAAGCATATGCGGGCCGCGACACGGGCCCACCGGCATCAGGTCTCGCGCGGCTTTTTATCCCGCCAGCAGTATTCTCTTGCCAGCGGGAGCAGTTTCCGGAGACCGGAATGGAATTCCATGACACTTGGCAGGCCAAACTACTCTTCGATTCGCCCCTGATTGCAGATACATATCACCAGCAACAGAAGCACTTCCATGGCGCCGAGAGAAAAGCCGGGAAAATTCAAATGGATGGCTTCCCATGTACTTCTATTACTTTGGTATCATCTGGGGTGAGACATCACTCGTTTCTAGAGTTGAAAAGAGGCATCCCGAAACTAGTATACAACTAAACCTGCTGTCATGTACTCCATATTTGCTGACTGTTCCAACATCTCACGTTCATAGAAATGTACCCTCCTTACTCTGTGCCAGCCGGTAGCGCAAACTGGTCATCGACATTTTCATTCAGTGGATGCAGTTCGGGATTATCATGGACGCGGTAAATCTACAGAGCCAAAAGTTCCCCTAACGGATGAAACCTGGGGTAATCGGGGGTTAACAGGATCGAATATGGAATAGTCTACCTAATATAATATTGACCCTACATGAGAAAGGCGCGCGGATCCAGAATTATGCCGAATAAACCGATTTCCAAGTACTTCCAACCTTATATATTAATCCTTTGTACGACGCTAGCTCGACACCGTACTAGGAACACAGCAATATAACCGGGGGAACTTGACATAAGGAAACTGAGTCGAACGCGAAACATACAAAAAATTCAACCACATTAGAGTATCATAGCCTCGAACATGTGACTACCCTAGCAAAAATAGTAAAGGATGCATGTAGATGTATAAAAGGAAATTAATGAAGTAAAATCGAAAGGAAAAAACATAGAAGATCCTCATAAATGTGGCCAAAAATCCTCCCAAGCAACAGTCGAGTACGATCCTTCCGGCAATTTCCTTATAGAAAGAAAACACTCAATGATTATATAGGCCCTTGCCAAGATATTACAGAGACATACTGCCATATATAAACCCTGCCATATCATGTGAATATTGGAACTACCAAAACAGCTTCGGGCCCGCCGTGCAAATGCCTTAAAAAAGCTTTGCTCCGTGCTACTCAAGACTGTCCCTTCTCTTGATCTCATCAAGCGAGTTAACCTCGTGTTCAGCCTTTGGAGGAGTCTCTGCCCGTATCCCCACGCTCTGTTACCATCCATTCGCATTGACAGTCTGCGCCAGAGAACGACGTATTTCTCATAGCGAGAGGTATAGATAAGCTCGAAAAGGTTGAAATACATTTGCCGAAGCCAGATAATTGCCAAGGATGAAAGAAGACTTATGCAGGAGCTTTTCCAAAGAATCTTTTCCACCGACGATGGGAAATCGTTATTCCATGCACTTGTATGTACGCCGGAGTAGATAATGCAACAGGCGGTGAAGGACAACATGTATCCATTGTGCTCCAGATCCATAAAGGCGGCCTGGTGGACACTAACCGGACGTTTGAATCTGAATCTGGTGGGTGGGCACGACTGGCGGCGGTCATGATCTTTCAAGTATGGATACCTTGGCTTCCTGTATTCTGCGATCGCGATTGCGACAGTCTGTAAATCTCTTCGTGTTAGAGAGTGAGATGGTTCATCAAAGGTACGACATCCCATGACTGTATACCCGTTAGTCAAATCGTAAATCTTATGACGATTCTCGTCTGCGCAGTTTGACCATGAAAAAGGCAGCTCCAGCAGTATCCGTGAATCTTTATCTTCACTTATATACCACACTCGGTCTTCCTCATCATGACCTGTGCGCAGACCCGGAACTATCCAAAGACTGTGTCTCTGAGACCGCCGCCGACAGGCGCAGAGCACGCATAGCGTATCTGCTGCCCGTTTATCTCAAGAGTAAAATAGTGCCACCCAAATCCTTCTCTGGGCTCGGGTAGCCCAGAATACGATCGCGTCAGAGCTACCTCGGGATCCCATGTGTGTAGCATCGCACATAAGGATTCGTCTAGGAAGGCTGGCGATAGAGAGATGGGATGGCGAACGTCATGCGGCTTTCGCCACCAAAAGATGTACATCAGAACGGCAAAGACAACATGCGCGAGGACATTTAATTCGAGTAGTGTGACAGGTAAACCGCTTGATACCCGACAAAGGCAGTTTATCACCATCCACCCAGCCTGTAGGCAAACAAGTAACTTTGCAAGAGCGTCCGCTTTTGATCGATCGGAAACGTCATCTCTAAGGGTAGAAAGTGAGTATGCGCTCAGAGCACCCGATCTAAGCAAATGAAGAAGCCCTTCAGCTTCCACTACAAGTGTTCTGTTTTGACCGCGGGGATAACCGGCCAGCGAGAAGGTGTAACCTCCCATCAGAGTAAAGAAGGCATCCGCCATAGTGAATTCTATAGGACGCTTCCTTGTGTCCTGTGCGAAGTTTCTTTTAAACCAGAAGTGTAATCTGAGGTAAGCTAACATCAATGGAAAACAGAACCCCGTCCTCCAAAAAGGAGAAGAGTCCTGAATAATTTCGAGACGCTGGAGCATCTCGGAGAGTAATTGGTTGGCCTTCTCAATCGCCGATAAATCACTGTCCGGTAAAGATTGATCGGACTCAATAGTTGCGAGAGCTTCGCGCGCTTTATTGAGAGCGGTCTCGGCATCTTTCAAAGCCTTTTGCTCATCATCCCTCTCCAGTAGGCTCGCCTTCGCCCTAATGATCAAAACATCAGATTCATTTATAGCAGCCTGCATACTCTCTTTAATTATGACATGCCGTACTGAACGCACCAGTTTCCTTGCCTGGCGCCACTCACTATAGGCTTGAGCAAGGACGAGCTCAGGAGCAAGTAGAGCTGTTAAAACTGAGAGGCCTTTGTTTCTTAGAGATCGAAGCATGGTCGGCGTTTCGATTATATTGGGGTGGATAACGGTCCAGACAGCCAACATCATTGTACAGCTCATTAGAAGACTCATAGTCCCTCGACCTTTTGGATTCGGTTTAAAAGGAGGCTCAAATCCATGTCCAGCTGTTGGCATTCGGTACCGGCGATGTAGCTGCCGGGTCTGCCGTGGCCAGGGCTATAGCTATCGTAACGAATATAAGAGTAAACATGAAGATTACAAGAAGAAACGCTCTATTTCATGATTAGAATATAAATAAATTTGAAGGCACATTAGACTTACCAGATTTACTGCAGTGGAGAGAATGTGCCGGGATGATGAGTAGCTCTAATGGTACTGAGGCTCTTGATATTGATAATTAGACAAGGCTGTCGTCCGTTGCCGGTGCTAGGACCTACTCACATGGGAAACGAGGTTTACAGCCGAGACCAGACCCGGTGATATGGCGTTGCTGGTAGACTTCTTAGACAGAGCTATTTCTTATTTCTGGTTGTTTCTATTCATAGTCTTGATCGTGAATCCTTAATTACTAGTATCTTCCCCTGAGCTATGCATTGGGGGAGCAGACGTAGGAATAAATAAGTGAAAACCTCATCTCCTTAAACTCGTCTATGAGAATTTTCTGCGAAGGTGACATGCACAACACACATCATGGCCTCTTGTGCCACTCCATTTGGGCGCGGTGACCTACGTGGCCCCCAACTAAAAAATACTCTGAAATTGGTATCTCTTCGTGGCTTATCCAAGGTGCAAGTTCACGCCAAGCTGTGCTTCCTATCGCTCCGTGCGCTGGTATAGATTCATATTGCTTTTGCGTTGCGAATCGAGTGCGTGACACGAGAATGGGGTTGTTCTTGGCATGTGTAAAAAGGTTGAGTAGAGCCGACGCGATAGTTAGTGAGTAGGGGAGTAAGAATAGTTCTCTAGGTATATAATCTGTCAGCATGATCATAAAGTATACTTCTTTGGCGCCTGGCCCAAACTGTGTCCTCATTAAATGGACTGTTCAGAATATCAGATATTCCTTAGACAGTATCGTGAATGCCGTGTATGCATATCAATTGGGTACAGGTAGCAACATGAAACCGTCTAAATAGTCTCAGAATTTCCGTAACATTTGATCTATCCATGGACTTATCTATTTTATAATTAAAAACTAACCGGACCTAAATAACTATCTATGAGAACAGCATGATCTTGCAGTGTCAAGTAACTTCAACAATAGTTATTAGATAGACGGAAACTCTAACTCCATACCAAAATATCAGACCATTTTATTTGACTGACCTTGAGCTTGCTAAAGGTATGTCGATCCCTGAAGTGCGTGATTGCCCTGATAGTAGTTGCCGGAGAAGTACTCGTCATTTTCTGGTAGTTTAACCATTGCGAACACTGCCCGAGGCTGAGACTGAGCTCGCAATCTTTCATGTCAAGAGTAGGTACACTCACTGCTAAAGGGGGATTTTGTTGTATGTGGGTATCTTCAAACCGAAAATACACCCCAAAGTGGTCCTTGGTCAGCTGCGGCTGAACGCAACGAGTCTTGGCGATTTCAAACTGCACTTCCATGTGCATCGATCCTGCATTAGTCTGGGGTTTAGCGAGGCCTAAACAGCTTGAACACCATTCGCCTGCTTCGGTTGGCTTGGGAACTCTTAAACTTGCTGTGTCAAGGATTCCCAAGAATTCAGAGTTATTCGAGGACGAATATCGGACGGTAGCCAGTCAGACCAGGCAGGCACGCGTGGGATCGATAATGTGCAGATAACCTTGGGTTGAGTTTTCTACTCTAGATCTATCAACATAATCTCGCAGCCTGACACGTGCGTGAGGCCAAGGCAGATTGGTAAAATACATGTATACGTAGAAGTCTTGGCTGCAGTCAACTTTTACATAAACTGAGTAATTGGTTGGGGCTCAGTGGATCGAATCGTGAAGCAGTATCATGCGTGGCGGATGTTCGCTAAGTTCTGATATGGTGGATAGGCGACAGGGGTCCTACATGACAGATCAATCATTGACACCGTTATCTTATCGTATCAGACACACCACAATAGTCTTGCCAGGGCTCTGTCATAGTAGCCTGGGTTCAACCCAAGAATTGATGAGGGGGCGACACATAGGCTGCGCGAACAATACTGAGATTTGACGACTTCATGACTAGCTACTCCGCCAGTCAACGGAAGTCCTACCAACGATGGTAATCCATAGAGGGCCAATTTCAAAGGTTCGAGAGAGGTCGGAATTCCCCCTGTTACCTGGGAACGCTTCCGCTCGGTTTTAACCACAGACGGCCACAGCTCGGGGAAGGTTCGGTCCGTGTTATCGATGCGAGCCAGCGATAGGTGGCATCCAGAGCATGTTAGGTAGAGCTAAAGTAGTCGAGGGAGGTTTGGGTTATCCCTTGGTCTGATAAAAAATGCTGCCCACCCCAAAAAAGCAAATTTTATATGTGGCTTTACTAACAGATCCCGTTATCTCTCTTATCAAATAATAGATCTCCCATACAAATCTAATTCCTGTGTTATAGGGTGGGCAGCATTGCCAGACGAAGGGATACATACATCAATCCCGCACGCATATTGAGATGGAAAAAGGCCTGAATTTCCATCTGGGCGGGCGCGGAAATTCCTGGTTTACCCCACCGGGCGCGCTTGTACAGACCCCGATGTGATAACCTCTTCTCCATTCAAGCGTGCAAGTATAAACTCCTGTCCTCCGTACTATACAATATCAGTACATATATTGCTACGTGAAACGTACGTAGTAATTGATGTATGAGAGTCAAGAGGGTTTCATTAGGTTCTATCGTACAGGTTTATTTTATAATAGAGGTGCTCCGTCAGTCATGGGTGTCCGGCGGAGACACTATTAGTAATCATGTAACTGCAACACCTTCCTGAGGATACCCTCGACGCAGGTATAGCATATATCATTGATACGGATCATAGTCCACTACTTACTGAATATTGTACTCTGTCCCTCTGTTCCATCGCGAAGGCTTTCGCAGGCAGTGAAATGGAGATATGGTAAAGCAATCCAGCAAGGAGACAAATTCCCATTGAAACCGCCGAGAGAGAATATTACGGGCATGCATTAACACGCGCGCAGCCCTGTCTGCTTGCTCTGTGGTCCAGCTGTAAGTATCCTCCACCGCGCCGCACTCCCGCAATCAGATACGGCGTGAGAAAAATGAACCACAGAACGGTAAGACCGGCCATCATTCATGCCTACTTCCGCACAGCGCCCCTTCCAGAACAGCCTCGCACTCGGACCATATCCGCGCCTATCTCCGTCCTCACCATCCAGCAAAGAATGAAAACATTCTTCCACGCCCTCCATTTTCAATTTTCCGCTCCACGTTTTCCATGCGCTTGCATTACCACCCGCATGTCTGCCTTCCTGCGACACTTCTGCCAAGCCAAAACGCTCGCTTGTCCTTGTTCTAGCTCAACCAGGAAGATCGCTTATCCACGAAGTTTCCTGAGTGAACCGGTTTACCAAGGAAATTTCGTGGGTGGACTGAATTCTTCCTCAATAAACTAAATTTGAAAACCTTCAGTCCAGTCACGAAGTTTAAGCTAAAACCGGCTCATCCAGGAAGTCTTGCCCTACCTGATCTAGTTCGCATGCTGGGGCAAGTCCAGGCATGTTGGTACCATAATTACCGATTGAGAGTTATACATATTATTTTTAATCTTGATATTCATATTCTACATTCATCACATATGTAACCACGTTGCTACTAACATTTCTCAAATCTAGCCGATGGACGGGTGTTGTATAGGAGATCAATACACTCGGCGCGGTGAGCTCAGAAGTAGGTCAAATTAACCTTTAACATTCTGCATGATCAGATTCATGTCAGCCTTATGGGCACAATTCTACTGGAGACTACTTCCCGAATGAACCGATTTTGACCTGGACTTCATGAATGGACTGAAGGTTTTCAAATCCAGTTCATTGAGGAAGAATTCAGTCCACCGACGAAACTTCCTGGGTAAACCGGTTCACTCAGGAAACTTCGTGGATAAGCGATCTTCCTGGTTGAGCTAGAACATCCTCAACCCACCTCAGCCCCAACCACATCCCACCACCGCCGCGTTAATTGAACTCTTAACAACTCCCACCCGCCCCGCAAACACCAAAAAGAAATTCGCAAAATGCTGACTGACAGTCAATGACTGGCAGATCTTACTGGTTCCAGAGGGGGTCGAACCCTCGACCTTGGCGTAACATGCTCCGGAGAGATATTAGCACCACGCGCTAACCAACTGAGCCATGGAACCGTGATATCTTAGTCGCGCTAGTGATTTCAACGCGCGCCGACGTTGCTGTGCGTATTCTTAGTGGTCTTTGGTAGTTGTGGGAGGAACGGGGTGTTCCTGGTGACGATAGGCGGAAGCGGATGTGGAGGGTTACAGCGAAGATCTCCGGTATGTGGGCATAGATGTGGGCGGTCGCCGTAACAGGAGGACAGTGCGAAAACGATAGGCGACCAGTACACTCCAATAGTCCCAATATCACGCCTCGATTCCCAGCGTCCGGAAGTATACCGGAGGATCTATGCTTTCGTTTCTGCACTCCCAGAACTCTGATTCCATGGTAGGGACAGCTTCGCCAGTGCCAGAGTTGAACAATATGTACCTCTAGTAGAAGGGCCAGAGTAGTGTATCATGGTATGAACATTTGCCGTGAGACTGGTGTTGATATTCCCTCGATACGGATGTAACGTTGAATGAAGCGGTCTCGCGGGACTGTCACTGTAGCTACCGGAGGAGGGGGAGGGAGGAGAAGAGAGCACCACGGAATTTAATGGCGAGTCACGACGGATGGGATGGCGATGTTGCAGCTCGCCTTCATTCGCGGTGACTCTGGCTAGGCCTCGGGGATCAAAGGTCGTATTAAGGGCACTAGGATGGAGTGTTATCGTAAAGCTGATGGCCGCCTTTCCTATCGGCATCCGTGCAGGACAGCTTCTCTGCCTCCTGTCGTCGACCTTCAATCGTTGCGTAATTCCTCTTCCCTCTACTTGCAGAACCGACAAATCTTACCTCCGCAACTTTAATTTTCAGTCCAGCCACATGGGCGAGTACGAATGAAACATGGTGGCGGACTTAGACGAAATCTTGAGTAGAGGTGTCGGTGCTTGTCCTTCTTCCTGGTTGTCGTAGCGGGGGTTTCACTCGGAAGAATGGCTCTTCTTTTGCTTTCGGGACGAATTCACAATTCAGGTGGAAAGAAGATTAACAGGGGATGTGGATAGTAATGCATGAGAGAACGTTGGGCAGTGAGAGGTGAAAGCCCCTAGGCGGGAGAGAATGATGGAGAAAGCTTGTCGGCGGTGGGTTGTGGTCAGGTCTGCAGGTGTCCGGAAGAGGTGCTTTGTCATTTCTTCAATCTTGGAGTGCCACCTGGCTGAGATCGGTGATCCAGCATTCCAATACAGCGTAAAAGGACGAAAGAACATATGAAGTCAGAATGGGGCAGCAAAGGGAAGGATGCCACTTGAGGTCGCACGATCCTAGCATGATCATTCCAGGGGGACGATATTAAGATCCTCTACTATCTCGACTCCGAATTCAAAGAGAAAATATACTTTGGATGAACAAACCCCCCGGAACACGGCGCATCACGCCGACAGGGCAACGATCGAAGGACTATCTTATTTCAACATCTGCCTCCACTCGCTTTCTTACAATCACTTCCTCCCCTGCAGGTGTTTCTCTACGCCCGATATACAAAGCAGAAATCACATCCGGTGCCAGGATCGGGCTAAATAAAAGATGAGACTTTGTGAAGCCTCTTACTTCCAGTCAGCAACAATGAAAGAAGCGCACACTCCTGCATGCTGTTTTCGCCGTTTCCCGCGTCAAAGGCTCATCCTGGAGGTGAGATCTCGTCAGGGACATCTCACCAACATCTCCGCACTCCAGCACACCAGTCTCCTTACAGGTCGGGTGATTCTCAGATTATGAGGCATATCAAGTGGTGTATAGGGCGGCTTCGTGTTTGGAGATTCAGCGCACTCCGGGATCCAACAATATCGCTCTGGCAGACCTCGTGCTAGAGGAGCTCGAAATATCTATCTACAAGCCATTTATTCCCTCAATCTGCGACTGATTCTGGAGGAGTTAGTTCATAGTTCGTACTTAGTTTCCTCCCCCCCCCGGGGGGCCCAAACCCCCGTCCCACCATCCTTCTCTCGTCCTTCTCTCATTCGTCCAGAATAGAAGCGATCCGCAGAGAAAACGGCTCTAATTAATTTTTCTCGATAGTTTATTCAATTTCTTCCCTCTGTTAGACAACCGCAGAAGACAGCTTGCGCTCCCCGGGTCCCAGCGTCTGCACACGGGCCCTCCGCGGCTGTCTGTCAACGCGGGAGAAGCAACCCACAGGCCAACCTTAGGGAGGGTATGAGGTTTAAAGTTAGGCCATCCACTCTAATTATTCCAGGGGTTGGTGATAAGAATAACCAGCGGGATTCAATCGGCCATCGCGGGCCAAATATCTGAGTGATAGTCTGTGGTGAGATCCTCACTGAGAGAACCCCGCTTTTGTGGTGGGATGTGGCAGGTAGATGGGCCTTAAGATGAGCGACACCGCCGATAGGATAGGAGAATAAAAATTAGGTATGGGTAGAATCGTGAAAGGAACAGGTTCTTGGCCGGTTTTGCTCTGGAGGGATTCAATCAGGGATTCTTTCGGCCATATCAATATCAACCTCACTTGACGGGACCAGTCTCTTTCTCTCCCGATTTCTTTCGGGGAAAGTGAGTCATATCCCGCCTCGAGGAGGAGTTATTCTTTCGTAGTCGTTGCGGATGGACTGGACCTGGGTAGGGGAAGTTACTCGAAGAAATAGTGGGACAGCTCCGTGGCTGTAGGTCGGTGGTCGTCTACCCCACAATTCGCAGGAACAAGGTTGGCTATTGCGATGGTACTACAGAAGAGACACCATATCTCTAGACACAATGTTTAAGCCACACTGAACCATTCCTCCCAAAACTCTGCCGTTAGTCTGGGCACCTTTTTCCCTCTTGGTCTTGGGTGGATCTCTGATATTTAGATGGAGACTACGACAATGGAAGACATTGTGCTCCAACACTCCGAACATCATCTACCGCTTCCCCACTGTCATATGTCGTGTTATCAAGCTCAAAGCAGCTGCAACCGTATTTCCAGAACCCTCTATGTTATGTTTTGGGGATATTGACACATTCAAAATGATCCTGTGCCTTCTGTCTTGTCCTACCATAATAGTAGGCCTCAGAAGGGATTTGTCATAATTAGATATCCGGGGAGTTCCTTTTGTATGGGCTGGTACTTGGCGTTTATAGAGGAGGTAATTTTGGGACACCGCGCTCGGGTAATGGAATGAATTTTCCCGATGAGCAATGAGACGGTATCGTTTGTGCTGGTTTTGGCGTGGCCGGTTTTGGCGTGACAATTGGAGGATCATAAATTCGGCGAGGTACAGGAAGAATATAGAATACCAATCTCTCTGGGAAAGGATCTTATTCAAAACTAAAGTAAAATTTATATCACATATCAATTCCACCTCTGCTGCCCGTCATAGCAGACTTTGCAGCGGGAGAGTCAACCAGTGTCTTTAATAGCCTCGCCCCACCCCCAATCAAGTATCAAACTTCAAATCGCCAACTAGCTAGAGTTTTAGAGAGACTAAACTAATCAGATGAAATAGCCTCGGCCTTCTCGACTCACGGGATGATGATTAGGGGGGTTCCATCGATTACTCACAGATTATCACTCGGTCCTAACCAAGGGAGAGCAGTAGGCTCTATTTCAGAATTTGAGGGCGGAGAGGGGAGCCTCATGTGTGTCTTTCTACCGATAGCCTTTTACTTGCTGTGCGTATTCTTGTGTGGACCACCAATCATCGTGTACTGTTTGTTGGGGAACCTCCGAGCCAGAATCCTTTCGCAAACTCGGCTCTCCACCGTCCTTTGTTGTATCTCGCAGGATTAAAATTAAAATCGAAAATCTCTTATCTTCCTTCTATTTCTTGTCGCCAGAATACGTCAAGAACATATGGAAGGTGAATAAAAACCTCCGCTCACTGTATTATGGAGGGCGGATTGAGTGGGGATGTACATAGTTGACTCTTCATGTTTTGTCGTTCCGGTAGGTACTGACCGCTGTATTCAGGCTCAGTAAAGTATTTTAATGCTTATACCTTCAGCCTTAGCTCCATAATTAAGAACCTGGGAAGAAAGAAATAATGAGTTCCGATCGAGACAGCGAGTGATAGTATATGATCCACTCCCACGCGAGGCCACGGTTTTAATTTCTCTTTAGGACTCTGCTGGGAGGATGTTTGATAATGAAATCTCTAGCGACCTATGTATTACACAATGCGATATCATGCGCGATCGAGAAACGTAGAAAAGAGCCTCTACTACACCATGTAGGACGACTGAACCGGGAATGGGAACGAGTCAGCCTCCCGTTGTCTAAAACCTGGGAAATTGTCACATGAGTTCATAGATATTTGTGAATGATTTCTCAGTATGCGATCAACCTTACTCGAGAGCTAAATCACTGAAAACGAACTGCGCAAGGAAGCGAGTGACAATTGATGATGCGGTTCCAGTCAATGTTTCGTCATTCATCAGGACTGGTATTTCGGGTCAGAGCTCGAGGTATAGAATTCAAATAGTTTTGGTACTGTGGGAAAGAGAGGTGGGAGCCGTAAGGAAAGAAGGGTTTCGCAGGCGCTGATCTTATGTTGCTTCAAGCTGAGGGCTGCGCTCCCGCCCCCGTCTCTTGTAGAATTTTCATCATGGCCGGAACAGGGTTTTTATTGACTTCGGGTGGGGCTTACCAAATGCTAAGAGATAAAATAGTCTTATCAGGCCCTCTTCGGTATATAAATGCTTTTTTAATGGTTTTTCAGTCTTTTTTCCATCCTTAAACCTTAAAACATGCTTAAATCACACTTATCGCGGCCGGACACTTATTATGGCGAATAAGCAAGCTTCTTACAATTAATCCTATGATTTGGATAAGGGTTCAATTATATGAGGCTTATAAAAGCCTGTTCCGTCAGTAAAACCTCAAATTTAAATCACACTTATCTGGGCTTTATGACTTCTTTATAATCCTCTGATGCGGGTAAGGATTTGGCAACGCCTTAAAGTCTATGTAACGCTAATGAGAAAGCCCGTTTCGTCGGCAATACATAAATTCCGCTGCCTGCTACGCCTAGGTACATGCACAGGAATGCGCCCAGGCCACCGGGAATTTACAAGCGTCCAAATATATCATCCGTTCGGAGCCCCTCCACCCACCATGGCCACCCCTCGTAAATCTTCTCTCACATCACCGCTAAAGCTTAGCAAGCCGGAACGGACTATTTTTCAACGCTAACCACCCGCACCTCTTGGCATTTACACTAGCAATTAGTAACAACCTCTTAATACGCTATCGTTAATGCACAAACTAGGATTCAGTGGTGTAGTGGTATCACGGGCGCTTGCCATCAGCTTGATGATTTGCGCCCGACCCGGGTTCGATTCCCGGCTGATTCATAGCTGGTGGAGGTCGTGGTCCTGCTTCGGCAAGGTCTTCTCATTCACTTTCTTTTTGCTTGTGGATTCATTTTGAATGGGAGTCGGTGGAGGTTTCCTTACGGTCGCCTCGTTTAAATGTTCTACTCCGTCCGCTGTTTTCAAAGTTTTTGTAGCAAAGGTAGATGTCATTTCTACTGTATTGGTATTGAAGTTTATGATGTCGCCGCTCTAGGTATCAATATCACCACTCGAGGCTTTGTCCTCAAGCGTTTTGACCTCTATTGAAGTGTTCAGGTAACTGTGTCTTCCTACTCTTGCGTCGATCGACAAGCCTCAATACTTGTGAAAGTTCAGGGATATGAACGGGACTTCCGTCGTTGAAACGGGACTCGATCATGGATTATCACTCCGTTTTCCCGCGCAATCATTGACAACTACTACAAATTTCTCAACTACATCATGTAGGTATTACCCGAGGTAAATTTTTTTCTCTTTAGCCTCTAGCGAAACTATATTCCAGGTTATCGCCCGCTCCCTAAAACTGGCGAGATTGTTTAAAAGCTGGGACAGCACGGCGGTAGTAGTGGAGAACCAGATTCCAGAATTAAAGCTTCTTTTTAACCATTGAATTAGGTGAAACGTAACACTCAACTCAGGGCCAGTTTGAATTCCTCCTGAATTGCAAGAAAAATTAGTTTGAAGGCTCACTCGGGCTGAACATTCCAGTTCTGACGCGCTCTATCGCCTTTTGTTTTCTAGTCCAATTGAGCCCCGAAATTCGGCAACACAACTGGAGTTTTGTGAACTCATTGCCCTTAATATTACCTGAGATTTAAATTTACAATCTACATAGATTTGTCGCTTTTAATGGGACGATTTCGGAGAGTGTAATGGTCATGATTTCCACATTTCCCCTGCGTGCCTCCACCGAAAATGGGCGATTAGGAATTGAAACCCCGGCGAATGGTAGGTGTGTTCCTGTTTCCAGTATTTGCACGAAAAAACGTAATCTCACGTTCTCATAACGCTCAGAGTTCTCGCAATTTCCACCAGCGCTAGTCTGGAGAAAATTCTTCACATGTCTTGGCGTTACTACACTTAACCACCATTCCCGAGAACTCCAAAAATATGATCATACATAAGGTAGTCAGGATTCAGTGGTGTAGTGGTATCACGGGCGCTTGCCATCTTTGGATGATATGCGCCCGACCCGGGTTCGATTCCCGGCTGATTCATGCAATGTGGAGCGTGGTACATACGTTCTCTTATCAGGTGCACTGTGATTGCAATTGCTTTTATTTTAGGGGCGGGGAGACTGAGTCTAGTGAACTTGAGCGGTGTGTAGTGCAATGCTTGAGTTTTGACCAATGGTTTTTTAATTCTTTCTCTAAGATTCTCGACCGCAAAATACTCGTTACTCTAATCCATCACAGCGCAATCAATCACGATGAACTCTGGCAGATTTACTCTACTCTGATCTATAACCTCCTACCAAATTTCACTCCCCATCCTTACTGACGAGTACAATGCCACCTGCCATCAAAACATAAGTCCCCACAAACCTCACAAGGCACCAGTGCTACCCCCCCGTCCCTATCTTCACTTCCCATAATCCTGTTCTGCAGCGCTGCAGATGTTTCTTGGTCTTGACGCAACAGTACTACGCCGCGCCGGGGGTCTTGAAGTGGCGCAGATGTGGGAGCTAGGGGGGTGAGTATGAATGTGTCACGTAAGAGATGCCCGAGTATCTCGGGGGTGCGGCGGGGATTAGTTGTGGTGGTGGTGGGAGGGGTAGGGGTGGGAAGGAAGTTGTGTTCATTGGCGCGGCGAGGGGAGAGAATCGGGGTGCGCGGCATGGGTGGGAGGGGGGATTGGTCAGTGGAGGGCGTGGGGGTTGTCGGTGCGCATGCTGAATCTGCTGCAGCTGGTACGGCGGGGGTACCGATAGGAAGAGGGTTATCGTTTGAGTCGAAGCGGCGAATTAGGTTGCCCATGATTATTTTTTAGTATCTGTAGGTTTAGAAATTTAGTTGGTTAAGTTGGTAAGTTTGTATGCGTTGGAGGTCTGGCTGGGGTTTAGGTTGTAGAACGGTGGCGTGACTTTATAGTGGCGATTATAGAGATGAGTTATAGGGTATTGGTTGATTCATCTTGAGAATATAGCGATATCTCTCATGTTGATGGTTGAGAGTTTCGGGGGTGGTGTTGACTTTCAACCTTTGGCTTTCAAGAATCAAGAGTAATGATTACCGGGACCGATTCATAGATTCTCACTCGGTTTCGAAGCCCACCAGCTGGGTTGTCTCTCGGCCGGTTACCAGCATGAGATAAGATTTCGCAGTAGACAGAGATACATAGGTATATACACTCCGGACAGCAAAAATATTATGAATATTATATTTTCAAACATGGCGCAGGCGACACCAACGCCTTGGCTCCGATTTAGGTCTATTAACACTCTCTTCAGCAAACCTTAGGATTTCGTTACCCAAACAAGGTTTTAGAGACTTAATTCGCGGGCTATATCACCTCATCAACCGGCTACTGTACCAGATACAGGCGGATTTATTTAAACCTGGCCCTAATATCCGATTTGACTTTGCTTCGACCGATGTCGCCGGCTCTTTGTGCGAACAACATCCAGCGCCATGGGTCTGGAGACTATCAAAGACAATAATTTAGGAACACCTGGTATCTTTTAACAATTACAATGCTTTCTCAGGAAGAGTACAATATGTTGAACGATCTCTGGGGTACTGGTTCTTAATCTGATCATTGACTCGCTGCCACCTCGTCAAGGATCACTGAAACAATAATCCCTGCCATATCCCTACCGCCAAGCACGCCACATTAGATTAAAGCCGGACAAACCCATGGCTAGTTGATAACGGCTAGAAGCTCGCATTATATCAATCTTTGGTAGTATAGTGGTTAGTATACTCGCTTGTCATCTGATGAACCGCGAGTGACCGGGGTTCAATTCCCCGCCAGAGAGTTGAATTTAAGAAAGGTGTTCAGTTTAACAGCTTAACCTCCGACTTATTTTTTCAAATTTTGTCTGGTGACAGTGTGATTCATAGGGCTACTTAAGGTCAGCGGGGGCGGGTGCCTGGAGGTGCCTCTGCCTTGTATGTATGGTCCATTCCTTTGCTCCCTCCTACCTACAAAGAGAGGTGGTCTCGAGGCAGATCAATTCGATAATTAGACCTATCAAAGTTGGAGTTTACTATCGACAGTAATTTATGCAGGAATTATCTATACCTATATTATGATGACCTAAACACCTCGAGCAGCTGGATTTTCCTCGAGCAAGCTCGCCTCGTAAACCCCCATGCCCTGAGCTCTCACGGGACAGAGGCCTTGAGTGTTAATGCCTCGTGGACGGCACCAAACTGGGTTTGAGAAACATCACCGGTAATAATGGTTTAGCTCCCGTCGATTTGGTAGGCACCGGGAGTCGGTGTATCGTCATTTACATCCTCGACCATAGAGCTGCGAGTAAAGGCCACCTTGGTTGATGTTGGCTGGGGATTGTGATCGGTCGCCGGTCATGTCGTATCACTCGGTTTCCGGATAGTTAAGGAATGAATTTGAGGTTTTGCTCGCGCGTGAGCGTATATTGGATAGTGAGAGCAGGCTGGAGTAAAAAAGATCACTCGGGAATCTTAGGTCACTTCCTTTTCAGGGTGGTTTACAGTACCAAGTAAGGCGTAGCTTGTGTTACATGCTCGCCTATCATTTCCACAGTACATATATGGGGCGTTCCCCATGCGCTGATCTGGAAAACAGCCAATTCAACTCGGTTCCTTCCAGTTCAAACTTCGTAAGCGGAAGTTGAGTAGTACCGGAAGTAGAGCCGTAGAAAGGAAAAAAAAAAGATTTTACCAATCGGGACTTTCCCGACCGTTGACCTGTTGCACAGCAGCCTTGTGCAACCTCGGGCTCTACGACATGAGCAGCAGAGTAAAAGAAAAAAGGAACTGGACGCACTGGGAATCGAACCCAGGACCATCTCAAATTTCATTGCCAAAGAGGCATTGCAAATGAGATATTATACCCCTAAACCATACGCCCATCTGATGTGGCGGTAATTGTATGTTTCACCCTTCAAACGCAAGCACTGGTAGAAGACTTGGCAGGCACTAAGTTAGTGGCAAACAGGGGTGGAAGAAGTTTTTTCCCTGACCCTGGTCGGATGGGGCGAACAGGACCCTGAACTTTGAAGAGTCAAGACGGCGGACGCCAAGGAGGGCTCCAGAACATCACTCTTCAGAAACGAAAGCCAACGGTTTGGTACCAGCAAAAACTACCTGGAAAATAAAATAAGAACTCAACCTCGCGAAGAAGATTCGGTTCGCGTTATAGTTGTCAAATGAACATATTCCTGATTTGAGATTTGTCGAACCTTTATCCGGAAGAGAGTCTTATAAGAACCTTTTCTGTGTATAAGGGCTTAATAAAGTCGCTATAAGTATGGTTATCCCGTAACTCTTTATAACTCTTGCCCTGAAGAAAGAGGATTATCGGAAGGAAAACCCTTACGAAAGTCTTATGGAAACCTTAAAAAATTATTATAGGCAGACACTTAGAAGCCGTTTGAAGCTCATATTATCTAGTAGTAGCAAATCTTGCAATCCGTTGTGGTGTAATGGTTAGCATCAGTCGCTCTCACCGACTAGATCGGGGTTCAATTCCCCGCAACGGAATCATTTTTTGGACACAAAAGTCTCTTGAGGACTTTTGTGTGCAAAAGATGATTTTTATTTTTTCTGTATATAAGAACTGTGGCTGCTCGTTGTGCTGTTTAGAGACTTGCGACCTTAAAGCTCATCTATCGCCACCGCCGGTGCGTGCACAATGTTGCTACAGGCAGGAAAGTCACTGCTTGAAGTTTATAGAATTAAAAGCCCCCCGGCAGATTTACCGCCTCTGGCTTTGACGATATCTCCTGCTAATATTAGTATACAACCACTTCAATGTTTTCCGATCTACAAACAGAAGGGACGTTGGCCCAAATCAAGTTCAACGGCGTCTTTCTCATCCATGGCACAATGCGGAAATGTGATAATCCCGGTGTATTAAGAAAAAAGCCCGCCCGTTTTTGTCACAAGCTCGGCTGGTCTAGTGGTATGATTCTCGCTTAGGGTCACACCTTAAGTTGTATGCGAGAGGTCCCCGGTTCAAACCCGGGGTCGAGCCTGTCTTTTGCCCCTCTCAGTGAGGATATAAATTTTAACTCTATCGTGAGGTAGGAAATTGTTCATATGGTGCCGAGAGTGGATACATATCAATCTTTGGTAGTATAGTGGTTAGTATACTCGCTTGTCATCTGACGAACCGCGAGTGACCGGGGTTCAATTCCCCGCCAGAGAGTTCTTTTTATGTGAGTCGGAGTGATCGTGGTGGTTAGTTTTTTCGATGGTTGTGGGGTTGGTTCGGATGTGGTTGGTGGTTGGCGTTTTTCGGCACCTCCCTTGCTCGAGAAAGGGGCTTTCTAGGTAACGTGTATTCGTTGGCTGGCCTCTAAAGCTATTGTTATCTATCAATTCTACGTAGCTGAATTATCGAAGATGAGTTGCCTTGCACTCCTTCCTAGTAGGATATCCCTTCATTGACCGCCAAGCATAGTCTGCGTAGATGTGTCGCATAATTGTACTGTTGTCTCACAGACCGCCGAAATCGAGCTCACTAGTGTCCCGATACAGTATTCAAGTCGTAGAACGCGGGCTTAGTCTTGGGTGCTCGTTCCGGAGGTGATCTTTGGCCTGAACCATGCACCGTAAAAGAGCGGCAAAATGTAGGATATGGACATGATAATAGTTTAGATATGTTCTGGGGACCTGGCGCGATTATGTGTGCGGCTCCTGGTTTCCTGTTTCATCCCCGGTTGCGGAAGTACTGGTGGGGTGGGTTTGTTGAAGGAGTGACGCTGGATGGATTGACGTTGGTGGAGGTGGGGTTGCAGCGGGTGTCGTTTAGGTTTGTGTAACAATGGATGGGGCATGATTTCTCTGACAGGTTTTATTCGGGGTTTGTCTGCGGCCTGATTTGAGGCGCATTATCGACAAATCTACCCGGTGTCTTGAGTGGTTCCACGCGCAGTTCGATTTTAGTCGTGTCAGTTCGGGGATTGAGAAGGGGGTGTGAGTCATTCGATGGGGTTGAGTTACTTTTTGTTCTCGTGGACGTGATGGATATATCTGTATGTATATTATTAAGTCTCTCCATCTCAGGCATTCGTGGTTTCCGGGGTCGTAGGCCAGAACTTCCGCAGGGAGTCGAATTTTGAGTATAGTGTTAGAGAGATCAATCGATTACGCCTCCGGAATATTTGAGAAAGAGGCGCGGGGATATGTTCTCCACCGGATATAGACATTCGAACCCGAAGCGCCGAAACAAAGTCTGTGTAATAATGTAGGCATCTATGAGGATCCTGTTTCCGCATTGCTACAGAAACGCTTAAAGAGGGGGTGAGAGGATATATTCTTCCAATATGTTGCCGACGGCAAGGTCTACGCCTGCTTAGAACTGAATAGCGACGGGAATCACACCAGAAAGCATATAATATTCTTCAATGACAGGACTCAGTACACATAGGACCTATCGGCATACACGCCCTGGTCTTCTCGAGGAACATACCGCTAAGGTTAAGGGTTTATATGGGCAGCCAGGAGCTCATCGGAGATGGGTTCTTCTCTTTGGCGACAAAGTATAAAGACTGTAAGGAGCACTTTACAGGATGTGTTCGCAGTTGTGACCCAGCATTCAAAGTGAGAATAAGCTGCGAACTATAACTTATAGGTTCTTCTTAATGGTACGATCTATAAATGGTCAAAAAACAAGTTCGCCGGAACTGAAATCCACCAGAGAACCCAACGGTCAGCTGTGGCAAAAGATAATCCCTCCGACCAGAGTCGAACTGGTGACCAACCGGTTAGCAAGCAATTACAGCCGGGTGTGATACCAACTACACCACAGAGGGTTACGGGTATGA